GATGTAGGATAGTCTTGTTGTACACTGTTGTCGTAGAAAGAAAGGTTAGACTTATTTGACACTGTGGGTTTTGTGTGGCATGTTTTGTTGTAATTTATTTATTTGTTTATTGATTTTGGCCTGGTTTGGCCTGTTGTTGACCTGTTTGGCTATCAATTGCTGCTGCCTAGGCCTGTCTTCTTCTTCTTCTTCTTCTTCTTCTTCTTTTTCTTCTTCTCCCTCGGGCCTTGTACGTGATCCGTATGAGGATTTTGGTTCTTGTGTTTTTCTCTTCCTTGCGGATACTATGTATACAATACACACACACACACACACACACACACACACACACACACACATATACACACACAGCCCCTAGACCACCCACTCATACACACATACCCTACCCCGCCATCCCCTCACTATACACACCCCCTGATTTGAAAAGCAGGAAGCAAGAAGTGAGACGTAAGAAGTAAAAAGTAAGAAGTAAGAATCCAAGAATCCATATACGACAAAAACCCACCACAACCACCAATTTCATCATCATAATCATCATCATCGCTCATCAGACATATATACATACCGCGCTCCTTAACACATTAGTCATGCATGCATGCATGGCCCTTAAAAACCCACCCCTTCTTGACAAAGAAGATACGCAAGTCCACCCTATCCTACCCTACCTCATAAATCCCAATACCAAACCAGCAGAATCCACGAAATCCCAACCTCCCCAACGCCATCAAGACATCACTAAACCCCACAATCTACCCGTCTTGCCCATGCCCATGCCCGCGCCCATGCCTCTTATTCCGCGGCTTCTTGAACGGCCCGGCTTGCTGCTGCGAGACAGATGTCTCTGGCGTGCTGTGCTTTCGCCCACCCGCAACCCTAGCCTCAGACGGGGTGGCAGCCTCTCCCTGTACATCCTCCTCGTCCTCGGAAAGGTACCCAGTTGACGAGCGCTGCGCAAGTGAAGAGCTGGCAAAGTCCCGCGAGAGGCCGGAGGTTGCGCCGGCGCTGGCGTCGGGGGATTGGATGTCTCCGACCTGCGAGAGCGCAAAGCTCACGCCGGCGGGTATCTTGTCAATGACCGAGCACAGGGCCTTGGAGTGGTCTGGCATCCATACGTCGTATATGTTCTTGACGAACTTGTAGGCTGTCCACTTCTCTCTGCCATCTAGTTCCGTGAAATCGAATGCTCGGATTCGATAGCGGTAGTATAACGTCTTGGTTTTTTCAATCACGGGATAGTGCCCGTAGATACGTACGCTTTGATGGTCGTGCGAAATAGAAAAGGCCAGGATCTGCCGGTGAAGTTCCTTCTCACGGCCCACTAGTCGGAATAAGTCGACCACGCCGCGAAGGGCTAGTGTCATGCTATGAGCGTTCTGACGGTCGGCAACGTCAAGTGCTGCAGCACCACACTTAACCTCACACGTTAGGAACGGAAGGTACATATAGAACGTGCCCATGAACACAGACGTGTCAGTGAGATCGCCTATAAACGGGGCTAGCTTCGCAAGTCGCTCTTCTGTAAACGCTAACCGACTAAAACCAACTGCAAAGTCCGGCCGGGGGCAGGACTTTATTAGTGGTATCGAGTTGGTCCAGCCTTCACTGACGCTCTCAGTCAGTGGGCTTCTATAGCGATTCGTCCCTCGAGTCTTGGAACGTCGAGGCGACGGTACAATCAGCTTGGCGATGTCGCGCACGACCTTGGCTTCATTTCGATTTCTAATCTCGTCGCAAGTATCTTTGAAAATGTCGTCATTGAATAGGCTGTCCTCCGGCACGGACTGCTCTCCATCAAGGAGTCGACGACAGACATTGATGCTCGCTTCTGTCGGGCCTTCTGGGTCCTCTATTAAGAAGCTCCCTTTTGTGGCAAGAATGGACTCATAGCGAACGTCAGTATATTGGTTACTCTTATCGTCCTGTGACCTCTGGTCACTTGGAGTCGAAGCTTTAGTTGAAGAGCCAGCGTCCGACTTCTTCTGTAGCAGCGATGACTTTGATATTTTCTTCCTTGCAAGCATCGGTCGCATGTGCTCTAAGCCGGCGTTCCCCTGTGGACTGCCAGCCGGTTCCATGTTTGGTATGTAGACCTCCCGCAACCAGCGTTCCTCCTCAATGTCTCGCGAGAAGAAAGTGCGTGTCTCGTCGTTGATTTGAAACAGCTCTGCTGGCCAGCGCCCTTCTTTTATCCAAAAGTCGATTGGATCTGCCTCTTGCAAACTTTCGGTGTCCTCCTTGGGTGTCTTAACCTCTTTCTCCAGTTGATGTGGGGCCTGTTCCTGTCTTTTCTGTGCTCTTTTTGTCACTGTTCCCTCTTCGTCGATGCACTTTCGTTTGACAGTAGGACTTCGTGGCGGGGACCGAGGCTGAGTGCGTTCATAGTTAGCGGTGTCTGCAAAGGTGGAAAGCTCAATAGACCTGCGACTCGTCTGCAGAACGTAGAGGAGACTTGGACTTGGGAGCCTCCAAGCTTGTCCTAGCAGCCTGCTCCTTCAACCGACCACTTTTACGATTTACAGGCGTCGACTTCTTTTGGATACGACTCTGAGACTTCCCTGTCTACAGTTAGTAAGGATGAAAAGTTGATAGCAGGGAGATCTCGAACCTTGCAAGGATGAGTCTGCGTGAATAGTATGGCGCTGAGAACGTCGTGCTCGTAATTTGGCCATTTTGAATGTGGATGGGACTTTATATGATGAGAAGGCGATGATACGAGGACAGAGCGATACGCGGGACAGTCGACGTGGCTAACGCGCCTGCTCTTTAGAGGTGGATCTATTGGCGGAGGCTAGGCCTAGACAGGCAGGATAAGATCCGACGTTTCAGACGCGAACCATTGTTCCCAATTCATCCATGCACAGATCCTCGCCGCCAAACGCCCTCCATCGAACACTTTCTCCACTCTCGCACCAAGTCAATGCAGCCGCCCAGGAAACGACTCGCTCGCAGTACATGAATATAGCCGCTCGGCAAACGAGTCGCTCACATCACATGAATACAGCCGCCGAGAGCACAACCCACTCGCAATTCCCAAACACATACAGGGGGAGTCGGGCATTCAGTCCTCCACTCCCAGCCTATCATGTCTCGAATGTATCTTCTTCCACGACTACAGACCGTCACCCAAGTGGCCATATTCGACAACAAAGCCCCCCTAGCAGTGCAGCTTCAACCCCACCCAAACCCCGCACTACCTAGGTATGATTAGACTGCCCGGGAATGGCAGACAAACAAACAGATATACAGCCCAACAACCCCTTCCCCCTTCACAAAAGTCAAAACACACTCATTCTCTGTTAACCATCCATAATCCCCTATCCCACCAGCCCCTGGGCTCCAAAACACACCTTTCCAGCGCCTAAAATTAGTAGGCAACGGGCAATAACACACACACACTGCCAAGTATATCTACGTCATATCCAGTATCTAGCTAGAAGCGTAGACGGGTCAGTCTGAGAACTACATATAACTACGCCCTATCTCTCCCCCTGTCTCTCCCCCTGTCACTCCGGCTCTCCGGCGCTCTCTCTCTCCCTGTCCATATATATATATATATATATAAGCATTGACAAAGCGCTATCTATCTATACCTCTCCCTTCCCCCCCTAAGCCTCGTAGCAAAAGACGGGATATGGGATGTGCACTCGTTAATTAGCATTGCGCCTCTGCGTATATATGTATGTACTTGTCTAATAGTAGGAAGAAAGCCTGGTATCAAGCTTAGCGGTGGATTCCGCTGTGTTTGACTGCTCATATGGTGCTTGTTTAGGATGTGGATTGGTAGATGAATGGGATTCTAGGTTGTGGAGGAAGTGAGCAAGTGAGCAACACCCTGCTAGGTAAGCTATTGAAGATAAGTTAGTAATGTGTTGGTGGTGATGGAGTTGTGGCTCATGCGTTGCGTTGCGGTATGATATATTACCTTGTGTGTATATCTAGATTATGTATACCCGCTGGTGTAGGTATAGTCGCCGTGTATATTACTGCATTACCATATACCCACAGTACCACATATCCGCATAACCGCAGTCTGCGCGATCCGAAGCCAGACACAAGGCCAACAAGCCAGCCCAGCCACCAACAATGCAAACGCTGCCAAAGAATACCCATCAAACCCCCGCATCCCATCGTCCCATCAACACCCCTCCCCAGTAACAACATTCCCCTCCACCCTCCTCTCCCTATCAATCACCACCCCACTCCCCTGCGCCCGCTCAACACCCTGCAACAAGCTGCCCTTCCCAAACACACTATCCTCACGCAAATCGACCATCGGCCCCTTCGCCCTACTCCCATCCATCACGCCCCGCCCCGTGCTTCCACCGCCCTGACTCGGTCCCGCGCTCGCGAGCAAGCCCTGGCCCGTGAAGGCGTCCTCGGAGCGTTCGACGGCGTACGGGTTCTCCTGGGTGTGTAGTGCAGACGGAGGGGCGGGGCCACCGCCACGCGTCAGGGTGTTTGCACGCGGGCGCGCGCGCCAGTCTGTGGACGGGGGGATGCTGGCGTAGGGGTTGTCTGTTGCTAGACTGGTGGCGTTTTCGATGAGATTGCCGGCGGCGGTGTCGGCGGGCTTGAAGCCTTTGCCCTTGAGGGCGTGCTGCGGGGGTTCTTTGTACTGAGGGGTCAGGTCTACGAGGGGTTTGGGCTGGGCGGGCGGAGGCCGGCGGAGTGACTTTGTGTGTTTCAGGTCGGAGGAGTTGCGTTTGTGGGTTGAGCGGACGGAGGAGTTGCGGGTCAGGCCCGAAGATGATGGCTGTGCGGCGTCGGTGGAGGGTGGAAGAGGGAAGGCTGTGGTGTTGAGGAGGGAGGGACCATCGGTAAAGGGGCCGCTGGCGAGGGAGTTTTGCAGCACGATTTCGCGGTCGCGCTCCGCCTTTTCTCGTTGCCGCTCTGTGTAGATTTTGCCAAGCAGCCCGGTCGAGGCAAACGTGTTGTCGGTGGTAGAGATCAGGGGTGTGGGCTGGGTTCGTGCGGCTTTTGCGGTTCTGGTAATGGGGTTGGATGGATTTGTTTCCGTTTCGGAAAAGTACTCTGGAAAGGACGATGGCGGCGGAGCTTTCTGTCGCATTGACATCTTACGCACATGCATCGTCTTGGAGTCCTTCTCGTTTAGCGTCGAGCCGGCAAGATGGAGGGGAGGGAGGACGACTTCTGCAAACTCCATCTGGTTGAACGTGTCGGAGTCGAGCATGGGCTGGAACGTGCCGAGCATGTAGTGGGAGTCGACAGAGGATTTGTTCTTCGTGTGTCCGCCGGCAGCAGCAGCACTGCCAAAGTTCAGGTCCAGCTTGAACGGGGTCGCAGAGGCAGCTTCTTTGGCTTTCTTGCCCTCGCCCATGATGTTGACGAGATACCAGCTCCTCCAGCCTTGTACGGCCTGGTAGAACCTCGTCGCCGTATCTCGATCGCTCGAGCAAAAGAAGTGTACGAAGCTTGTTGTGTCTGAAAAGATATTCGACTTTTGCTGACTCTTGACCGCGAAGCAGGTCTTCTTGGGAGGCTTGATCGACCTCAGCTTGCGCTGTGTCGGCGTGTAGATGTCAAAATCCGACAAGTGGCACATGCTACTCTCATCCTTTCCCGTTTCGTTCTTGGCAGTGAGCATCTGTCCATCAGACTTGAGGCTGATCCACTCCTTCTTCCACTTGCCCGGCTTTTGCGAATGATAGAGATAGCCAGCGAACTCGGGCTTCTCCTTGGGTATCTTAGACTCGTCTAGCTCTTCGTCGGCGCCGCTCGTGATGGGAACGAGCAGCAAAGAGTTCTGTGTATCGCTGTCCCAAGTATTCATCACATCTCTGACATGCTCGTACTTGCGCAGCGGTCTTTGAACTCCGACTTTGCCGAACCCTTCGAGCAGTACTGACATGCTGACGTCAATCTTCTCGGTGAGCACAGTCTCGCATGATCGTATCAGGTCGACCGGCGTCGTCAGAGGCGTGACAGGCAGCCTGATCTGCTTCTCATTGCACTCTATGAGCACCCTCCTGTCGCCTGCATTGACCGCAGAGATTGGTGCATCCGTCCCGGGCACGATCCCACCGCCTCCTGCTCTGATGTAGGGATCTGGTAGGGCGGCATCCCTGGCTTTTTGTTGGTCTACTTCCCGCTGACCTGGTACGTCCCCTGTCCGGTGATGTCTTGGATTATCTTGGCTCCTCTTCCTCAAAAAACTGATCTTGTCCTTGATTCTGCTGGGAGAATGCTGCTCTGGCTTGTTGTCAGGAGGCGACGCAGGGGGAGAGACCCGACGAGCATTCAAGTTGGGTGCTTCTCGTTGTATTCTCTTCGCAATCTCGCGCCGCTCGTTCGACGCCCGTATAGCAGCCTCCCTCTCCTGCTCTACCTTTTGTTGAGCTTTCTCCTTCGCCTGTAGAGTCTTCTCCTTTTCTTCCAGTGCCCTTGCTTTCTCCTTCAGGAACTTCTGCTGCTGCACTATATCTGCCTCCTGTTTCGCCCTGACTTGCTGTTCCTCAATCGCCCTCTTTGCGCGGAGTTCTTCTTGTGCCTGCACCTGCTTCTTCTCCTCGGCCTCGACTCGTCGCTCTGCTCTCAATTTTGCGCTAACCTTTCTTTGTCTCTCAGCTTCGGCCTCCATCAGCTGACGCGCCTCTACATGCGCAGTCTTGGGTGGCTCTCGAGAGACGCGCTCTACCAGGGTCTGAGCCGGCATCCGGGGCGGACTCCTCATGACTGATGTTGGCGGTGAAGTTGGCGCCTTCCTACTTGTCGTCCCTCGACGTGCATATCGCGAGGGCTGTGCAGAGGAATTAAGGGTCGCAGCGCGGGCTCTGGACACGGTCGCATTGGCGTTTGCTGGTAGAGGTGGTGGAGCCGGAGCAGCCATGTCCTGAGTGTTTGCGCGTTTCGGTGCGGCGAACGACTGATTATTACTGCTCGTAGTAGGACGCTGTCGGTGATATCGAGACATGCTTCTTCCCAGGGTCTCTGATTTCGCAGGAGATTCTGAGGGCTCAAAGGGCGGCAGCGGAGGCGACTCTTCCAGATGGTGGGAGGATTGGGCTTTGCGCACGGAGCGATAGCGCGAGAACTTCTGCTGTTCAACGTCGGCTGCCATGCTGTGCTATCACGGCGTGGAAGGGTGGAAGGGTGGAAATGTGGACTGTTGTTTCGGAGCCGGGGCGTGAAGGGATTCGGGAGTTTTCAGGATGAACGGATGGCGGACTTGTTTAATTAGTGGAGCAAGTGGAGAACCTGGAAAGTGTCCAGCGCGCAGGCCTGACAGCAAGAATCGGAATATTGTATGAAACACACGCGGAATTTGAGATGGACAGAAGTTACAATGATGAATTAATGTTGCTCATATCGTTTCGCAAAAGAAATCATGGCAGCATCTCACGTGTCACTGCAGCAGGGCGCGAGGCACAGCAGAGAAACCGTCAATCCACCCACTTGTTGCCCCTGACAGCTCGCAATCTCGTTTGTGCTGCACGTTCTGTTTTTTGCTTTTGCCGCTCAACATTGCGCAGTGTAGCCATAGCACGTAATACGTAGCATTGACTCTCTCACAGCTACCGGGTTACACTCTTCCAGACTTCCTATCGCTATCGCTATCGCTATCGTAGCCGCAGCGCCGACGTACGGAAACCATGGCTGATCTATATTAGCCATGTTAGCCATCAAACTTCGCCCGTCCGCCGGTCAAGTCTATCGCTCTTCTTGTCGTCTATTCTGCCCCTGAGCAACCAAAGCCAGGGGCAATTAGAGCCGTAAGCCACAAGCCACAATGCCCTTCTAACTGCCTACCGGACGCATGTCAGCAGCAGGCAATCGGGCTATTCATTAGTATGGTCTGATCGCCAGGGCTGCAGCTGCAATTTCCCGCAACCTCAGGTCGTCAGTCCGTCCTTTGTAGTGAGTAATTACTGTACAAGCTGTCAGTGGCAGGACACTGAGATACACTCACACCACGCCAAGCCGTACAGACGTGTGGTGAATGGCGAATAATCTCCGTCTGCTCTGTGGTTCCCTCGTCTTCTTTACCGCTTTGCGCTATCACCTTCTTGTTCCCCTCCCTGCGCTTCCTAACTGCTCTCCGCCTTCCACCACAGCATCGCATTGACGCGACAGCAGCAATCCAGATGGTGGAATTGGGGAGTGTTTGGCTGATGAGACGGATACCAAGGGGAGGTGACCGCGAGGCAGAGCGATTTAAGTCGGTATATAACCTACATTTGGAGCATTGGCTGTACAATACCGCTTCTAAGCTGCATTTTATATGCCAAAACTTCAGCACAGCATGTCAAACCTAGAAACGTCAATTTCTATCAATCGCATTGATCAGCTCAAATCATTCATCTATGGCCTGTCTTCCAAAATGCCCACGTGCTCATATGCCGTCTTGGGTATCATACCATCAGTCAAACTTGCCCATTCATGCCGAAACCTCCATCGTCCATCCATCCAGTATCACCAAACTCCATTCCATGCCTCCAAATGCAAAGCTAATCTCGCCATGTCACCATCGTTGCCCTACCTCCACAGATCCCGACTGTCCCGCTTACTCTTTCCTCCAAAAAGGCTCGATCTTTCAGGGGGTCTCAGATTAAACTCGGATCTCATTGGACTTGTCGCCGGGCTGCCTCCAAATACACTTCCCCCAAATGCACTGCCCCGACTACTCGGCCTGGCCCCGTCATCCATGTCAGGCACAACCAAGAAGCCACCGAATCCGTTCCCGACCATCGTGCTACGCCTGCTCGAACCGCCCCACTGCGAACCAAGGCCCTTTTCGGCTTCATACTGCGAGATCGGGCGCCCGCCACTCATACTGCCACGACGCCCGGCTGTGTCTGACGGGATCACGGACGTGTAGACCCATTCCATCTCTGACTGGCCCTTGGTGTACACTTCGAGGGGCTGTGTGAGTCGAGGCGCGGGCGCGGCTTTGAAGGCAGGTGCAGGAGGTGCGAGGAGGAGACGGGCGGGGAAATCGGAGTCGCGGACGTAGATTGAGCGCAGACCAGGGAAGAACCCGTTCTGGAGGGAGTTTTGGAGATAGGTGTAGTACGAGGCGGTCGGGGGATGGAGGGACTGCGAGTTGTCGGACGCAGAAGTGATTTCGTAGTGCAGGGTGCGCAGGGAGATGGACTGGAGTGGTGCGATGGGATCGATCGGAAGAGACATGCTGACACTATCTGTATAGTTGAGGTATACCAGGTCGCTGGCTCGTTTGAGCAGCTTGTGGAGGTCAGGAACCCTGATGTGAGTGCCGGAGATGGTGAGATGCGTAAGATTACCGCGCGCCACGCCATCATTAAGAAAGTGTAAAAGGCCGTCAATTGATACCGGGACATGTTTCAGGGTGAGTTTTGACAGAGCAGGAAAGTGTGGTATTCCTGGAGCTGAATGGAATACTTGATCGCCGAACCAGTCTGCCTCGGTCACGAGAAGCTCCTTGAGATATCTTAAGCTGCCGACGACCTGACGAAATACGGCAGGCTCGACATGTATCCCAGAAATGTCCAGGATCTGAAGTTCAGGCCAATGCCCACGTTCCAGCTGCTCAAAATTCCTTTCTGCACCGGCACGATACTTCATTTGCCTAATGTGCCGACACCTAGACATTAATTCATTTGTGAGGGTCGAGCTCAAGCTATCTCCGCTATAGCAGCCGTCTGGCAAGTCGATATATTGCAGGTTCGGCACAACCGAGACGCAGCGGGCGAGCTCGGCTTGACAGGTCTCCCGTGTCATGTAGGGCGTTTTGAGAAACGTTACACTTTGCCATAGAAACTCGCTTTCTTTCAGTGTACGCTGGAGCAGCTGCAGCCGCAATGTTGGGGGGTCCGGGGCTTCTGCATGTCGACTTCGGCGTGATTTACGTTCACGCTGTTCTTGAAAGTATGCCTCTAGTTCACAGAAATGGACAGCATCGATACGGATGTTATAGTATCTGGCTGCCGTCAGCAAGCTTGACAAACGGCCGAGGCTTTTTGCAACTCACAATAGCCCAGCTGCCGGTCCATACCACGAACGTTTGACCAAGCAGCAGTTGGAAAGATCGCGTAGGTCACAGACCGAACAGCCATCTACAATGTAGGTCTCCTCTAGCGGCTTATGACTCTTGTCTCTCGAGTGTGGACAGACCAGAGCGAATATTCTCTTCAAAATCTCCTTGTCCAGGCGTGAGGTATAGTCAGGGCCGGTCGGATACCATGTGGGCTGTCGTTGCTTCGGGCTGGTCTGCAACTCTTTCTCTTTCTCTTTCTGTCTGAGCTTCGTGCTCGACTTGAAATGTTTCATGAACTTCATGGCTCTGCATAAAAGGCCGTGTCTGGGAGTAGGGTTAGAAGAGCGTCGTCGCAGGCACGCGAGCGCGGACTAGATCGGGCTCGAGGGGTTTTTAAAACTATGTGAGGAAACACAATGCTGTAGAGAAAGCAGCGCAAATATCGTAAAAGACATGAAATCGTATGGCATGAGGACTGCAAAGAAATCGCCGACTTACTTTCTCCTGGGCTGATGCGCCCGAGTCCAAGAGCTGGGGCGGGGCACCGTGAGCTCCGGCGGAGTGGGTGGGTCTGTTGGCTGCCGAGACGCCATCTTTGAGGTTGGAGCAGTCAAGCGTCGACAATGATTGATCCAGCTTGCCGCCTTGCGGGGACTTTGGTCTTGTCAACTCGGGCACCAATTGCAGCGACGTTTCTAGTCGATTATCACAACCTGAAACACACTCGAGCGAGCCAGGGAACTAGATGCCAGCAGTCCGTCTCGAGCAGTGACGAGTAGGGGGAATATCCTCTACCACAACGGAACGAATCGCTGTTGACCGATGATGTTATCGGAATGACAGTGGGCGATCGATGGGACTTAGTAAAGCCGCTGAAGCCTGCTTCTGGCAAACGCACACACAAAAGAAGCGCTGGTGTGGAGTTTAGTGATGAATATAAAATTAGACGGATAGCCCTTGGGGAAGGTTATTAACAACGTGAGCCAACAAGCCCCCAGCTACCAATACTTGACTTCAACAGCGCATCGCACAGCATCTCCGTTACCCGTTTGACCGCACAATGGCTTCCCTTGTTCTTTGTGTCGCCCTTGCGTCGCTATAACGCAGTGCGCTGAGATGACCATTGTGCACACAAAGCTATCCATACCGGTGGACCGGAGTCGGATGAACTCGAATTTTGTGAAGAATGAAAGACGTGGCTGATGGCCTCACCTACCTTGACTATGCTTATTCACAGTGTGAAGACTGTCAAAGGCCAATTGCTCTGCTGTCATGCTGTTAACCATCCTCCCCTATACCAATATCACAGTTTGCTCACTATCATCTATCATGACGACGATGCTCACCAAAGCCATCTGGCCTGGCATATCGCCGTGCGTTACCACCTATGCATAGATACGTGTCGTAAGTTGTCTGGTCTCACTTGTCTTGTTCGACTGGCTTTTGTTGTTTGTTATGAGACCTGGCGAAGGTCCCAAGCTTCATGCTGTCAGATTGTAACCCATCTGTTCAGCCGCTGTCAGGCCATGACACAACGAGGGAGTGACTGCGTAGCTATCATCGATACCTACAAAGATTGAGTTTATGGAAAGTCTGCATATAGCTTCGAGGGAGTCAACAATAGAAGTAGTCATATTCAAAGACTATATGATTGAGCCAGGGCAAGGCATGCTCATCTATCCATACCGACTAGGTTGCAGGAGTCTTGGAGCTCCTTGCACGCTGTAGTGCATTGTTCTATAGAAGCCCACTCAGCATGTTAATAGGACACTCCAAGCCACTGTCTACAGTTCACTGCTCCCAACTCCTTGACCGGTATACCAATCCATCTTCAAGGCACAATCCGTCCCATGTCGTCCTTGAACTATAGCGCACAGCGCGCACCGTTGACGAGGATGACTTCTCTAGTGTGCGCGCCCAGACACTTTATCCTGGCCGACACCACCGACTCGAACTAAAACTCCAGACGACGCCTGCTCAGGCCAACTCCTCCGACCGACTGAGAGCTCTCCTTTCATCCTCACGATTATCCTGATCGCATAATCCCTGATTTTCGTCACTCACTTTCGACTTCTGTCACTTCAATTCGCTTTTGCAATTGTCCTCTTTACTTGTCCAGACCGCCAAACTATCCCATAGTCCTGCCGAACTAGTCGAACCAACTTTCTGCACTTTTTTCCCTGGTACCTACTACCAAGGTAAAGTCCCATTGATACTTCTCACATCCAATCGTAAGTACACTCTCATCTAGTGCCTCAGCGATGACTAACAGAGGACTCTGCAGCCTCTTTTCAAAATCCCTCGTCCGCTACACACTACCTCTCATAATCCACTCGTCCCCGGCTGCCGAACCCAGAACATGTCGAGTGCACCTCAAGGGAGCAACCTCGACAAGTATGTGGTGATTCATATTGCTACTACCTGCGACGAGCATGGTGTCTATGTGACAAAGGACTCTGCTGAAGTCATCGAAGTCGGTGCCATCATTGTGGATGCAAAAACTCTTGAAGAGGTGCGTTGCTCGCTCAAGATTGCTACCAAGTGACCCATCACGCTGACGGATGGTTACCTGCAGGCCTATCGGGAGAGCACCTTGGTCAAACCTGTCAATACCCCAATCACTCCTCTCTGCAGTAAGTCTCCCAGATAATGCTTGCTCGTCTCCATTGCCACTGCTAACGTTGGACTTCGTCTGTAGCTAGCCTGACTACCCTCACCTGGGAACACGTCCGAAATGCAGGAACCTTCCGTGATGCTATCAATCGAGTCGATACGTTTGTTCAAGAACATCTTCTGTCTAAGAACCTCGAATTCGCCTTTGTGACACTTGACTCCTGGGATCTCCGTGTGCAGCTTCCACGTGAAGCCAGGGACAAATCTGTCGTGCTGCCTCCGTACCTCCAACACTCGCGTACATTTGATTTGAGAACAGAATACCAAAGATGGCAAGCACACCACCCCGAATCCTTGCCCTTCGGCTCCTCGGCCCTGTCAAACATATGTGCTGCCTTGGAGGTGGAGCCTGTGCAAGCTTCTGCGCCTATCAAACACAATCTGCCCTTTCACCTTCAAGCGCTGGCCCCTGCGTCCCCTAGGCGAGCCATGGAAGAAGCTGTGACCTTGACAAGAGTTCTTCGGGGTCTCATCAGGAAATCTCAGCCTCCCCACGACCACCCTGACGTCCTCACTCGCCCAATGGATGCTCGTGCCGATGTTCGTGCCTTCCTCTCGGAGCGAAGCAAAGTCTTGCACATGAGCGGCCTTCCCCACGATACCACTCAATCTGAGCTCGAAAGCTGGTTCACTCAGTTTGGTGGCCGACCAATTGCATTCTGGACGCTGCGTACTCCCGACCAACACAAGCCGACTGGCACTGGATTCGCCGTATTCTCGTCCCACGAAGAAGTGAGAAGCCCCACAAGACTACATCTAGAAAATACTAATGCTAACCTTGGATAGGCTGCCGAAAGTTTGTGCATGAATGGCCGCGCTCTCAACGAAAAGGCCATCGAAGTTTCGCCATCGTCTAGCCGCGTCCTTGACAGAGCCGCCGATATCCTGACACCTTTCCCGCCCAGCAAAAACCGCCCACGTCCAGGTGATTGGACATGTCCATCGTGTGGTTTCTCAAACTTCCAGCGCCGTACAGCTTGTTTCCGATGCTCTTTCCCTGCCATGTCTGCTGCTGGTGGTGGCGCTGGACCTTCAAATGACATGAGTTATGGCGGTGGGTACGGCTATGGAGGCCACCCAGGAATGATGCCCCCTCAACACCATATGGGCCATGGTCATGGCATGGGTCACGGCCGCGGCGGTGGTGGTGGTTCAGGAGTAGTACCCTTTCGAGCTGGCGACTGGAAGTGTGGTGGAGAAGGATGCAACTATCACAACTTTGCCAAGAATGTTAGCTGCCTCCGTTGCGGAGCAAGTCGTGCTGGTGCTGCTGTCGTCGCAGATTCTGCCTTCCCATCTCCAATGGATAACCAACAATCCAACTTTGGTATGGGTCCTCCATCTATGACTGGCACTCCAGGACCTTCCCATTACGGCGGTGCATCCTTCGGGTCTGCTCCCGGCTTCCCGGGTGGCCAGTATGGAGGCCCTCCAAGTACCTACGCACTTCCTTCTGGCATGGGTGGTGCTAGTCCTTATCCTCCCATGGGTGCTCAATACGCACCGAACGGTGGAATGCAATCGACTCCGTTTGACAGTCGTGCAGCTGAAGCTGCATTCACCTCAGCTGGACAAATGCCCCCTTCTGCTGGCGCCGGCTTCTCCAATGGAAACTTTCAGGAGGGACAGTCTGACCCTTTCCCATTCCTCTCAGGGGGTCTAGGAAACCTTTCTATTAGCAACGACAATCGCAACAATCCTAATTCGAACAACAAGTCTCCCGCATAATTCTGAGCATCTGATTTAAAGCGTGGATCAGGGTCTGGAGATCGGTATGGAAAAGTTCTTGAGCGACCAACGGCATGGAATGGTGAATCTGTTTAATTCGGTTGGGGCAGGAGTTCTTCAAGATTGGACATATCGCGCCATCTACTTTGAGCCTGGAGCATGGTTGGGGGTGGGACACTGGCATAGAACGGACAAATTGCGATTTATCAAAACCAGGTGGCGGTTCCAATGGTGTTCTTTTTCAAGCTTGGATCTTCGGGAGATGGGGGCGTGGATCTTTTCAGTCTCAACCGCCAGCGTTACCGGGGGAGCTGTGTAGCTTTTCTTTCTCTCTTTCTCTCTTTTTTCGAGATTTTGCTTTGTCGCCTTTCGCTACCATGTCTACGGCCGCCGCGTGAGACGCCGATTGGGTGATGCCGAAATATGAAATTGTGCAATTACTCTTACTTTGTTTCTAAAAAGTCGTGCGATTTCTTGAATCGCATAATAGCTATTCGATTTCGGCACCGAATCTCACGTTTCCTTTCGAACAAAGTCTAATCCTTACTCGTCTCATGTTGAAGAGTACAACATGGTATTGAGACAACCTGTATCTCTCTGTGCTCACAGTTTCATCCACTAATCGATCTATTGAGCTGACCTAGACCTAAAACTATAGCTCTGCTGCTCTCATGACATATAGGATTCAGTCACATAACCCACACGGCTCTTGCGGTCTATAATCTAGTTTATTGATGGCACGCTTCTGACATCCCTTAGTACCTGCTACCGTGTGATGTATTTTTCTATCAGACAACAGCACTTACGGCCCGTCCTACATCTTGTCTGCACATCAAGATCACATAACATAGCCATAGGTCTAAATCCATCGAAACATGCAGTAGACAAGAAGAAATATCACGACTGGGGGGAAAGAAATTTTTTTTACCAGTACTAGTGAGTTGTTGGACGTCCAAGGTTTTGGTTAAGTCCACGCGCTGGAACCATGGAAACGCAGCCGGACGTACCGCGGAGTCAGAATTTTTTTTCTAGAAAAATTTGCTAACAAGGGATGGTTTATTGGCATATAAAGAGGTGGCTACTCCCTGTTCTTGATCGTGTTTTTTTCATCGTACGCGCTACACTGTCTTCCTCTTGATACTTCTTGTCAGCAAACACAACCAAATCACATATCAACACCAGATCAACACAAGCATTTGTAAGTATTAGCACCTTTCTCTTACTCTTCCAACTCAGCCATTCCATGGTTATTTCATACCCCATACTCTCAACTATCACATTCATAGTTCATGAAACACCTAATACCACCATCTCATCACAACCCCTTTTGCATACCCAACACAACACTAATACATCCATCTAGTCCCAAAGACCTCAAATCACACCTACCCATCACCAACAATGACCGTTCTATCCCACACGAAACGCGTCATTCTCGCTCTCCTCGCCACAAATATGGCATTCGCCCTCCCTTCACACCCGGCTTCCAACACAACTTGCACCGGTTATCCCATCTCCCAAGGCCCCGAAGACGCCTACACCGTCGCACCCGCCTGCCCCCCAGACTCCTCCACCCTCATGCTCTCCGCCCTCCCGGAATGCGCCCGCCTAGCCACCAACGCCGCCGCCGCGGCCCGCTCCGGAACAGCACCCCAACTCCGCACCATCTTCAAGACCACCGACCCGGCCGTCCACGCACACATCGCCTCCACCTTCGACGCCATCGCCAGCGCCTGCGGCACCACCAGCACAACCAGCATCCCCACCATCCACTGCGGCGACGCCCCACCCCGAACGGAATGCACAACCGGCAAAGTCGCCGGCTACGCCACCGGCCACACCGTCGCCTTCTGCCCCTTCTTCTTCGGCCTGCCGCTGTTGCCGAGTAGTTGTGAGAAGTCGAAGAGTCGGGCGGGACTGGTGGTGCATGAGTTTGCGCATGTGCGGGACCTGGTGGGCGGGTGGATTGTGGATGTGGCGTATTTTCCGGAGGGGGTGTTGGGGTTGGGGACTGCGGATGCGTTGAGGAATGCGGATTCGTTTCATCTTTTTGCTGTGGGGGTGGAGATGGGGTGTTGGGTTTGAGAGGCAATGGAGGGATGGTGGAGGTTGTATCATTTGAGCGTTGCGTGGTATTAGGATAGTTCCATAGTTGATAGTTGATATACACGGTTCCTTTCTGTCCGTTTGTTGTAAAGCTAGTGTTGTCGTATATGTCGTGGTCAAGGGAGCCCTAGATGCAAGTTCGGACGACTGGAAAAAGGACACTGGATGTACACTAGATCAGTCCGTCTACGTTCGAGCATGTATGTAATCATGTATGCCATGTCAGCTCTTGAATGAAAACTAAAAGATCTAAGATCTTCTTACTCTCGGATTCACCAGTCGGATTCGCTGATTATTAGGCATGCTTAGGCTACGCTGTCGATCTCAGGATTAATGACCTGCAGCTAGCCTTGGTCAAGATGATTGCATTACGACTATTACTTAGCCGGATGCTGGGTTCTATCAAAGTAGTCGTAGAATGGTGAATTAGACATATGGTCTCAAGAGCAACTCGAAAGCTTTCACATCGTAGCCTGGTCTCGCCTCTCTTTTGTTCCAAATATCAGAAGAGGTTAGAGTGAACTCGTTGTTTTCACGCAAGTTGAGTTGCGTCTCTTATGCCACACGCAATGCCCTGACCACCAAATGGAGGAAAGACGTGAGCAGCATCTCCGGTTGACACTGACTTGCCAGGGAACCAGCAATTCGCGACCTTATGCGTGAACGTAAACGGCCTGCATTATAGAATCTCAATGCAGCTCAGTGGAAAGTTAATTTGTTGATGAAATAGTCTTCCACTCCCATCTTCATCCCTAGTTACGTTCGAACTTCTAGGATCATGATATTATGTTTAAGGATAAATTAAACTCCTTAATATTTCATTCTTTGAAACATTGATGGATGTTTCATTATTGGGGCGATCTCTTAGCTAGCTTATGTCACGGCTTTTATGCGACCTATTAGTCTGCATGCTGGGGCATGGCGATATCTAGGAGCATACTCAGACGCCAACTTTCATCTCGCATATCTGAAATCCTTCGTTCAGGAGCTCGAAAGTGCCAAGTTCGATGCCTTTTTCATGGTTGACCATTTGGCAGTCTTGAATGTGCCGGTCGAGACACTGAGACGCAATCATACTGTAGCATTATTTGAACCCTTTACTCTTTTGTTCCGCTCTATGGTGAGTCACAGATAAGATTGACCTTGCTGCAACGGCTTCGACTACATGATCGTAACATGTAGTACGCCGATTTGCGTCGTTCAATCTTTTGGGAGGGTGTGCTGCGTGGAATGTTGTCACAATAGCAAGGTCTGGTGCCTACATGAAACGCGAAGATATTTTCAAGCAAAATAAACGGACGGAAACGGTAGCGAGGGCTGCTGCCGTCAAAAATCAGCAGGCTATTATGTACGTATGAGGCAACTCCACACTGAGTGCCTAAAGCCTGACCCGTTTATCATGTGACTCTCTGTGACTGGTACAGCATAAAATATGTATATATAATAACGTGCTAAAGATTAGTGAGACAATAAATTGTAGGTAAAAGAGACCATACTTGAGTTCATGTTTTAACTTTACTAAGAAATTCATGGATCTTAAAATGATAGATATGGAATAATAACATCTCTCTAGTAGATCAAGAGTTCCGTTTGATTGATGTATCAATATGCGGGACATGGATGAATGAATACCGGCTCGCTAATATTCTCCACGACCTGGTTTAGCCTTCCTCGTACAACCATTTATACGGTGCATACCCCGCTCATCCTTCAGAAACATACTCTAATTTTCACCGCAACTATGGATCAACCCCGCTGCGTGGTCAACGACTTCCTCTGGGATATTTCAGATCATAGCTCAGAGCTCACTATCTTGTGCAAAGGCAAACGTATACGAGTATTCATAGATGTCGCTTACTTAGAAAGCTCGCCATCTCTCAAGAGCCAATATTTACGTTATCTCGAAGTCGCAGATGCATTTAAGCTAGACGGGTTAACTATAGATGACTTCTACGATTGGATCCTCGAAGCCTGCTTACCAGAATTTCGAAAGCTGGCACCATCCGAAATTGGTCCGCGACCTACGATTGCCGATCATCTCTCCTTAGACATGCTTCATTACAAGATGCACGCAGTCGCCGGAAACCTTACTCTTGTGCATTGCACTGACAAAAGAGATGAGTACATACCCTTCGGGTCTCGTTTCGATGAGGATGCCTGTTCAGCATGGCCTATCACGGCTCCAGAGGACGTCTACATAGCGAAGGACACGACTGGGGATGCTCTGTATCAAACGCCCGGGAAGGTAATTTTTGATGAGAAAGAATACTTCTTCAAACCGCTACATTATTCAGATCGTCAACAATGCAAGCGAGAACTGAAGATGTACAAAGAAATCAAAGAGGCTGGGCTAGAATCTCTCAGGATCAGTCTTCTTTACAGTATAGTTCGGGGTGGAGACGGGACAGTCTATGGGCTTCTGTTGAGATTCATTAATGCTGCTGCCATGACACTGAGTTGCGCCCTGAAGTTGAGCACTCCGGAGCATATGCGACAACGCTGGGCAGGACAGATCACCGACGTACTCAACCATCTTCATCATGCTGGTATCGTCTGGGGAGATGTCAAGCCCGAGAATGTCTTGATCGACAGAGAGAAGAATGCGTGGGTGATTGATTTTGGGGGAGGATATACCGAAGGCTGGGTAGAGAAAGACCTCGCAGAGACTATCGAGGGCGACAAACAAGGTCTTGCAAGAATTCAAGAGTATCTTAAAGCAGGACGTAGGCCCAGATGTATCGAAGGGTCGTAGCCTTATGTGGACGTCGTCTCACAAATCCACCAGCTGTCAGCTGAACACCTCCCCTGAGATACATTCCTAAGTGTTTTGGGAGGCTCAAATGGCGATCCGATCGATTCTCAGGGAAAAGGATTTTCATCTTTCTACTGTTCTTTTGGACATCTATGCCGGAGGGCACATCGATGGAGATTGACAGCCACACACAACACTTCGTAAGCCTATCCGAAGAACGTATGGATTGTGACTGATTAAACTTTGTTGGAGTTGGCAAAAACAAAGATATCTGACAGTGCGGCAACCGAGTCAGCGCTACGGAGGCTACAATGAATGGCCTTGCATTCGTACCCCCGAGACGATTCCGGATGAGGTTACAACCTGGCTGAGTTAGAGTGCTGCAGACGGATTGACAAGCACTCTGCCCTACCTGCCTAGAGGCCTTAATGACGTGAACTAACGACTGGTACCTGGAATCCAGCTACATGGCCTGTTCCCGACAGAATATGAGGGTAAGACACACGGAGAAACCATCTTGATCTTCCACAACCCTAGGGTCGCTTGTTTGCGCCGTCAAAGGATCGCTCTGCTGTAGTAGATCATAAGTTTGGGCTGGCATAGAGTGATGATAGAATTGATCATACAACGTCAGCGAAGAAACAACGGCGCTGAAAGAATTTTGGTCTGGGTATCAAGAGTTAGTTATATCCATATGACTCACCCTACCGACCCAATAACGATCAATAAACTTTGATTCCATAACACGACACTTCAAGCTCATACGCCCTCGTATTGCACAGAGCATCTCCCGGAGGCCTGTCGCAATGATCTCTTTCATAATTACAGAAATCTATCTCACTCATACTTAGAGCACATAGCAGACCTGGTAGACTGAGGTTCAAAACTATAATATAACACCAAATAATTGACCTAACTACATTGTACGCCCTAACCACCAAGAATGAAAAGACATATTCTCCTGAGCAACCAAACCACTATCCCACAAAGGCAGTCCAAATCCCACTCGTCTATTTTGGCTTCTGCCCCCTCAGACAATTCTTCCAGTTTCTAGACTTTGCCACCTCACCCGCCTTTACACCCTGGTCTTTCCGGCTGAACTTTCCCTGTCCAGGTTTTGCTACATTCGGCTTTCTTCCAGCCAACTTACCTCCTATCTTTGCAAGATTACCAGCGTTTTTCGCTACAACGTTCACAATGATAGAGGCGATAGCTTCGAAAGCCATGACAATCAGAAGGATAGGGTTCTGTCGTTTCTGCTCCGTGGTACTGAGAGCAGTCACGTCAGCGTGGTCGATGACTGGTTCGAAATCGTCAACGATTGCGGGAACATCGAGGTGGGCATCTTTAATAGTTGGCGCCATGACTGATCTACGAGCTGTATCCATCTGGATTCCATCGCCGAGGCTCATGAACGGCGAGACGTAGTCATCAGACTTGATATCACTCTCATCGTCCGGGAATACCTTCTCGACCTCCCAGTCTTCAATGTCCTTGGGCCAGATAGCCAACGCGCTCTGCTCAAGGTTGTCCAGATAGTCCTCTGAGAACCCCCCATCGGCAAGGTCAATCATCTCATCGGTACCGAAAGCGAGCGCAACAAGCGGCAAGCACGACGCAATACGACGCAGTTTCTTCTGGTTCTTCTTGTCCTGGCGCTCAATGTTCATGCGCTCCCAGCTGGGCTTCTTGTTGATCATCTTGCGCTTGAAGCGCTCCTTGATGTCGCTCCAGAACTGCTTCAGCTTCTCCTTGGCAACCTCCTTGATGCGCCGCTTGATCTTGCATTGACGGTCGTTCTTGTCGCATTCTTGCTCGTTCTCGTCGATGCAGATCGTTTTGGTCATGTCTGGCTTGGTCTTGGGTGGGCAGCGGATGCATTTGGTGTCGTCGAGTGGATTGCGGATTTTGTTCTTCTTGCAGCGCGCTTTCTTCTTCTCGCAGGTATTGCCGTCAGCACGGGTGGTAAGTGAGCCCGGTTCAAGTTGCGCTGGTGGCTGCCAGGTACGGAGGACCGGAACGTTGGATGGTGAGCCACGGACACGGTGTGGAGGTGCAATTGCTACCGGTGGAGTATGCGCAGCAACGCAATGGTTGATAATGAGGAAGATAGCTTTGGTGCCCTGGGTGATCCGCATACTGAAGGGATTCGTTGATATTATATCAAATGAAGAGTTTGCAAGGACAAAGAACCTCAAAGAACACAAGCTCTTGATCGATATCGATTGTAGTGGAGTGTAAGAGTATATCTGAGTAAGAATGTGAGTACAGAAGTAATGATTCAATTTATGTGATACTCACTCATCATATATAGTCTGAAGTCGCCAAACTGGTGTCCATGTCGATGTCTCAGAGACCTTAATTCACTTACTATTCTCGACATTCGGTATGGAGATATTCTTAGCCATAAGGTTACACAGGATATGGCATCTAAAGCTCCCATTGCTACATGGACGCCCAAAAGGCCTGAATACTCTGTCTGTCTAAGGGTCAAGACATAGCCACCACGACTCTGATGGCTCTGGTCACATACACAGGCGACCAAGGTACCGGTCCATGAATAATTGAACTATTGCATATTCGAAAGGCACTTCTATTTCGAAATGGCTCGGGCTATTAGAATTTGTCCCCTTGTAAGGCCACCAGGGATCGAAGCTTATATGGGGAGCCCTGTCTAAGCCCTGCGCTGGGCGCCTTGTCCATGGCAAGCCTTGCCAAGCAAAACACCAGACGCCTTAAAGCCACATGCTATGCTGTATGCTCGCCTAATGCCTATACCCATTTACTAGGCTATGTCCAAGCCTCCGCTGGAGGCTTGATAGTTTGGCAAAGTCTATAGTACTGATAGTTTGGGGGATATGGGGCGTCCATAGGCTCAAACTCTTCTTTGTCAATGTATAGAAATATTTCGGTCACAGGGTCATGGATATTCGCATCAACGTTCAAGGCAGCACCTCTAAGGTAGCAGGAAGAAAATAGATGACTCGATTATGTTCGAATTTGGCGGTTGCGTACGAGAAGTTGTTCCGGCTATATTTTCAATGAATAGAACAATGGCAATGAAATCTCAATGAGTTGCGGCACATGACGCAGCCTAATATGCAATACTGCCTTAAAGCATCTCCAGTGTACAAGACCTTGAGTGCCATGTCATATATTGTCTCTTTGAGTAACAAACTATAGTCGAGTAATGCATACATCAATTAGAGAGCAATCACTTACTTCACTAACATATGGATAACACGCTCTTTTTTGTAGTAATAGCAAAGCGAAACAAATTCCACTCTTCTAAACTCTACAACAGACACAAAAAACCACCAGATACCAACTCATCAACCTCCACCCTACCCATCCAAATCACCCAAATCCCAAACCTCAAACGACCCATACCCAACATCCTGACACCCCTTATCATCCTTCCACACAATGATATTATCCTCATCCGGTCTGCAATCGTCCGACTTGAAGAAGACAACGACATGGTTATTGTCCTTGGCATCATCGCGTTGAATGACAACGCTCGATGTGACGCCGGCGAATTCGCGACGGCAGCCGTCGCCGGGGTTGTACTCCTGTTTGCCGTTTGCTCGTCCACTGCATTTAGCGGAGCCGTAGGGGCTGAGTGTGAAGCCGTTGACGGTGCTGAGGGACGTTAGGGCGGCGAGGAAGAAGAGGAGTTTGGTCATGGTTGTTGATAAGTGGTTTTTTTTGAGGTCGTCCTAGTGATATGGACAGATTCTTTGATTATAGAGTAGTTTGGGAAGGAGGTGTTTTTGTAGTGTGATGTGAGATGGTTTCTGGAGTGTTTGTGAACATGAAATATATATATATATATATATATATTTATACTACAGTAAATCTACATTCATATCATCCTCTAATGGTCGAACAGTAACTAGCGCCTTGCATAGGGCGCCTGAAAGTGTCTAACATGACCTGCGCCGCAAGTTGATAGTGCCAGTGGCTTAGGTTGACGGTATATGCTTTAAGGCGTGCTACAATGCTTAGACCTCCTTAGACTTTGAACTCCCGCAGCATGGACCACATAAGGCAAGCAAAATAGGAACTTTAGTGGGTGTCCATTCTCTGATTGAATTCCTAAGGTCCTATGCAAATGATGTCCCTGAGCGGCGTAGTCTCTGAATGTGACCGTGATGAGAATAGAGTCTGGTCTGATATTGCAAGTTTCAACCACCAAATGGTGACAAAATGGACATAATGTTCAAAGCACAGACACCAGATATTACGCAGGCTAGGGGTAGAGTTGAAGAAATATTGGTAGATTCGCGAGTGACGAGTACAATCGTACCAAAAATCTATAGATCCATGGTACATGCAACGTCTGCCATGCCAAATCAATCTTCTTCAATAGCCCCAACCCGCTCTATCAAATCCACCATCTGCTGCCGCCCCGCCCACCCACTCCGCACACAACTCCTGCGAACCCGCGCCCCACGCTGCAACAAATAACGAAAAAGAGCATCATGCCCCCCAATTAAAGCCATATCCAACGCCCTCCCAACATATACCGGGCCCTCCCTAAGATCATCCCCCAGCGGAGTAACATCCTCATTGACATCAGCCCCAGCCTCTACAAGCAGCACCACACTCTCCATATCACCCTTCTGGCACGCAAACTGGAGAAACCCGGAATCACGAAACCATGCTAATCCGAAATGCTCAAGGAAGACCCGGATTGCGGGTGCAGGGGGGAGGTATTGTGCGTGCTCTACTGAGTATCGTGCGCGGTGTTGGGTGCCGCCGTGGTGGAGCCACCAGCGGATGCATTCTGGGCCCATTTGGAGGATTGGCCAGTAGCTTCGGCTGTAGGAGAGATTCTTGGGCTTGGTCTTCCATTGCATGAAGTCTAGATCGTGGAGAAGGTCGAGCCATCTTGTGTCGTTCGTGCTGGGATGTATGTAGTTCAGGATGCGTGTGCCTGCTGAGATATCTGCACCGTGGTCGATACAATAGGAGAACAAATCGAAGTTGCCTTCTCTAGCGGCGGTGTAGAGTAGAGGTTGGAGGACGTATGATTCTGGTATGTTGGACTTGGCTAGAAGGACACTTACGTCCGCACCGTTGTAATTGCGAGCGTTCATGTACAGTGTTTCAAGGCTCGTAGTATCTGTATTAATATTAGATATCATTCGCAGGGAGCTAGAAGTCATTGTCTAACCTTGGACAGGGACAAATTCGGTGCTCAAGACTATCTTGCGGATTTCTTCAAGTTCCCAATTGCCAGAAAGCCAAGGTCTGCAGCCCTCCAAGTCCTCGTCATGCTTGACACCTTGGTAGTGTATCAGGACATTGGACCAGAACTCAGTTGTCTGGATCTGACCACCCTTCAATGCCATGTTGGCATCCTTGAAACACATGGATCTGGAAGACATAGGTGGAGCAAATTCGGTAGACAAGTAGCGACGTAGAGGAAGTGTGATACTCTGAAGGAGACAAATTGTCACGATTGTACTTCACAAGACTGACATGCAATACTGTTTGGCAAGAACATAGGTCGCGCAAGTGTACAAAAGGTCAGTCCAGATTAGTGGAATGCCTAATGGGGCCCTGATGCGACGTCGGACCCAAACCACACCAAGGCGCGACATTGATCCTTTCATACTACACAGCCCAATCCCACCTTGACCCAAGACTCTGGCCAAGATAACCTTGTATTTGACTACTTGCAGTCTTGTGATAATAGTTCCATGCTTAGCGTTGTGCTTCAACGCCATGGACTTTCCCGTTATACAGCACACGGCAACCAGTACTTGACAACTTCGAAGCTATTGCTCAAGGCGTGCTAGGCTCCTGGATATGATCGACCCCTTGTGGCTTTACTATACTTTTGTCTAGTGCTGTCAACATGCGACTGGACTGGACTTCGAACGGCAGTCTCTGCTCTCAGTTTGCTATTTTGGGCTTGCGGGAGAGATGCGCACCTGAATGAGTCTCGTAAAGTGTGAGGAGACAGTACAGCCTCAACGGATGAAGTAGGCCTTGATCCAATTGCAGTATTGAATCGTTGCATAGTGTTGTCGTAGTTGCAAGAGTACTTCAAGCTGCATTGAAAGAAATTAGTATATCAGTCCAGTGTTTTCCTTCTTGCATAGTTCTTCTACAGCTCATTATCACTTATACCTTGACAATATACTCCTCATAAGTTGTAGAAACATCCTCATAGCACCACAAATCCCAGGTTCATCTACCATGAAGTCGTTACTCTTCAGCCTTGTCCTCTCAGGCGCTCTGCCCCTAGCAACAGCGATCCCACAACGACTCTCATCGAGAGGAGTCATACCAGAAACCATGTTCTCAAACACCCTTGGACCTGTTGGAAATCCCAATGTTATAGGCGCGCAGTTTGGAGTCCGAGACGACACCTGCCGAGGCCACCTGACCGACAACTCCAAAGATTATACATCTAAGTGCTGGGGTATGGACAAGTTCACCGTCAATGTAAGAGTTGCATGCTTTCGTTCTACAGTAGTACGAACAATTCCGACCAGCGTTCGGACAGGAGTTCGTGAGAAACCGAAAGTCGGAGATCAATGACTGCGCTCGACCGTGTCTATTCTACACCTCAAGTCTCTCAGGGGCTGCAGAGGCTCAGGGTGGCTATGTCCTGCGCTCAGCCCTGCAAACAGCCGCAACGGAGGAGCGCAAATACTTGACTATCTGGGTACGTCTTCTGGACCTCCTATCCATGCCGGACCCGCTGATTCATCGTAGGAGTTACATGACGACAAGTACTACCCCTTCGACAAAGACTGGAGCATCACTCCCGAGTCCAGATGCGCCTTCGAAGACTTCGACAAGAAGGACGAAGTCGACAAAGTAGACGGCTGCCAGAGATCGTATTTCCGAGCCATGTCCAAGGCCATGGCCCTGCAATGCAGTGGCGAAGTCTTCATCCTGACCAATGGCCCCGACCCAGATAAACTACGGGTACCAACGAATGGCATCTGGTGGGACACGGAGTTCCCGACTCTGATTACTGGTGCCCGACCCGACGACAAGAAAGTTACAAAGGTCAGTCAGTTCCCGACATTGCTCCTGCCGTATTGCTGGATTGTCAGCTGAGACGTATCAATTTAGATTACATATCTCCAAATCGATAATGTCCCTAAAGAAAATCGCAAAGATGCGTCGAATCCACCCGAGATTATCAATCAAGGGGAGTATTGGCCGCAGGGACCGGGCGCGGATCATCTCAGAGATTGGAACAAGCAGTTGGGAGCAACCGCGAATCCTGGTGCCCGGCCAGGAATGCATCCTAGAACGAACGAGATGAGTGGCGTTGAGCTCAGCAATAGTAATGACACCATGGTCGCAGCCAAGCCTGTCCAGAGTAGAAGCGAAGAGGATCAGCCAGAGATCCTGACGCCAGACGATGGAGATGAATATCCTTATGCTTGGTCTATTGAAGACATGGTTGACATGTACGGGGGCATCCAATGGTAATATATGGGAAGTTATAGAGAAAGTCGGAAGAGAGTCATGTTAGGGAGTTCTGCTTTATTTCAGTCCATATATCATCGTCATTAGCATTTTCAGTGTATTTCATATAGATAAGCCGAACTTTTGCAAACCTGGATTAGTACCGATACCTAAGCATCTAAAAAACCACGTTCGCAGACAACGTAGTAGACCATACTTGCCATATCGTAGACCATGTAATTTTGGTAGATCATACAGTGCTATATCCCTATGTTCTTCATAAATGTGCAAGTGGCTGTCTCGCAGAGCGTCAGAAGTAGCGATGGCGGATGTCAGTCTATACGAGAACGAAATAGAGCGAGTCAGATGACGATGAGTTTGGGAGGACCTTCTGCGCACGCGCTTCTGCGATCTCGTTCTCATGGTCAGCGACTCTATTTCAATTTGATTAGCGTTCCATGATCTGACTGTCTGGACTGGTGCTGTTGAAATTGTATGATATTTGTGGAATATTATTCCGACTATTGGATGTCCTTTTACTTGGTATACATATCCCCTACAGCATTCGATCGGCCCAAGCCTTGAAGCCTCCTCGTTTCTCAGTACTGCCCGGCCTTTCTTCCTCACTGCCTTCTGCATCGGCCCCATATCCGCTGCGCTCATATAGCTCATCCGGGAGCACTGCCTTCTCGATAAAGGTATCACGTGGCGGGAACACCGTCTCCAATCCCACGTATACAAGCGACGTTGCAACGAATCCCAGCAGCCAACCGAACTGATACGGATGAACGCCCACGCCAACTTCGATGTCTGAGTTGATTGAATTGATAAAGCCTGGCATGTTTGGCGCGATGCCAATCAGAAATGCGACTAGCGCGCGCCAGTTGATACCGTGACCGTAGCTGTAAATGCCATATGGCTGGAAGAGCGCGACGGTATCATATTTCCTACCATGGATGTACCAGAAATCCCAGACCATAATGGCGGCAATAGGCCCGAGGAATATGGAATATGCGCTCATGAAGTTAAGGAAAGTTCCGGCACTAATAAGGATCTTCCAAGGAACCAAAGCCCAAGCGAGCAGGGCGCATATCAATTGTCCTCTGCGGATGTTGACGTAGCTTGGGAACAGCGCAGCCAAATCATTTGCGGCGGACAAGGAGTTTGCGCTAATGTTGACGCCGAGAGAGGCAACAGCGAAAGCGAAGGCGACGAAGAAACGCACGGCGCGGTTAGGGAAGTGAGACACGAGAGCCATTGGGTCCCAGTCAAGGGTGCCATACTTAACTTGGCCGGCATTCGTGGCTGCGACACCACAGAAGGAGATGAACGTGAAAACGATCGGAAGCATGGGCACATATAGGAGCTGCCACTTTACGGAGACTCGCGAATAGCGGGAGAAGTCGGCTTGGTTTACTGAGAGAGTTGCGTAGTTGCCGATGACGGACGTAAGACTGGAGAGAAAAGCCCAGCTGTATGCAGGCCCAGATATTGTAGCTCGTTGACTGAATATGTCAAGACTGTCAGTTGAAACAAAAGCCCAGATCATAAGACCAATGAAGGCAATTGGCGATACGACGCTCTTGAACATGAATAGCCACCGAACCTTATTTGGGTGGATGTACAGGAATGGGAGCTGGGCGAGCCAGAATAGCACGAATGATATCATTGTGTTGGTCGTGATACCTTGATCGGCTGGGATGGTGTTTTTCAGCGTCAAGAAAGACGGCCAGATTGCGCCAAGCATAACGCGTACGGTGTTGGCGCCGTTCATGGTTTGAATCGCGAACCAGAAAACGGCCAAGATGGCGCGGGAGATGATTGCAATATAGGATCCCCAGAAGCCCCAGCTGGCTCGCGCGAGTACAGGAAAGGAGCAATGGTCTGATGAGGTATCAGCTCGGTTGGGTCGTAAAGGAGATTTAACAGCTCACGAATAACACCGGTAGCACCATTAAGTGCGATCACAATGGAAACAATGAAGAACCCTAAGGCAACAACACCAAGCGACTCCCTCCACGAAAGACCTAGCAGCAAGTCAGTGACTCGGCAGCAGAGTGTATTGATGGTGCTCACCGATGGCAATAACACTGGCAGCAAACTGCCAAGTGGCAGAGTTGAAGGCATCAGAGATCCAATATGCGACGAAACTTGTGACACCCCATTTCCTCTCATGCGCAGGGACTGGATCTAAGTCTTTATTCGTCCTTGATGAATATCAGCATGTCATGTTCGCTTGTTGTTTGCTTGCCAGGGGCCTAGACGAGGTAACTCGTCGTGACTAGCGTGGAGCTGCAGCTTACCATCGCGAGTTTCCACCCTCTGAGAAGATGGAGTCAGGTTGCTGCACGCGCAGTGATGGAAGCGCAGACTTCATACTGCAACTTGTCAAAGGCGACACTGCCCTGGCGCAGATGAAGTTAAGGGACAGGCAGATGGCGGAAGAGAGACGATAGAGGTCAAACTTGGAGATAACGACGGTCCGGGGGTTGGGAAGACTACTTATGAATCAATAACCACGCAAAGCCTACGAACCAGGACCCTAGAACACTACTAATTAGCCCTAATTAGCTCTCTCTCCTTCAACGCGATTCAGCATTGGCATCATAGTATGGAGTGACCTTTCCCGCCGATCTTTTACCATACTAGGATTAGCGCCCGAGCCTGATAAGCTTCCGCGCAGTGGCGTCGGTTCCGCGTGGTGTGGCATCGGAATCCCTGCTCTTTCCTGGCTCGATCTGTTCCTTCCTTTCTTCTTGGCCCGCGCCTTCCTGCTTCTTGGTCTGCGGTCTGGGCTCCTTCCACGGGTCGGCAGATAAACAGACAGCCATAATACAGATGGTTAATACATCACGTAGTTACACTGCTGCAGTCACAGGTAAGCACAAGACCTGGAATTTGCCATTCAACGACGCGAGGGCTCACCTTGAGGCGTTGCTGATAAGCACACTGACACAAGCACTGACACTGGACCAGACGTTGACGGCCGGCCGTGCCCTCCCTTGCTCGGTAGATTAGTGACCTGTCATCCTTTATCATTAGAGATGCCTGCAGTGGTGTATATATTCTATATTTACCTTGATCTTGATTTTATGATCTAAAGGCTTCGCGCTAGCCATCCAGCAATACCATCGACCATCTCTTCCAGGACTTGCATCTCTGCCTTGATGTTCAGCATCAGCATCACCTGCAGCTCCCGCCTCCCTTCGCTACGTATGCGGTCCATAGCGTCCACCTCTGTGTTTCGTGCCAATGCTGAATTTGCCAACATGCTCCGTGCCTTGCGACGATCCCTTCCACTCATCTGCAGCGTTCTGTCTTCAGCGACGCCTGCATCTGCATCTGCACCTGCATTCGTCGCAGCATAGCCGTCCGCGGCGGGGTGCAGAAGATGATGGCTCTTTAGCCCTAAGTAGTACAACATGTCTGGGTCTAAGCTAAGTGCTGCCGTCTCGTGTGCCAATGCCTTCGATCCAAAAGCATATGTTGACATGATAGATATGCCATCTGGATCAAAGTCCACGAGGATGCCAATGCGTGGGAGCTGCGTAGCGCTTAGATTTGCGCTGGCAATCCTGTGAAGGAATGCTCTTGTCGACAAATCAGGATATCCTTTGGCCTATCTCTGTATCAGGTAAATACTGAGTATTGAACATTCGATGCACTTACTGTGATAAGCACGATCTGCGAGAACAGATGCTCCCACTGCACCGACGAGATAATTGATCTGAATGATGCTTCCTTCTCGATCACGACGATCCACTTGGTTTGTTTCAAGTCGATACCAACGACATCTGCGGAGTTCGGAACAAGCATACCATTCTTCTCCGATGCAACGCTCCGGGATGTCCCATCAGATCTGGAGATCGTAAAGTCGCCCGCGACAAGCCCCTTAGCAGCAGCGGACTGAGAGAGCTACATTAGCCATATTCTGAGAACGCGAGGATCTCGACATACCACGTTTAGCATGCTTCGAGACACACCAAAAGTAAAGGCCAGGTCATCAATGTACCTGTCAACCACAGCTTGCTTGACAAACAGCGTTGGATGTCGGTAGTAGATGTCTCTATAGCACTGTCATGAACACTCAGCTTGACTACATCTCCCGGAACTGACCTTTTTGATATGACGGTATCAGTAGCCAAAGCTCCATGAACAAGCTCGAGTATCTTGATCAGTACAGCTAAGAGTTTGGTCAGCTCGTTCAGTAGGTTGGAGCCGCGTTAAGGCTACTATATCTCCATGCTTCGCTCGCATTAGCTCCCGGGAAGCATATTTGCCTTCTACAAGTAGTTTGTGGACCTAGTTGAGTCTCGGTATCATTTCCACTGCTAGCACGAGAGAGTAGTGTGATAGAGAGCTTGGGTTCGTTTTGCAGAAGTGCGTCAGCTGTGTCCTCGAATATACGCTCAATATCGGCAACGACTGCCTCTCTATGGTGTCATCAGTAACTTTGCAGAACATATGTAAATTTAAACCAGGCGAAGCTTCTACCTGTCCTTGTTTGCTTTAGTTAGATTTGTGTTTGAAGCTGGTTTCAAGGCCGGCTGCATCACTTGATGCAGCTGGGAGTTATGGTTCTTGTCAGTGGGCTCCGTCATGTCATCCAGGCCGCAGTCAAGCATATCACTGTCATCGTAGAAACAATTTGTGCCGGAGTTTGATGAAGCAAAGAGGTCAGGCGAAGATGGCATCCAGTTCGTGGGGCTTTCAGATGGCTCGAACAACATATCTTCGAGTTCGTCATTTTCAACATACATGATATATGGATCCGAGAGTTTCCAAAGCAGTAGGTTAGCGGAAGGCAGCCTTGGTCAAGACCGAGCCTTGGATGAAGGGTCGTGACGCGCTAAGCTCAGTATTCACTAGCTCCGAACGCGTCGGTGCGCGTCGGCCTCAAACCACTTCCCCTTCAACAACCATCCAACTAAGTAACAACTTCCACTGCAGCCACGTTTTATTCCCGCCTTGGGCCAAGAACCTTTCTATGTAACTGTGCCGACTGAAAGGTTCCTCTGTTTATGTAGAGAATATCACAACTGGAGTCGGTATCATGTCAGCCCAATCACTGTCGCCGCCGAGAAAGCGCCCACACCCCGATGAAGGCCCAATTCCGGTCGAAACGCCTACTCGAGATGCAACAGTAATTGTCGACTTATCCGGTGACGAATCACCTTTAAGCTCAGTGCCATCGCTTTTGCTGCAAGACGCGTCTGAGAACTTGAGTGCTTCAGCAGCTTCAGGGGCCAATGACATCGCGACAACAAAACAGCCTCAGAAAAGACGGAAACTTACGCCTGCTGAAAAGGAACAGCAACGACTTGATAAGGAGGCAAAGGATAAGGCACGGGAAGCGACCAAAGCCCAGAAAGAATTGGCACAAAAAGAAAAGAAAGAAAAACTAGAAGAAGAGAGGCGTACGAGGGATGAGGCTGCCAGAGCTAAAAAGGAACAGCTTGAGGAAAAGAGACGAGCCAAGGAGCTTGAGCAAGCAAGAAAGGACGAGGAAAAGGCGAAGAAGGATCGAGTTCGTCACAAGAGCCTCCTCATCCCAAAACATTATGCTAATGACTGCTAGTCACAACTGCGGCTCAATGCATTCTTTGTGGCCCCAAAGACTACAGCCATATCCACAACGCCGTCAAAGTTGCCTATCTTGAGTGGCACCCCTGAGCAATCCGGGCGAAGGAAGTCTATTTCGGCAACGCCAGAGGACCTCGGAAACGGTTCTGTACCACCATCACCTTCAACTAGAATATCCCGGATCCATCCCAGCAAATCGTCCATTCTGCCTTTTGAACTACCCTCAAACACAACCATGGCCTCTACAAGATTCACACAGATGAGCCATCGAAAGTTGGATCGACTCCGCCAACGCCTGGACGCGATCGTATCGGAGGGATTCCACGCTCCAAGTCGGGAAGAGATCATAGCAGAGTTAAAGTTAAAGGTCATACGACAGAGAGTCGATATCCTTCAGTCAGATTCAGTCAAGCATCTGATGGAATTGGTAAGTGGGACATCAACACATCCTATTGATCTCACAAGCGACTCTACCATTCCAAGCGAAAGAGAAGCCCTAGAATGGCTTCGGAAGGTTCCTGTGAAATATCTCGAATTCGGAGAAGATGTTAGACCTCCATACTGTGGCACGTATACAAAAAGGATTCCGAAATCGGAGGCGAGGAGATTAGCCATTAATCCCCGGACACCAAAGCTCCCGGAGATCAATTACCAGTACGACTCAGAAGCAGAATGGGAAGAACCCGAAGAAGGAGAGGATATTCTTTCAGACGGCGAAGAAGATCTCGAGAGCAACGATGATGGTGAGGATATGGATGGCTTTCTCGACGACGAAGAAGCTGTCGACAGTAAGCGCCGTATGGTCGGCGGTGATCTCGAGCCTGTTAACAGTGGACTTGTGTGGGAGAATGCGTCTGGTGTTGCATGCTGCCGGGAAGGCCCGGTGCCATCTGGCTACGCCGAGTACAAGATGTGTTTCCTCCTCGGTAAATATGACACTCGCTGCTTGTACGGTACTCACTAATCACTCAAAAGAACCTTCACCGAGCTCAATTGACCCGTTCTCCACGGCATACTGGGCACCCGAACCTATAGTATCAACGGCAAACCTCTCAACTGCCTTTGGTATGGGTACTATGTATCCTCCACGTCTTCCATTGAGCGTGAGGTCTGATGGTATGATCAATCACGTGAATATACCCCATACAATGTATAAGAATTCTAAACTCGCGACTGTCTTTGGCACAGTCCCAAAAGCGCCGGAACCACAGAAGCGAATGGTCGCCCCGGAACAACTCGAAGAATTCAAGGCCGCTATCAGAGGGAGCGATCTCACGAAGATTGCCCTGATTGAGCATCTCAAGAAACAGTAAGTTGTTACAGCAGGTAACATGTATCACTCACTAACACCTTGCAGATTTCCGGATATCAAGAAAGATCTGATCCTGAACACGCTCAATGTTGTTGCACACCGTGTAGGCCCTGATTTGAAGAGCAAAATATGGGAGCTGAAGTAGAACTATGTAAGAGCATTGCTACTTACTAAATTTCAAGCAGCAGCATTTCTGAGTATGCCGCCGAGAGCCCTAAGCAAGGTTGCACGCTACTTGGAATATTTCAGCGATGGACACATCGATTGGAGATCTTGGACCCAACTCCTCTGTATCAAAAAGTTGTGCCACGACACACGCGACCCTGTACCATCGCCAGGGAACCCAGGAAGGCCACCGTGGCAAGCTGCACTGCAACGTCACTTTCCAAGTCCATATCAATCCGTGGTCGGGGCAGCGACATTAGTCCCTCACAAGCACACGACCCGTCCTCACGGCTCGCCCGCCCTCCAGGACATTCTGAATCACATGTCCACTTATAGTACACCGGTATACGAAGACTGTACCGACTCTCAACATGCCAATTAGCGTCCACAGTATCAAAGCGAGCACAACAGTAACGGAGCGTCTAGCGTTGTGAGCATTTACAATGGCAGAGCATGGATATGTATGGTAGGTAGATCAAAAAAGTCAAAAAAGCATCAATGACAAAAACATCATCAATCAAATAGCTCCTGCGGCATAGCATGCAATCCTCCTCATAAATATCCCGTTTCTGTGATCGACGTGTCTCCACGCGCCCCAAACTACGCCGCAGCCATGCATTAGCTTTCTCGATCCCCCATTGGCGCCTGCATCTGAATCTCAGCCGTTTTTCGTCAAGGCTAGTGGTCATTTGACAATCCGTGCCGCTGCAAGTTCGAATTTCCACGCTGTCGCTTGTGGCTTGCATACATGCAGATGGATGTTAATATCTACCTCCGAGCCCGGGAATCTGGGTATGTGGCGCTGTCAAAATTTCTTGGCAAAGGGCGCAAATGTGACGGCACACCCTGATTTAATCATCGATACTGACTCAGATTCATTGCACAAGAGACCCTTTTCTGCGCTATTGCAATACTTGGTAAACGAGGCTATAAATACGTGTCCACTACGCTACAAACGTGGGGCTAGTACATGGCGTGGATATACTACACGCTGTGACTGTTTAGTATCAATGTCTCGTCTGCGGTATGGATAGATGGCTCTTTGTATGTGAGTCTTCGGTTTCTCTTCGCCTGTCCTACACCTCCCTTTTCTCCCTCCCGCCCGGCTTCCTCACTAGGCTGCGTCTCCTGGATCCCGGTGGAGTGCGACACACTGAACCACTTGCTACCCTGTTACAGTGTCCTGCGTATGAAAGAGAGGTTTCGTCGTGCGAGAAGCTTATGGTATACCTGGCTGCTGCTGTTCGTGGTGGAGGGAGGAGGTAGTACGAGGGTATTGTGGAGTACTTGCTATGCTGCTGAGTATGTAGGTGAGGTGACTGGCTGTGGAAGCGGGTGATAGTTCGAAGTTAGGTTTGTGTGTGGTGTGTTTTGTGTGCTTTCAAGTGATTTTGAGATAAAATAGGGGTTGTTCTCTGTTCGTTGGATTGGTTTAATCTGTTAGCTGGTTGGTGCGTTGGCGAAGAAGGGCTGGGGAGAAGATAGTGTTATCAGGGGTATCGTTGGATGTAGTGAGTCGTCGATGTATGGAAGAAGCTACGGAGAGAGTAGTATAAGGGGTGGGACAGAAACCTGCTTTATGTGAATTATGTAAGAATTCTTAGAGTCAATGAGCTGACTAACTCTGCCAGATGATCATCAAAAGTTATAGCCATTATATGACAAGGCAATCTTTATATAGAGTCTATCTCCCAGACCCCTCTTGCCCGACTTCGCCCTCCCGCCACACCAAATTCCCCGTTTTGCCCCCATCCACACGCACAACCTGGCCATGCACACTACCACTCATATTCCCACTCGCCAACACAACACACGTCTTCGCCACGTCTTCAACCGGCACAGGCATACGCCTCGGCACAGTAGCTTGCGCATCAACATAAAACTGATGCGGGTCCGCCGCACATTCCTCCCTAAACCGAGGCGTATCAACAGGCCCCGGCGCAACTGCATTGACGCGGGCATACGGCTGAGCCTTGGGCACGGCTTCAGCAAGGGAACGCAAAAGACCATGCAGGGCGGCCTTAGAGGTAGCGTAGATAGGGATAAGCGGAGTGCCGAAGTGTGCGGCCTCGGACGAGCAGAGGATCAGAGAGAGATGTTTGGGAGACGACGGATGTGGCGTTGCGAGGCGCTGGATACCGGCCAGCCATGCTTGTGCTATGACCATGCTACCGATAACGTTGACGTCGAGGACGGTCCTCCATTTTTTAACGTCGCCTCCGATCAGGCCGTCTTTGGAGAGGACACTTAGGTCCAGGCCGGCGAGACACACGCATGTGTGCACGTCGCCCAGGTGCAATCTGGCGAGGTCGAATGCTTGCTTGACGGATTCCGGGTCTGTTATGTTGGTGCGTATGGCCAGGAGCTTCGGGTGGTTGGCATGGTGGGGTTGGACTTGCGGTTCTAGGATTTGATCTTCGGGTTTGTGAGCAATGTCCAATGAAGTTACGTTGGATCCGGCAGATAGAAATGCAGCGACGACGACACGACCGATGTGGCCAGCGCCGCCAGTGATGAGGACATGATGGCCCTCGAGGCCGAGAGAGAGGTCAATGGAGCTTGAGGGAGCTGTCGACATGTTTGATCTCTGTGTATGATCTGTATTCTTGTTACGATCTCGGAAGAGGGGTCGAGTTAGGATCATGTGATCTATCTCCTGTTTGTGGCATGGCTTGACAAGAGCAGACTAGGCCTTGATAAGGCATAGAGCAGCAATATCTATGCTGATGATGTTCCAGACTATAGAATAGAAATAGAAGTATTAGCACGGCCTATAGGAGTTCGGGTGCCGAGGTCTTTTGATATATCCTCTGATGATATTGGGTATCTATTAAGCCACTTAATCTTGCATATCCTTCTTGGCCTGCCTGAGCTTCTGCTGGTCTCTTTTCAGCGATTTAATGAACTTGTTGCTCGTGGCAGTCTTCTTCTTCAATTGCTTGTTTCGGCTCGCATTATACTCAACATAGGCCATGTCCTTTCCACCGGCCAGCTCGCTGAGCATACCAGCCTGTCTCCTGACGCCAGACTTCTTGCCCTTCCGAGACGAATTATTGCTGAAAAGGTCTCCTTCAATCTGCTCGGCCTCAGCCTGTGATTCGTTTTGGAGCAAGACTTCTTGTAGTAATTCTCGTCGTTCTTGTGGTATATTGAAAGAAAGCCCCTGCAAGTTTTCGATGCCTTGGAGATGGGTGATGACCTTGAACGCATAGCCTTGATCAACCAGGAAAGCCTGTCGCTTTGACGAATAATACATCTCCTGCGTATCTTTCGATACTAAGGAGTAGAAGAAAGCATTGAAGCCTTCGTCATTACGGCGCTTAGCTCGCAAGATACGGCCCAGGCGTTGGGCTTCTTGACGACGGGAGCCGTAGTGCGAGGAGATCTGGATGAGACATGTGGCTTCTGGAAGATCGAGTGATGTATCGCCGATTTTGGAGAGGAAGACCGTGTTGACAAGCTCGTTGTGTTGAAAATTCTCGAGGATGCGCAGACGTTCTTGCTGAGGTGTTCCGCCGTAAATATATGCTTTGCCAAGTTTTCGGGCGTACTTCTCGAGGGCGTATACATTATCGGAGAACACAATGACCTTGTCGCCACGCTTCTCGTGGTAGTCGATAAGAAACTGGCACGCCTGGAATTTCCTTGGATTCATTGTGAAGAGCAATGCCCTACGGTTGACAGTATTGGCCTTCAGGTACTCGGTATAGAACTCCGTAGTCATTGGACACCAGACTTCAGCACACTGGACTTTTGCGATATGACCCTGCTCGGAAAGCTCTTGCCAGTTTGCTTCGTATAGCTTCGGACCAATGAGAAAATTCAAATCGTCAATCTTTTCATCTTCACGTAGAAGTGTGGCTGTCAAACCAAGCTTTGAGTGAGTAGCGACACCATATGTGACACGCTTGAACATATCTGCTGGGACGACGTGCACCTCATCCAGTAGCATGAGCCCCCATTCACGCTCAGTAATAAAGTCCATGATTTTTTTGGAATCGTGAGACCGCCCTTTTGTTTGTGTAATCATACTGTAGGTGCTAATTAGAATACCAGTGTTACCGTGAAATTTATCTTTGTTATCAGCAGTGAAAACTGCAATATCGTTCGGGTTGATGTTGGACCACTTTAGAAATTCTGCACGCCATTGGACGACAGACATCGCACTCGTACATAGCACAATAACACCCTTCTTGACTGTGCATGCTGCTGTGATTCCAACAAGAGTTTTGCCAGCACCACAAGGTAAGACAATGATGCCAGATCTTGCACGGCCATTTCCAAACATTTTGTTCAATGCCTGCTCCTGATACGGTCGAATCTGTGATGATGGTTTCAGATCAATCTCTAGATTGGCATTTGCCTCGTCGTTCCGAAAGTCATATTCTTCTGTTAAAGGAAGGTCGATTTCTCGACATTGCTTGGAGACTTGTTGTCTATCTTCTCCCGCGATTTGAAAAGCATGTACTTCATCTACCCCTTCATCGTCATCGTCATCGTCTTCTCGGAGAGTTGCCATGATGTCTTTGTCGGCTGGTTGTACTGCTTGATTCGCTCCGGCGGCCAGTTTAGTGCCCGGAATGGCCAAATTACCCATAGTAGGCGCAGCTTGTTTCTGGATCCCAGCCTCAGAATCTATGCGACATTTCCGAATGATGGGGTCTTGGAGGAGACGTTGAAGCACGGCAGGGTCACTGCTCTCAATGAAATATTTGGTATTTTTAAGCACAAGTCGGGCTTTCCCGAAAGACTCAGTGGATCGTCGTATGAAACTTATTAGATCTGGATCCAAAGGCACTTTGCTAAACATGTCCAAGTCTCGTATAATATCTTCGGTGGTAAGGCCGACCGATACCGCTGCAAAGAGGGAATGCGTAGTCAGATTATATTCGTGCATTCGAGACACACGAGACTGAGGTTCCGCAATATTGATAAGGAACGTTTGCGCTTCTTTGAACATTTCAGAAAAACTCTCGAGAATGATCCTGCCATCCGGATCTACCCAGAGTGGCCTTTGATCATGGTCAGGTTTCAAATGTGCCCCAAACTGATCGCTTTTGGTGAATAAATGTGAGGCAGCATCTGCTTGTGAACGCGCGACATGTTTCTTAGGCGCCCATCTCTCCACAGCCCTTCGAATATTATCATCGTCCGAGTCACTCTCTACATTTGCATCTACAGTGTATTCATCGTCCTCGGGCGTGGTTCCTCGTGCTCGTTTGTTCGCTGGCGTAGAAGAACCTGACGCAAGGCTGCCATTCTTTCGTTTCGATGCCATAGGCACGATCCGTTATGCTAACGCGCTATAGAGCGTGAAGGAGCGAGAGTCTCGGCTTCTTGCGGCAGACTAATCAGGCGCGTAGACGAGGAGGTTGTTCAAAGCGGAGAGGCAGATTTGGTGTTGAAGAAAACGACGATATGGAGAGTGAACGAACGGAATGCAGTTAATCAGCGGCCAAGACACATTCATATACTAGGTAATTGCGGATGCCGTCCGGAGCTGACTCATCACCCGCTAGGCCTGATCAAGACCGCGATTCGTCGTCATCCTGCACGCTAATCCGACCTCCACCTGTTTACTGGGTGCAGTGGAGCTGAAGGTTCGCGACTGTGCAGAACCCTTTACCGAAGCTTCCCGCATGAACATCTCCCATGGAAATTGCATAGAACAGTCATGATCTGATGCGATGGGGGCGTCTGATTCAAAACTCGTGTTCAAGCAAGGTATCTTTCGCCTTTCTGAAGAGAAAGAGATTCCCGCCGATGATCCATATTGGACAAGTGTAGGTGCTTACACATTACGTGCCTAGTAGGAGTACTAACAGTGGTATGCTTGTAGTTTTGGGAGCTGCCAGAATCTGCGGAAGATATCTTTTCACTTTTCTCACCTGCCGATATACGTCGTGCCCGAGACAATTCCATAGCGAACCTCGAAACTCTCGTTCTAGCCGTAACATCGCGCCTAACAGTGCTTCGCAACCACCCTTCGTTCCCCGATCCTGAAAACGCACCTGAGAGAGATGCACTGAACTGTATTCGCGTTTTGACTAGGGTTCTTCCCTTCATCTACGAAGCGGACCACCTTGGAGAATGGGAGGAGAGGTTCTTCTGGTCGACGCGCATGAAGCGTAGCCGGAGAGGACAGCTGAATAAGGACTCGGAGGTCTTGTTCGACGGAGCAAGCCCGGACAACACCACTCCCACTCCAGGGGAGCAAGAGTTTGAGGTAGCCAAACCGCTAGCTGAAGAGCTCATCGACAATCTAATCGATCTTCTTTTCTTCTCCGAATTTACCACAGCACGCGCACCTGCCGGAAAGGACAAAGTTACGTACGCGATATGGCAGACAGGTGTCGGCTGCAACACTCCGGTTGCATCCACGAAAGAAATGGAGAATAATAGAACAGAGGTGCTCCGGTTGCTCCTGGTTCTCGCCAGCAAGTCTATGTACATGTCTGCGAGTAGGTTTAGAGTTGGTCCCCATTCTGCGCACACACACACTCATAGCCTTCAGATGTCCTGCCTGTCACTGGTATCCGAACAATCACATACATCACCACGACTTCCGACAAACAAGTAGTCTTGTCAGTTTTGTGCTCATTGTTAAATACGGTAGGGAGAAAAAGTGTAATGAATCGTTCAAGACTGACTATGGTAAAGACACTCAAGTATAATCCTGCAAATTGGGGTGTTCCCTATGACCACCTACTTTTTGGAGATAACAAGCAGCTTCTTGTGTCATACTGTCTCCAGTTCCTTCTAGTACTAGTGCTTTACCCAATCCCAGAGCCTGGGAACGGAGTACCACCCAAGAACTTCTTCAGACACTTCCTTGGAAGGCTACATCGGCCACAGGACTTTCAATTTTTAGTGGACGGCATGACACGCATTTTGAATCAGCCACTACAGGCCACCACATCGCCTCTTCCTGGTAGTAGAAAGTCACTTACATGGGCACCTGAGATGATAATGCTATTTTGGGAGACGCTCCAATGCAACAAGAGGTTCCGCTCCTTCATTGTTGACACAGACCGCGCCCACGACTTTGTTGTGCTTGTACTCTTCTACGCCATCGACCAACGTTATGACCCTTCGAAACAAGGTCTGATCAGAATGTGTGTCTTTGTACTTCAGACACTCAGCGTCGAGCCGAACTTCGGCAAGAACCTGAACAAAAACTTCGAAGGCCAGGAAACACTTCCACCAAGCATCCGTATACCAAATTTCCACGGCACTTACGCCGATTATCTGATTACTTCGATATATACCCTTCTTACTTGCAGCAAAGCGAAACTTGACGCTATATACCCAGCATTACTGGCCATCATTAATAACATCTCCGCATACATCGAGAACCTTGGGCGGGCACCAAGCTCGAAGCTCATTCAATTATTCTCCTCCATGTCATCACCAAGCTTCTTATTCGCGAACGAGAGCAACCACGCCCTGCTACAGTCGCTTCTTGAGTCGCTAAACTCAATTGTGGAGCATCAGTATCATAGTTAGTCGAGCTCCTGTCTCCGTAGCTGCCATGTTGACTAAAATTCCAGAAAACGCCAACCTTGTCTACGCCATAGTACGCTCACAGAAACGATTTCAGGCACTGCGCGACTTCACGTTAGAGAGTGCGCAAGAAGAGCTCAATAAACAAGAGCAGCAAAGAAAAGAAAGAGGCAGTGACCCCATATCAGGAGGCATTCGATCCAATTCGATTGAGAGCCTGCGAAGCCCGACCGCATCTCGAGCGCCCACCCTATCAGAGGTTCCAGAAGACACAGCCTTTTCTATAGGAGACGATGATGATGATGAAGATGACGACGAGGCAACACCACGAGCGGATGCTCCCATGATGCAGACTCCACTACATTCTGCAAGTACCTCACGCGCACCATCTGTCGTATCCACGGACGGGATGCTGCCAACTCAGCTTCGAGGCATGTCGGAGAAAGCTCGCGGTAAGATGCCTATCGGACAACCTTCATTCTCACGACAAAACAGCACGTCAAGTCTGTCCGGCATGAACTCTCCATCGCTAGTATCGAATGGTATCTTCTCGCCGTCAGCTGACTGGGTATATATCCCCCTGCTGCCCTACGTCAGTCAATTCATGCTAATGTCATGCAGGTTGAAACTTGGCTCACTGACCTCCCTTTGCATACCATTCTCACTCTTATCTCTAATCTCTCCGAAACTCTTGCATCTGTCGACACGGCTGATACTACCACAGCTCTGCGAGCTATACGTGCCTCTAGTCCTTCCATACTTGAACCTTCACCTATACGTGTTCATCTCTTCGAGTGGACACCCTTATCACTTGGCTGGTATGAATCTCTCTTGTGGTCATTCATATTCGCATCCGAGATGACGAGCCCAAAGGGCACAAGTGGGGTTTGGAGTGCGACCCACCTGCGTCTATTCAAGGTGCAGGAGACTGCAGCGCAAACACCTAGCCTGCGAATGCCAAAAGGTGCAGTAGATGCTGTCGGGGCAAATTTGGTCCAGAGGATGCAAAGCTTCAATATAAGAGGCGCACAAAAGAATGGAAACGGGTCGACCGGGGTGCGGGATGTGTGAGCAGCATCTTGCGCTGCAGACAGTAATAAGTTATAATATATTCTATCAATGTGAGATACATGTCACATGCATATTGTTTCACGATTCAAGGAGAACGTCATCCCCTGGATAGAAGTGGCCCACTGAAACATTTTGACTCTTCCGTTTATGTTCGCTCTATTTCTATAATTCCGTCCCATGTATTATTTAGCGTGGAAATACATTTCGATAAGATGCAGTGTCCTGGTCTTGACATGTTTCAAACTCACCCTCTGCGACACGTTGGGCTTCTTCTTTGCTTCGCCAAGAGACTACATATACTTCGTATTGCTCGCAGTCCCAATGAGGTCTGATTTTATGGACGGATGTCCATTCGATTCATTCGGGTTATCGGGAAAGGTGCATCTTGATGGTCTTGTCACTACTGTCCTCTGTCCCGATACTATTCATCGAGATTTACAGAACCTCTCTACACAGTTGGTATGTAACCGGACTCCGAATGGGGCAGTATAAGAACTCAGCAGTAGCATTAACATACATGCTCAAAGCTCAACATACCATTAGCGAAGAGTTACAACGCGCAAGCCAATCTTGAACTACAGAGACATAATGTCTATACGAAGGTCTGAAACAGGGGACCGGGCTAAGTTCCTTATATATTACGACATTTGCTAGATTTTTATTCAAGACTGCGAGTATGACTCCTTACTTGAGTGCAAGTGGGCCAATATGGTTTTGTTTAGATTCCAAGGTTATCCTCGGACTTCTTTCTCTTCATTGTAACAAGACCGAGGAGGGATTCCTCTCTAGATCTGTGAGAGACAAGGAAGCATACAATCATCCTGATGATTCTGACATCAGCCCCAACACAGGGCATCATTACATTCATCGCCATCATAACTCATGAGACTCATGGAGAAGCTCCTTGAGAGCCCGATAGCCCTCTCAGTGAGCCCGCAGAGCCATACTTCGTGATTCAGCACCTCGTTACAAACATGATTAGTCTCCATGCACTCCCGCCCTGGTTTCGAAGCAGAAAGAACATTTACACATCACGCAAACATACATATTATGATAAGCTCAGCGCTAGCTCTGGCTATATTCGCCGTTTCTTCGTAGCTGTAAGTGCAAATGTGGTCCTCGATACATCGGTAGATGCTTGATCGCAGGTGTGTGCTCTTTTTCGCTTCCGTGTAGGTGCTAAGTCTGGCAGTGTGTTTATTTTCGCCGAGCTAGTTTTCGCGGCGATCCGGCTGCTGCGTCTTGGTGCTGATTGCGTAGGTCTGGGCTCTAATTTCTGCCTTTCGTGATGCTGAAGACGAGATTTGTTGGCATCTTCTTCGTCTGGGAGATTACCCTTTCTGAGGGTTTTTCTTGGTCTGCCTTTAGATTTTCTCTTCGGCAGCGATCTGGTCATATTGGCGCCTGGAGAGGATGCTTCAGTAGACCTTAATCGTGTGGCAACACCATTTGTCGGGCCACTTGATCTGCCGTCCAGATGAATAGCAGACTCATCCTCATCTCCGGTAGGTTCTGCGCTCGTAGGTATCGTTTCAGCCCTTAATGTAGACGCTTGCGCTATTGTAGTTGTACCTGACGTATCCATAAGAGGAACAGGTGGTTGGACAATTCCCCATAGGATATCTAATTGGTCTGCATGCATCCAAGACATACCTGGAAACTCATTCTAAGCTGGATCCCAGATCTCTAGTCTATTCCACTCAGTTTTGATAGTTTTATGAGCTTTTCGTTTAAGGTCGGGGAGGTTTAACGACGGTTCGTTTTGAAATAGTGCTATATCTTTAATCCACTGTTTTTCTGCCTGTACCTGGAACCTAAATTGGTATAGTGGGCGAGAGGCATTAACGTCCACTTCGCCTTCGGCAGGCTTATCCTCTAGTTCTAATTCGACTTCATGACCCCAGCGAGCTTAATAGGGGATCCATGGTCCTTTCTTAGAGTGTAGTATATTATGCGACCACCCGCTTTTGGCATTACTTGGCCACGCAGGACCCCAGCTTGACTTCCATATATTTTGTGTGACCCATCGTGCTCGTACGATATTTTCGGCATTATTTACGATATCCTGAGTTGGATCGAAAGGGTGAGTCTGAATGCGACCCGCGGAGTCACGTCGTTGCTGGGTGATTTGCTCCTCAATCCACTTCACTTGTTGCATGAATTGCGATCGGGGAGTTGATCGCTCTAAAAGTATAGCCTTCGTCTCTGCTACAGCATCGAATGAATCGTCAAATCGTGGAGGCTCTTGCCTATGCTGCAAGTCCGTACTAGGAGCGCCAGGCTCGAGAGTCTGGTATGGCGGAGGGGGGCTCACAGGTCGACGTGGAAGAGTTTCAGTTAGGCTGCCCACAAGTCCTTGATTGAGTCGCGTACTCAGCAGAGCCATTATGTGAAGTTAAGAAGCCTGTGTATGTTCGATAGCGAGTGCAATGGAATGAGAAAGTCTGCATGATGCAAGAGAATGTGGAAGGCCCTGAGGTTATGTTGACGTCCTGGGACCTGAGCGGATGGACGTCGTCGATGCACGGACCTTTGAGCTGCACATGCATGCTAAACGCGCGCGCTAAATCACTTATTAGTGTTGAATGTTGATGGAGTTATTAAAAACGACCTATGGAGTCGTGTATCGATACAGCCTCTAATAAGCGCTGAATTATCCCTGATTCGAATACTTATAGTATCCAAGCCTTGAGCAACCAACACCACTGCCCACTTTTTCGATGTCCTTCTATCAATTACCTTCGATTAAAGAGCATTGGGCGCTTAGAATACCACGAATAGAATGGTCACCTCCCAATTGTTGCCTTTGGCCGACTCCACTAGTATCTCACTTTGGGTCCATGATGTCTCAATGCTACAACAAACCGCTGCGACGGCAGCCTTGATATGGTATTGCGCCGTACTTCTGGTCTGTGGGATTGGTTACACCCAACTGTAAGTCTTCGAGGTACCAACAGGATTGCAAGATTATTGACCCCAAAAGACGCCGTTTCTATTCAAAGACGCGCCAACCTGCATCATGCATCAAGAATGTGTCCGCTGCGGATCTACCACATATCACCATCATACGACCGGTTGTCGGCATCGAGCCTAAATTGCATCAATGTCTTGCGAGCACGTTTCAGCAGATATACCCACGCAACAAGCTTACGTTATACTTTTGTATCTCTTCTCGAAATGACCCTGCGCTAGCTGTGCTCGAGCGACTGCTCGAGGACTTCCCACATTTCGATGCGAAAATACTGGTCGAGAGTGAAGACCCAGCTTTACAGGGCGATGGCCGAAAGAAGTTGGGACCCAACCCGAAAATCCGGAACATGAGCAGAGCCTACCGCGAAGCAAAAAGTGACCTGATATGGATCGTCGACTGTAATGTGTGGATCGGCAAAGGTGTTGCTGGACGTATGGTCGATACTCTGTGTGGCTACAGCGGGCAGCGGCCAAATAAATTCGTTCATCAATTGCCCCTATCCGTTGACATGCCATTGTCAGCAATCGTCGAAGAGACGCATATCTCAGACTCAGCCCGAGACTCATTCATAAGCTCCCGTCTCCTCGGCGATCCGGCTTCGCTCAACAAAAAACCTGGCTTCTTTGACCTCTGGGGCGGGCGACTAGACGAGATGTTCATGTCCACCTCACACCCTAAATTCTACACCGCCATAAACACCGTCCTCATCGCACCCTGTATCGTCGGAAAGTCTAGTATGTTTCGACGCTCCCATCTCGACTACTTGACCAAGCAGCAGAATTCCAGTGTCCACGGCATCGACTTCTTCTCGTACAATATCTGCGAAGACCACCTCATCGGGGACCTTCTCTGGAAGAATTCCGTTCCAGAAGAGCTCTCGGGTCAAGGGTTTGGAAAGCATGCACTGGTATTTGGCGATCTTGCCATACAGCCTATGGCTGGGACAAGTGTAGCCGACTACATCGCACGCCGAGCGCGCTGGCTGCGTGTACGTAAGTTTACTGTAATGCTGGCAACCCTTGTTGAGCATGGCACCGAGAGTTTTGCGGCATCAGCGTATGGCGCATATTCCATCACTACGCTGTCGTATTTTGAAGAAAGATTACACATCCCACCCACGTGGACAAGTTTTGGCATATTCTGGCTATGCAGCGTGGCATTGTGGTGTTTTGTTGACTGGACGCAATACGTACTTCTCCATTCAGCGGCTTCCATAGAGGTCGACGAGAAAACGCCGACTTTCGTGCGTCCTCCGCTGCCAGGACACAAGACAAGGAGGCCCTTTGGAGAATGGATCACAGCATGGATTGGTCGGGAGTTACTTGCATTTCCAATCTGGGCGTGGGCAGTTTTTGGAGGCGTGACGGTCGTTTGGCGCGAGAAAAAATTCTGGGTTGGAATGGATATGAAGGTGCATGAGATTGTAGACCGTGATAGTAAAGCTAGGATTGATTGAGAACGGAATCTATGCGTGTTCTGCCAGCCGTGTACAAGTTTGTACAATTGAATTACAGACCTTTGTGAATGTCACAACTATTCAGTGGTCCGAATGCACGGGAGATTTTAGATTTATGGTCATTCTATCAAAGAATAGTGAGGATAGATCTTGGTAAATGCTCCCCGGTGCCTAAGTTTTTATCTCTCCTTAACGCCCAACCTTGATAACCTTCTGATTGCCCAAAATCGTGTAGATTCAGACATTCGCCGAATCAAAAGTTGTATGTGGCCAAACAGTGCTTGCGCTCTAACTGATCTATGTTGCCAGAATTATCTCGCTAAGTCCCCAGTTGGGATGTGCCGGACGGGAGATCGACAGATTCGGCGCGGACCGACAGATCTCCTGTGTGGCGTGGTGTGTTTGTATCAACAAAACCAGCTGGGAAGCGCCACCTTTATATGGTCAGCCACGCATCGACATTACGATACAAGACGCAATCTTGAATGTCCAAATCATGTTTACATACTCTTTCAATGTCCTCGGCACTTTCGAAGAACGCTAAGCCAGTTGGGCTTGGGGGTGGTTGAGGGGGAGGCGGTGGCGGATCATGTCGAGATAGCTGTCGAGGCTCTGAACAAAAACTTGGGTCGTCCTTCGCTGATAGTAACGATCGATCGTCAGGTAGGCTCTTCAGACGAGCCTCGTAGTATACCGCAGTCAAGCATTCCGGTAGAAGTGGCATTTCGTCCAAAATCGGTCAATCGATATCTGAGTCGATGAGGCGTTTTGTTGACTAGGTAGAGTATGTTTCAAAGGTGTTTTTGGTCGTGCCTAGAATTAGAAGTTGTAGAATGTCGACGTGATATTTTGGTTCCTAGGTGATCTTATATTCAGGACTGTGAAGTCCTTGTTATAAAGCATCTGCTATGGGCCCACTGGACAACAAAAATCTACGTATTCAACACAAACAGAAGCCCCAAGGAGCCAGGATACAACGAGGCGAGACGGGAAGACGGAAACAACATTGAATGGCTGTGAATGGTCGCACAATTGATCTGCGTCGTGGCAGATGCATATGAAAATGTACTGGTTCCCGTCGGTGGCTAGCTGGGCGAATCCACAGCGGAAGGCGCCGCGAAGAAAGACTCGCCTGTGCCTAGGATTGAGATCGAATAGGCTAGAAAACGAACTGATACATTTATGGGTCCTCTTAGTTCATCTAACCTTACGATTACGCGTAGCCATTCTAGAACTGATACCCTCAACATGAATCTATGGTCAACTCGGCACGCCACAGTAGTTGGAGACAAGGAAAACCTAGAACAAAATTCTCGGAGAGACAAATCGGTGGAACAAGAAAGTATGCTGTCAGCCTGACTTGTCAGTCTAACAGTTCCATGCCGCGGTGGCGAAGATGAGCGGTGTCGGTATATGGAGACGATGGATGATTTGGCATCGTGATCTGAGCCCATAAGGAGGATAGGGCTTCCAAAGATGCTTCTAATGGCGTGGAACACGCCATGCAAGCGGCCGCCATCGAAATGATAAACGGACCGATGTGTAATTATCAATCCACGCCCAGGGCGCGGAATTGCGGTGAGATGAACTTAAGGCAAGTTGCACCCCGATATAGACCAGTAAAGCCATAGTACTCAAGTCTAATGTTCCTGTTCTCGAGCTGACTAGCCCAGTGATTCTTAGAACTGATCGCACTCTACATAGGTATATCGCGGCTGATGAGGTGGTTTCCTGATCGATTGGGCTGGCGCTGGCTGCTCAGATACTAGAGAACAGTGTCCAAGATAGGCCATGCCCGATCCCTTACTGATCCCGGTGCGGTTGGACAGCCGACCGTTGAGGAGCCCTATGGCGATCAAACACTAGAAATCATTTAAACAGGGCGTTGGCAAGCAAACCGGATGGAGGTGGGGGTCGCAAGCTGACATAAAAGATACCAGGATTGGGAGCGTTTGCTGTACATTTCACCAGCGGGATCCCGATTTCGCCCGAGGACCGTACAATCGGGCTGGGTCTCAGGGATACTGAGGGCAGGGTTGGCGAGCTCTGCTGAAAGTATCTTTTATAGATTCACATCTGTTTCTGTCGGAAAGAAGATTGATGGGCCCGTACGCGAAATGAGCAGGAGTCGTGAGCGCCAAGGCTCTAGCTTCGAGCTTGGACCAGTATAGATCTCTCTCCACTGACAGCTTCCCGCGCTCAGCCCTACCATATCAAATAGTGAAGCAACTGCTCGCACTACGCCATTAACCTATCTCCGAGCTCGGCCAGAATACGTGAATGCTTTTACTGACAGAAAACTGTGTGATATAACGATACACCCGTCGACGTCGCAGCTCAAGAGTTGCGCGCGCAAACAAGCAACCACCTCACGTCACACGCATTGTCCTTCATGATTCCTCGCACCTCGCCGAGAGAGCAAGCCCGCCCGATACGAAAGCTTCGAGGAGGTCGACAAATTCACGCAAAGAGGAACATTCAATATCGCTGTGAAAAGGTCGTACAATAGTACTTCAACATCGAGCATTATAGCCTCGATCACACTGAGAAGCAGACTGGGTTTCAATAGGAGGATCAGGTCCTCTCACCCCCGATCTTGGCATCATGCCGGGCCACAGTGGAATATGGAGTACAGATAACATTCAAGATGCGGCGCATTCAGTTGGCCTGGGGACCTTGACGGACTCAGCGCTGGAGCACTTTGCAGGAGACGTAGAATACCGGATCAAACAAGTCGTAGAGATGGCTATCAAATTCATGAGGCATGGCAAACGGACCACACTCACTACGCAGGACATCTCGCAAGCCTTAAGATCTCTTGATGTAGAACCGCTATATGGATATGAATCTACAAGACCACTGCGATTTGGCGAAGCATCCATGGGACCTGGTCAGCCATTGTACTACGTCGAGGATGAAGAAGTTGATTTTGAGAAGCTAATTAATGCGCCGTTGCCAAAAGTGCCGCGTGAGATATCATTCACTGGTAAGAACCCTTTCTCTAGACATGCGACAATGTACGCTGACTTCTACTCGCAGCGCATTGGTTAGCTGTAGAAGGGGTCCAACCATCGATACCTCAAAATCCCACGTCCGCAGACTCACGGCATCAAGATCTTCTGCCCAAAGGACCTGGTGCCAACCCACATCTCGCCGCTATCAATGGTCACGACAACATTACTGTCAAGCCCTTGGTCAAGCATGTATTGTCTTCAGAGGCGACCAAGTTTCACCAACGCATATGCAGCGCATTACTTGATGAGACTAATGAAGAGTGGCGCAACTCAGCTCTCTCGTCTCTTCGAACATCTCCTGGACTACATCAACTGATACCATATTTCATCGAGTTTATCGCAGACCAAGTCACGCATCACATGAAAGACCTTTTCGTTCTTACTCAGATGATGCACGCAACAGCAGCGCTGTTACAGAATCCCAGTATATTTCTTGATCCCTACATCGCGTCTCTCGTACCGCCGGTCCTAACCTGCTTGAATGGTAAGCGACTAGGACCAGCTTCAGCCTCTTCCAACTCTATGCAGGACGGAGGCTCAGGGCAACCATTAGCGCACTATTCACTTCGAAGGCTTGCTGCCAGTATCATCACTGCCATAGCGAAAAGATACTCGGAATCGTCTCACACTCTCAAACCGCGAATCGCACGAGCATGCCTCAAAGCTTTCTTGGACCCTAACAAGCCGCTCGGGACACATTATGGAGCGCTTGCTGGATTACGGGGCGTCGCGGGTGCTGAGGCTGTGCGCTTGCTGATACTGCCTAATCTGAAACTTTACGATACCATTCTTAGGGAAGCTATAGTGGACGAGTCACGCAAGGCGGACGCGGACATGGTCACAGCCATGATCCTGAAATGCCTCGAGGATGTCGAGAAATCAAGTTCAATCAGCGCGGATCCTGTCAACGGGGAGCTCGACTCTGATGGATTGAAAGATAGACTTGTGGAGAAGGTTGGGGTTGTAGTGACTGATAAGGTCATCCAACTTCGGCGCATGGGACTGGTAAAGGTGCTGTTGGATAACAGCGTTAACTAATGCACTCGGACGAAACGGCGTTACTAGATACCTGTATCTGATTTGAGGGCGGGACATCTACTTCTACGCCATTTGGGTTAGTCTTTCGTGCCTTTAATATCTGTGCCAGAGAAGCCCAATCGCGGTCTCTTGTTTGTTAGGACCTCAAGAGGTGATGAGTTGGACACAACACCGTGACTTTCCCTTGGCTGAAAGGGATGAACAAATCGATCTATTACTGCAGCACGATTTGAAGACACATAGCAACATTATTTGCTGGTTATTTACCACTACTGCAGCTTCTACTCGCGTCTGGATTCCATTCACAATGATTCTCACCACTCCTGCATTGACTTGCTGTGATCGTTACCTAAACTACTAGATTTCAAAGTTGTCTCCAGTCCGCAGCAGGATCCTTAGTCATCATGCCAAGACTTCACTTCACAGGTTCCGCCAGATCGGCATCTAGGTGGAAGTCGAGGGAACCCGCACACCTGTATCTTTACTTTCGTCAGTTTGCCCACCGAATAACTTCAGTCTCGCATCACTTCCAACAGTTGCCCATCATGTGGATGATTAATTGGTATGTCTATCTCCGCGATCCTGCGTCGAGTATATTGAGCCTAACATGATCCCCACAGGTGTAAGCTACTACTCGCCTCATTCGCCGTTTTTCGGCCAGCATAACCATTCTACGTACTGATGAAGGCGATATCTAGTCTTTGATGTTCTCGCCTCCCTTGGGCTGATGAACAAACATGCGAAGCTGCTTTTCCTTGGTCTCGACAACGCCGGAAAGACAACACTGTTGCACATGCTGAAGAACGACCGCGTGGCGGTACTACAACCAAGTAAGTTTCGTAGCATCACTAAGCAACATAGGCAAGTCTGACAAATATATAGCTCTTCACCCCAGTAAGTGCCACGATATCGGATGTCAAACCATCTCTGCTCGAACAAGACGTAAAAATCGCCGGGACTGATCAAGTATAGCGAGTGAGGAACTGAGCATCGGGAATGTCAAGTTTACAACGTTCGATCTTGGTGGTCATCAGCAGGCGCGCCGCTTGTGGAAGGATTACTTCCCCGAAGTTAGCGGAATTGTTTTTCTTGTAGACGCCAAGGATCATGAGCGTCTCACTGAGGCCAAAGCTGAACTGGACGCCCTTTTGTCCATGGAGGAGCTCAACACTACGCCGTTCGTGATCCTCGGCAACAAGATAGATCATCCGGACGCTGTCAGCGAGGACCAGCTCAGATCTGTTCTTGGTCTATACCAAACCACCGGAAAGGGCAAGATTCCATTGGAGGGCATCCGGCCTATTGAGGTCTTTATGTGCTCCGTCGTAATGAGACAAGGTATGAAAATCAGTTCCGGCCCCGACTTTGTAGCCGGTTCTAACACGATGGTGTCTAGGTTATGGCGATGGCATCAGATGGCTCAGCCAGTACGTCTAGGCATGCAGATATGTTGGCGTGGGGACCGATGGAATGTGATTCTGGACGTGTAATGCAAGGAGGAAAGTGCTCTTGGCCATCAAGATACAGCGGGCGTTTGGAGGAGTTATTGATGACCTAGACTACCTATCGTGAAATCTCAGCGGTCCGGACCGTCGATCTTATACACAGACCGCCGAACCCACAACTTAGCATACCTCTCACAGCACATCTCGCAACGGTCAACGTTGAATACACTTTTACAATGTCTGTTGACAGGGGCAATTAATGTGATTCGACTAAAGGTAACCCTAGCGATCGATTCTCGAAGAATGCGTGCCGATGGGAAATATATGTGTACTGTTCCGATGAACATGCTTCCCCAGTGTTCCAGATGTGGCACAGGTACGGCGTAATTGTCTGAAATTGCCCAGAGCGACATCAAGCCCGATGCGGAAAACATTCGGACGTAACAGAGATCACAGTATTTATCATTAAGCTCGAATCATGTTGGCCCAGAGTAGAGAGTGCGCTTCCCCGCGTGAATTATTTCGACAGCTGGGAATAAACGGGAATGGCTTCCGAATGGCGCTGTCAATACCGAAGAGGATGGACTAGTTAATGTGTTAGCGGCGAGTGCCGAGGTCCAAAGCGGCTTCGGTTCTCGAAGACTATAGATGGCACGAGGGGTCCACTACCTGGTATAGCACCATGAACTGTCGTCGGGAGTGTCTTTCATAACTTACCGATTCCGCGCCTTTGCTATTGTATAGATATAGTGCGATACCTCCGACGTAATACTTGGACCTCTGCTTAATCCGGTCGACCAACGAAGCCCAGCATCACGAAACCACTTCACTATGCCTTTCCAGACTGCGCTCACTAAGGCTTTGGGGATCAAAGGTTAGAGCTATTAGAGTACTGTATCAAAGGTATTGCGCTCACAAACACCGCAGTCCCCGTCGTCCAGGGCGGTATGCAATGGGTCGGCTACGCTGAAATGGCCAGCGCAGTAAGCAATGCAGGAGGTCTCGGCATAGTAAGTCAACGTCACCATTGCCGTTACCGGACATGTAGGATTAACATGGAGGTGTGTCTGCAGTTGACCGGCCTTACACAACCTACCCCAGAAGACTTGCGCAAGGAGATCCGCAGGTGTCGCGGCATGACCAAGAACCCGTTCGGCGTCAACCTCACCCTTCTCCCATCCATCAACCCGCCAGACTACAACGCGTATGCACAGGTCATCGTGGACGAGGGCGTCAAGATTGTCGAGACGGCGGGCAACAGCCCAGGCCCGATCATCAAGAAGCTAAAGGGAGCAGGCTGCATCGTCCTACACAAGTGCACATCCATCCGTCACGCAAAGTCGGCGGTCAAGCTGGGCGTCGACTTCCTCTCCATCGACGGCTTCGAATGCGCCGGACACGTTGGCGAGACGGACATTACGAACCTGATTCTGCTGAGCAAGGCACGTCAGGTGCTCGGAGTCCCGTTCATTGCGTCGGGAGGCTTCTGCGACGGGAACGGGCTGGCTGCGGCCATGAGCCTGGGCGCAGCGGGTATCAACATGGGCACGCGCTTCATGTGCACCGTGGAGGCGCCCATCCACGAGAACATCAAAAAGGCGATTGTCGACGCTGAGGAGACAGACACAGAGCTCGTGCTGCGACGGTGGCGCAATACGTCGAGGTTGTTTGGAAACAAGGTTGCCAAGGAGGCGGTCAAGATCGAGCGCGAGAGCACGACGGGCGAGTTCAAGGAGGTGCAGCCATACGTTGCTGGCGCGCGAGGTCGGCAAGTTTTCCTGAATGGCGACCCGGATTTTGGCGTAAGTTTTATTTTTATTTTTTACTTTTTTTGGGAGGGGGCACATTCTTGCTTCCTCGTCACTTACTCGTTCACTCACTCACTCACTCACTCACTCTAATGCGACTGCGGCGCGCGTGGTGATGATGGAGCTAGACAACGGAGGCATGTGAAATGAGATGAACACGAGAGTATATGCAATACCGGGTACCTTGCTAACACGACATTCGTACGTAGGTGTGGACGGCAGGACAAGTCATCGGACTGATCCACGACATTCCAACGTGCGCAGATCTCTTGAGTCGAATTGAGCGCGAGGCCGTGGATGCACTGGCTCGCAGCGCCACGCTGTATGTGGACGACACGGGCAAGAGTAAGCTGTAGACCGTAGAATTCAGTTTGATGGTAATTTAGACGTAAGCAGGTGCGATAGATTTTCCATCTATATCTATATACAGCAGCTGTTGGCAAGGAAGGACTAACTATTATTACTTCGTATTGTTGCTACTGAGTGTTGGTGTTGCACTAAGCACTAATGTAGCATGCTCGTCTGTCTGCATCTGCTATTCTCATCCCAGGCATATTATTATTCATCGTGCGCACTACCTACCTTCTTACTGCCAGTGTAAGGCTGTAAGCATGTAGTAGTCCCACGCTACGTATAGGACATACTTGACACTGCTGCACACTGCACACACTACAGACTGCACAGCCCGGCTCCGCCCTAGGAGATTGTTCGATGAGGAAGATGGAGAAAACGATGCGCGTGCGCGATTATATTAATGGGGAAACCTTTTTTCGGAGGGAAGAGCAAGGATATGATTTGTTTCATTGGAGCGTGGTGTGCGCTGTCGGAATGCGAGCTGAGTGGCTGAGTCTGAATTTCTGATGAAGGATGTGTGTCGTGTGTTTGATTCTGATGGGGCGTTTGACAGGCTACCTCTCTACCTATGGCTATATGGACCCACCACACACGAAAGTACGTACTGGAGTCCAAGGCCAACAGCGGCCAGCCGTCGGCGAACCCGCGCCCACACGCTACAACTTTTGGCTTTTTGGGGGAAGACCGGCCGGGTGGTGGTGCCTGGACGCTGGGCTCGCTGGGCTGTCTGAGCTGCGGCGTGGCCTACAGTTTCCCACTTTCCCAGTGTTCCAGTGTTCCAGTTTTTCCAGCCGGGGTGGGCCTTAACCCCCCCCTCTCCCCCACTAAAATGCTGCTTCAACAGGGCGGGCAAGGCAGCCGATTCGATGAACGCGGCGTTTTGATTTGGCGCTGTCTCCTTGTCTCGTGTCTCTTGTCAGGCAACTTCAGGTACCCGCAGCCGCCCGGTCCCACTACTGCAGTGAGGTGTTCCTGTTCCTGTCGATTATGTCAGCCACTCCCTCCGCGAGCTGTTGGTCCACTACCTACACCTTTACCCTCTTCTCTCCACTGTCGGAACCTTCAGAGTTTTTTCCCCATTGCCACACATTTCCAACTCGTCCTCGTTTCTTCTTAACCCACGCTCTCTGCACCCACATTCATTCACTCTTTATTCATCTTTTGCTTTGCCTACAATTTCATCCTCTCTCTTTACCACCCACCCGGTCTTCAGATCTCATATATAGAGCTTCCCTAGTCTCTATTCACCCTCACACACTCCTTGTTCAATAGGTACTTCCTATTGTTCACCACTTCACAACTCACTGTCATTGCTGCAAAAGTTTTTGAACAACGTCCGCAACTGTCGTTACTAAAACAGTTCTATCGCCGACATCGACTTGCTCTTCGACATAAAGCTCAAAGTCATTCCTTCACCCTCACCTTGACGCTCTCCACGCTGCTGATCAGCCTCATTCATTCCTTACCAAACTCAAAAGAACTGCCTATCCGGTTTCATTCTTACGCAGGACGCGCCCACTCGCCTTGACGGCCCCTGAGTCATTATGCCCTCTTACACCCAAATTGTGCTCGCGCTGGTCGCTTCCGTCCACGCTACCCATCTCACTCTCAACGACTACACTGTTCTCAAGAATGCTGTCAACAACCCGCCAGCCTGTGGCATCGGCTACCAGCACCTTGACGTGAACAAGATCACTGCCATCGCAGGAATCGGCGGCAACTACGACTCCAAATGCGGCTCTTGTGTCCAGGTCTGTGGAAGCTCAAGCTGCGGTTACCTTCTCGTCGTTGATGGATGCGCTGGCTCTGACCATATTGACATCTCCACTGTCGCTGGGCCATCAATTGTCGGATCTGATACCGGCAACCATGATGTTACCATGAAGTTTGTCGACTCGTCTAACTGTGGCGGCATCTGGGATGGACAAGGCATGGACGTTGCCTTTCCCGACGGTGGTGCGCCTGCGAACTGGGCCAAGCTGAACAGCGGTGGTGGTGGTGATGGTGGCTACCAGGCGCCGGCGACAAGTCCATCTAGCGTAGCTGTCCAGAACGTCGCGCCGGCTCCTAGTGCCGCCCCAGCTCCTAGCACCGCCCCAGAAGTTCCATCACCATATGTCGCCCCTGAGCCTGAGGTTCAGCAGACTCCCAGCGTCCAGCAGCCTCCCAGCGTAGAGCAAGAGCCTGTTCCATCATCCACCGCTGAAGTCGCGCCGCCGGAGACACCATACCCTGCCGTGCAACAGCCACAGCCGACGCCATCAGCTGCCGCGCCGTCGTCGTTCACCACCGTCACAACCAAGACGGTACCTACCCCTAGCCCCGCTGCTCCGGCAGAATATTATGAAGAACCCAGTGCTCGTAAGTCCATTGACACCATTTTTATCAAATCGTATAGCATACTCATTGTCACAGCCACTACAGCATCGATCGAGACCCCTGTAGATTCTGTGCATATCCCAACTCCCAGTGGCGGCGCCTTCTACGAGGCCAGCCCCACTTCAGTGCCTACTCCATCATCAGTCGCAGTGGGCACAGCGACATATGTTGTACCCACTGCCAACACTTCGCATTTCACACCGAGCCCGTCCCCCGCTGTTCCGCTCTTTACAGGCGCCGCATCCAAGAACACCGCGATGCCAGTCGTCGCGGGCTCGCTCTTGGCCGGGTTCATGGCTCTCCTTTTCTAGATACCGCAAGCCAGCCTTGAAGTCTTCTGTGAAGACTCGGCTTGATGCGTACATACATACCCCCACCTATGGATTAGGTATGGCGTTATATGGTTCTTACGAGATACGGGGGCGATTGGACAAAAATAAGGATTGGATTACGATTTCATGATGGATGGGTGGATTGCCTTCGCACACCGCGGATGGCGTTTTTCTTTTGCTCATATACGATTTTTCTTCTCCTCCAACATCCTCACACTCTTCATACGAGGGAATATTTCGTTTATACCCTTCTTGTCACTCGTTTAGACAATTTTTCCAATGGTGGGAAAGTGATGAGGCTTCTCAGGCTTGCGACTAGCTACTATTTGTTTGCTAGTCTAGTTTTTTATAACACATTATGAAAATGAAAAGAACTTTAGAGATATACGTTACTATTAGTTTGGTTGAAGATGATTTAATTGGCGCCTTTTTCAAGACATCATTAAAACTAGGTAATTATTACGTGGCTGGTAGGTCTGGTTTGGTCTGGTCTGGCTAGGCTAACCTCTATAGGCGCGGGGTACTTAATCAGTGCAACGAATAATTAGATGTCATATCAGGTTAATAGGATGATAGGTAGACAGCCTTATAGGAGGAGCTGTCTCGTCAATTTCTTATTCTCACGACCTGACCTGTGTGTTTTCGCATTCTGCCCACGGCGACGTCGGACGCTTGGAAGTTACAGTACTGTACTGTACCACCCGGCCCTGAACATCCCGTCTCCGAGTTCATTTCTCCGATACCTGTCCTCCGGTGCCTATGCTCCGGTGCCTATCCTTCTAGCTTGAGGTACCTGCTAGGCTTATTATCATTCCAGCGTATGCTTCATGTGCAGACAAGCAAGATGATATGCGCGCAGGCCTATGTGAGATGCTGTTTTCCCCACCAATTTCCAAAACAGGTGTATATATATGTATATGTTATCCAAAACATACAAGCCGGAATGCAGACTAGGTAGATAAATAGACAGACAGACAGATAGATCAAAAAAAGAATCCCCACACACCCTGTTGAGAGGCTCTGCAGCCATACATGTCTAGATGTATGTATATATATGCCAGCAAGTAAGTGGTGATTCTGATGTACATAGCCGAAAACAAAAATCTTGGAAACCGCCTCCGGGCTGGGGTGGTGGATGAGCACCTCCCACCTACCTACCTACCAATCAATGCTTTATTTCTGGTATCATTTATTTCCTCTCTCCCCCTCTCCCCCCGAGAAACGCCGTCCGTTTTTTTGCTCCTGAACGCCTGCCCGGAAAACAGGCCAATACATACGCACACACACATACACATAAACACATATACACTCACGGAAAAAAGGGCATCATCTGCGATTGATCAGGGTCATGAACTCCTCGCGCGTCTTGGCGGTGGACCGCATGCGGCCCAGCATACAGCTGGTCGTCGTTGTCGCGCCGGTCTTCTGCACGCCGCGCATGACCATGCAGAAGTGGCTCGACTCCATGACGACGGCGACGCCTTGCGGCTGGAGGACCTCGGAGAGGGCGAGGGCGACTTGCTTGGTGAGTCTTTCCTGCACCTGCAGGCGGCGGGCGAACATCTCGGCGATGCGGGCGAGCTTGGACAGGCCGAGGACGCGCTTGTTGGGGATGTAGCCGATGTGCATCTGTATTTTGAAGTGAGGTTTGTCAGCTGGAGATCTCATTCCCGGAAGTTTGCACTTTTGAGCTGAGAACTTAGCTAACCTTGCCGGTGAAGGGGACGAGATGGTGCTCGCAGAGGGAGAAGATGTCGATGTCCTTGACGATGACTAGCTCGTCGTGGTCTTCGTGGAAGACGGCCCCGTTGACGATGTCGTAGAGGTTTTCTTCGTAGCCCTTTGTGAAGAATAGCATTGCCTTTGCGTAGCGCTCGGGCGTGGCGCGCAGGCCTTCGCGGTCGACGTCCTCGCCCAGACATTCGAGGACGGTCTTGAGTGCGCCGGAGAGCTTTGTGAGACGCTGTTCCTTCTCTTCCTCGGATGCTTCCTTGCGTTCCCGCGTTCCCAGGCCTGTCTTTGGTATTAGCGATTGTTTTCAAATTTTTGGTTTTTGTTTTCCCCCTCCCTGGAGAGGTTCTGCTAAGGACAACGTACTCGGCCAGCTCAGACCATCGAAATCAATGGTCGGGTGCTGCGTGAAGGGGCTCTGCGATCGACTTGTCCCGAGAGGCGTGGGAGGGGACGCTCGGCGTCTGGACGGGATTGCGTCTGTGAACTCATGCGCCATGGATTCTTCGTCTAGCGTGCTCAGAGGCGCGGTGTTATGCGACCCAACAGTGGTACCATTGGAGGTATGTCCGTTCGCAGAATAGCCATTCGGTGCGTCAAATACCAGGGCGGTGCGTTGTCGGCTGTTTGAAGCTTCGATTGAAGCAAACAGGTTTTCTCGTTCCTTGCGGTCCCTCATCTCGGCTGGGGCGCGAAGCGGGGAGCTCCCGTTGGAGAGATGAGATGGTACGGCAGATATAGGTCTGAGGGGAGGAGAGTCCATTGTAGTAGTGTTGCAAGTTGGAGATCAGAGAGAGGAGTGAGTGCTCGTGGGTAAGGAGGGTACTAAGCTTAATTACGTGCTCGGCAAGTGAAAAAAAAAGGGACGGAGAACTGCTCTCTTGTAAGTTTGGGATTGGCAAAGCAATTTGTTCAGGGGATAGAAATCATGATTGTCCAAGATTGTGGTACAGCGTCCTCAGCGCAGAGAAGTAGTAGTGATTGTCGGCAGAGGAGAGTTCTTGTATCCCGTCTGATTAAAATCTCATCGCCCCGGTGGTCCCGGCGTTCCTCGGGGGCGGGACAATTGCGCGCAAACGTCCCTTGCAGATGAGATGACGGTAACGGTCACGGTCTCCGGGTTCTGCGGGGTTCTTTGCCGAGGATTCTCCGTGCATCCGCCTATGCTCGCGCCCAAGCCCGAACCTCGAACCGTCGACGTCCCAAATTGCTCCGACTACAGTTGATTATTGCAACTGTCTATCCAAAAGCCATCACTCCCACCGTCTCTGGCGACGGAGACAACATCTCACGACGCCTCTACAGAGCTGCATGGCTCCCTGCATGGCTCTTCCAGCCTTCACCCATCCGAAAAGCGACATGTCTCCCCTCGACTTCACACAGCGATCTGTACACGTCTGGCCCTTAACCACACCCGCTGCACTTCGCTCAAATATCGTGACTATGTTGGGGATAGAATGGGCATCACTTTAAGTGTATCCGAGGCCATCATACAGACCTAGCAGTCGTCCGTCAAGCTCGATGTACCTAGCGTCTACATCTGAAGTTTCATCCTACAGGCGCAGTCATGGAGCATGATTCACAAACAAGGGCATGGAAGCAACTAAGCATGCGTCTGGCTGGGTTTACTGTCGTATTGGTATTGAGAAATTCGTTCGTTACTGCCCATCATATCACAAACGAAACCAAGTCCTAGGCAGAACATGCCTTGAAGTCTATCGCTCAGTAAGATGGCGTCCAAGGGAGCCCTCATAATCCCGGAGCAAAGGCAGCATGATGCTAAAATGAGCGTTCATCGCTGGCGGTATCTGCTGTATGCTGGCCATGCAGCATGTCATGATCTTCTGCACTATCAAAGGGTTACAGACTTGTGACAGCACTGGAAAGGTGAACCTATCCTCCTTCTCCAGGTCCCTGCCCGTGGTAATGCTCACCAGAATCTAGCCCCAAGACAGGGAACCCCACATTTATTGCTTTTCATGAAGACCAGGTTCTAATGAAGGTAAGGATGAACATCATCGCCCGACTCAAAACAACAAGATGCTGTTCGCACGATTGAAAGACCGTCCTACCTTGATATCACTTCTAGGGACTCCAAAGATAGTCACCCAGCCCGCTTGTCGAGGTACGTTTGCGTGTCATGTCACGCAATATGTGTGGTAATCTCACTCGCATTCGTTGTCGCAGAAGACTAGGTCGTAATACAATTACTGCCTGTACAAGTAGATAGCTCTGCATGGAGGTCATGGAGACGTGAAGGGGACAAGCCTCTGATAAGGTGAGGCACAAGCTAGTGACCTCCCGGGCTTGGGTTGTGCGAAGCACAGCGTATCGAAAGCCGTCGCCCTGCTCGAAAATTTGGCCGTTGGGGAGAAGTCACTGCAGCCTCGTGCAGCGGCCCAATGGACGGACTCGACCATTTAGATCAACTTGATATGATGGGTTGACGCTGGAGCGACTCATGATTTGCCTTCTGGAACACCCAAGACAGGACGGAAGGCAGCGTAAGCCCAATCGCGCATCTCTAGAAAGTCAAGCTTAGGCACGGATGAATCTCACAAACGTGATGCGGCTATGCGGCAGGCAAAGCGCCCCTACCGACAAGCAGCACTGGGAATTATCTCGTCCAACGAGCATAAAATACTAATCAGAGGTGGCCTGCGTTGGAGGCAGATGTGCGATGCCTCATATTTTGTTGGATATATCGCCATCTCCAACGGGGACGGCGGGATTTCGGCTAAGTTGAAGACGTCGATGTCTTGACGCAACCACAAAAAACCGAGTCGGACTGGCGAGTCCGACACTTCCTACAGTCTGCGGAAAGTGCCAAGTGACAAACGAAGATTTGCGCTCTAGTTGCTTATCCTGCCCAGAACTTTTTTTCTTATATCGTCCAGCTTGAAGGGTTCTTTGCAGGTTGTGTGTTGGAGGCGGCTCCGGATTCTTTTCCTACTAACTACTGCTGCTTGGCTTTGACTTTCCTCGCGTAACGCAGGCCAAACCTCAGCACCTTGCACTTCGGCCCATACACATGTCTTGACGTCTACATGGCCGGCTCGCAACGAGGGCCGTTGATAGATCAGTGGAGACCAGAGGATCCAAAATCATCAACACACCGCCCTCGAGAACGTCCCAGGCTGGAGCGCAGCCGTTCAAGGGACATTCGCGGCCGCTCGCCTGCATCACCGCGGCGTCTGCACCGCAACTCCATTGATCACACCAAGCACAGCTCTCGAGCAGTCTCCCGACACACGAGAGACCGATCAGCGACACGCCGCCGAAGTCGTAGTCGAAGTAGGCCTCGTCATCGGGACATAGCCTCCACACCAGCGCGTCAAGACGAGCGTGACGATCTGTATCGGCCATCACGCAACAGGCAACCCAGCTCAGAACGTCCGCACCGTCATCGCGAACGCTCGTCCGTAGCAGCCAAACGCCGTCGAAGCATCTCACGCTCGCGATCTCGCGACTCGGCAAGGCTAACGAAGAGGCGTAGAAGTCGGAGTGCCGTCCGTTCGCCATCACGATCCCGTGGTTTAGACGCAACGCGCAGGCCCCTCGATCGAGCCTTTTCCCCTCGAGACACACGTCCCCCACGGCGAATAAGCCCTGACTCCTATATACCATCTCGTCGCCGCTCAAGATCACCGGAGTCCTCACGATATCGTCCCAGTTCACGATCACGTCGAAGATCACCGGCGCCTGACCGTCGTCTGTCAACGCAGCGTGTCGGCTCACCAAACCCCGCTTCATCGTATAGACACAAGGAAAGGCGCTCACCATCGGTTGAACACAAGAAAGAGAAGCCAAAAGACCTATTTCAGTCTCGCCTGCGGTCTGACACGAATCTTAGCGAGCGTATCAGGAAAGAACAACCCCTCTCTTCATTGACGAAGGGCAAACGGACCCGCTCTCCGTCACCCCGTAGGAGACCATCCTCTCCAGCTACAAATCAACGTAAAAGACGATCAAGAAGCCGTAGTCGTGCTTCACTGCACCGACGCCGTTCTCGCACTCCCGTTCGACTGAGAAGTCCGCGTAGCTCGAGACCCACATCTCCTGACCGAGCCGTAAAGGCTACTCGTCATAGCTCTGTAGAGCGACAATCAAAGGACGAGAGCACCATGAGGGGTTCATTCGTACATGGTCGACCCTCGCGGTCTCAGGTCGACACACGAAATTATTCTGACTCTCCGCCCTACAATGCACCAAATCAAATGATATCTCATGCACAGTCGCCATACAACGGACGCGGGGGTCAAAACCAGTACGGTAGTCATCAAGGGTAAGTCCTTCCCCTCTCCACTGACTGATACCAGCTCATATCAGTAGATCACCCGTACAAGGCTATTCGCCACATCAGTCTCCATACGGCCATCAGTCTCCGAATCAGGCCCAGTATTATCAGAATCAACAATACAACACCCAGGGAGGTAGCATGACTCCAGGCTACAATTCCCCATCATATCGTGGTGCACATACGCCAACGAGAGGTAGTCGATTCCCTTCAGGCCCATCTGCTCAGAATTATGCGGCACCTTCTGGCAGAGGACGAGGTGCACACTTCAGCAACCTGTCATGGACACCTGCAACTGGCAGTCGTGGAGGGAAGGCTCCGATAGATAAAACCCGTGCCATCATGGCACCGATCGCAGCCCAGTCAATGGCGCATGCCGCAGCAGCCCAAGCTGGAACCAGTTTGATATCTTCGAAAGAAGAAGATACAGATAACCCATTCAGACCATCGGCTGATATGCGTGCTGAAAATATTCAGGAAGAGACCGATAATCCGTTCCGTCCCTCGCTGGATTTGCGCGTAGAAGATTCAAGCACAGATATAAAAACATCTATGCCCCCGCCTAGCAAACCTAGCGCAGGAAGCATGTCACCAGCTGGGCCTAAGATAAGCTTTGCTCTCAAGACGAAACCAGCTACACAGCCCGTTACAACACCAAAGGCCGATTTAGGACAAAAGGCTCGCGAGGCTTTGAGCACATCCAAGACGAAGTCAACTTCGCCATCTTCAACTAGGCGTGATTTAGATGGTCGGTATGATAGAAGATATGAGTCGTACGACAGCCATCGAAGAAGCGACTATCGTAAGGATGACCGGCGAGAAGACCGACGAGAAGACCGACGAGAAGACCGGCGAGAAGACCGGCGGGACCGTCGCGATGAACGATACGACAGCCGCGATCGAAGTCGTGACCTTTTGGACGATGCTCGTGCATCTCGCCGCGACGAACGGAGAGAAGACTGGAGCGAGCATGCTCGATATGCTGACGGTCGTCGCCGTGCGCCTGAGTCAAGGCCTGAGTCAAGGCCTGAGACTCGTCCAGAACGTCGCCCTGATAAGTCATCAGGACCACCGCTCGTACAGAAAAAGATCATGAAACGTCCGAAACCACGACCGACACTCCCGCCAGATTTCGCCACGTCCGATTCAGTCTATTACCGGAAACCTGGTAATGAATCTGTAATAGGATCTGGTACCTATGGCAAAGTCTTTAAAGGTGTGCATGTCTATACCAAAGACATGGTCGCGTTGAAAAAAATACGGATGGAGGGCGAGCGCGATGGAGTAAGTTGGAACAATGCATTGAGAATATTTTGATGCAAAACTAATTTCTTCCTATAGTTCCCTGTTACCGCAATTCGCGAGATTAAGCTGTTACAATCACTCAACCACGACAACGTTGTCAAGCTTCAAGAGGTCATGGTGGAGAAGAACGATTGCTTCATGGTGTTCGAATATCTTTCCCACGACTTGACTGGGTTGCTCAACCATCCTACATTTACCCTCGACCACTCACAGAAGAAAGATCTGGCCAAGCAGTTGTTTGACGGACTGAACTATCTTCACACCCGTGGCGTTCTGCATCGAGACATCAAAGCGGCAAACATCCTTGTCAGCAATACCGGGGTGTTAAAACTCGCCGACTTTGGACTTGCTCGATTCTATGCCAAGCGCGGCAAGCTTGACTACACGAATCGTGTCATCACAATCTGGTATCGCAGCCCGGAACTTCTCCTCGGTGAAACACAGTATGGACCCGCTGTGGACATCTGGTCTGCAGCCTGTGTACTGGTCGAGATCTTCACGAAGCATGCCATTTTCCCAGGTGATGGGGGTGAGATCAATCAGCTTGACAAGATTTACAACGTCCTTGGTACGCCTACTCGCTCTGAATGGCCTGGAATCGTTGAGATGCAATGGTTTGAGCTTCTTCGCCCTACGGAGCGCAAATACTCGACGTTTGCAGAAAAATACAAGGACCGCGTCACGCCCGCAGCCTTCGAGCTGTTATGTGCCATGTTTCAGTACGACCCTATCAATCGACCGAGCGCCTCTGACGTTCTCGAACATCCGTACTTCGCATCGGAAGAGCCGATGCCACGCCGTGCAGTCGAGCTCGCTGAGTTAAAGGGTGACTGGCACGAGTTTGAGAGCAAGGCCCTAAGAAGGGAGAAAGAGCGGGCCGACCGTGAAGCACGGCATAAGCAGCGTGAGTTGGATACAGGAGGAGAGGCTGTCGGTAAGGTCGAAGCGGAGAAGCGCAGGGCAGAAGCACCGCCCAATGAACCTGATGCGAAACGCCTAAAGGCTGATGGGGCTTCATGAGCAAGTCCGCCTCCTTTCGTTCTTGGGGAGGAGTTGGGAGCCTTCTAATTCACGGCAAGGCTGGCATGAGTGATTACCCAAACTTTTCAAACGTCATCAGCTTGCGAATTCGCACCTAGTCTGTCTGCATTTGCATCATAAAAACCTGCCACAGGCGACGAAGGTCCGTGAGGTATGCTGAGCATGAAACAGCGATAATGTTGTAACTGTTGTAACATGTTGATACAAAATATTGGCGGTATTTTGAACTGTATAGATAAGACGAGGCAGTACATGTTTGGTAAAAGAGACCGAATAATTGGCCAGGTTAGGACCAGCACGGCATTATGATCAATCAAAAGGCATATGATTGGTTATAGCACATATCAATGAAAATCATAAAACGGACAATTTTGCCACAATTCCATTGCCGATCGTATACTTCTTACTGGTCACTCTCCATCCAACCAGCAAAAACAGGTATTATAAAGTCAGTGGGATTGGTCCCTCCGCATAAGAGAACCACGGAACATGTTGTCGAGCTTATAGCCTTTCTCGAACAGCAACACAAGCAAGCCAAAGTACGCATAATTCTCCGCATTTTTGAGCCCATCCTCATACGGGTTGTTAAGGACATTCACCCACCCATACGCCGGTTCTATATCTAACATGTCATACGGAATCGTATGCATGAGCTCGTGGAGCAAGAGACGGCTTGTTATATATTCCATTTCAAAGAGATATAGCTGCTCGTCTTTCACGTTGTTCTTTATCAATGCCGCAACCGATTCCACATCACTAAAGCTGGGCTCACATAACGTCATGGATGACCGGTCCGTATGCAGGGATGTGGGGATTCGGCGGTGCAGTACATAGGTGCAGGCCACAATTCTATGGCAGCTCGGCGGTCTTGCTTCCCACATCTGGCTCTTGAGGTCTTCGTAGATAGGATCCTGGTGCCATTCTGTGTTCTGGTTCAAGGTCCAGCGTCTCTCGTCGTCGCAGTAGATGTGGACTGATGCTTCGTTGATGGAAGTCGTGCGTTGCATCGATGCTATGCCGTGCATCACATTTCTCACTGTCTCGATGGCGTTCCTGTGTTCGTCTGGGATTTTGGGGCTGAAGATGGATTCGAAGACGGTTTGCAGGTCCGGGGGTAGTCCCTTTTCTAGATATGTCGCGCTCAGGCGGGCCATTTCCATCGCCTCTTCCATGCCTTTTGTCACAAAGTCGCTTTTTGGTTTTTCATGGCATGATTCATCGTCATACCATTTTCTGACCTCGAAAGGTCTGGGTAGCACCGATGCAGGTGCCTCCGAATTCTGTAGACTAGGTGCCTTTAAATTTTGCAGACTAGGTGCCGTTGAATTTTGCAGACTAGGTGCAGTTGAATTTTGCAGACTTGGTGCCTCTGGACTCTGCAGACTTGGCGCCTCTGGATTCTGCAGACTTGGTGCCTCTGGATTATGTGGACTTGGTATCTCTGGACTCTGCAGACTTGGTGCCTCTGGATTCTGCAAACTTGGTGCCTTCGAACTCTGTAGACTTGGTGCCTCTGGGTTATGTGAGCTTGGTACCTCTGGACTCTGCAGACTTGATGCCTCTGGATTATGTAGACTTGGTGCCTTCGAACTCTGTAGACTTGGTGCCTCTGGATTCTGCAGACTTGGTGCCTCTGGATTATGTGGACTTGGTACCTCTGGACTCTGCAGACTTGGTGCCTCTGGATTCTGCAGACTTGGTGCCTTCGAACTCTGTAGACTTGGTGCTTCTAAACTCTGTAGACTTGGTGCCTCTGGACTCTGCAGATTCGGTGCCTTCGAGTCCTGCAAAGTTGGTGCCTCTAGATTCTGCAGACTTGGTGTGTTGGGGTTGGCCATATTTGACGCCTCCCCCACACTTTCTTGGATTTGGCCGTGTGCTGCTGGAAGGTCCAGGCATGTTCCATCGGCTTCACATGTCGAGGCCGCAGAAGCAGTGGACAGCAGCAATGCTCCGAGCAGTAGCGCCGCCGCCTTAGAGAGGTGGAAACATAACATGGAGGAAACGAAAAACTATCCGTTGCGTGATGGGCAGCAGTATCGGTCGACAGAGGATCCATCACAACGAAGCAGACCTCCTTGTCATGTACTCAACCACAGGGCACAATTTCTCGGATGCTTTTCTCACCACCACGAAGGTCTTTTCTTACTCGAAACGCGCCCGGACCAGAGTGCATGACACAGCTTTGGCATCTTGGTGACCCAACCACACATCCACCATAATCCGAACTATTAGAGCTTGTTTCCAAAAACAAATCACTCTCTCCGCACTCAGAACGCGTTCCGAGCAAGGTGTCTGGTAACAGTTCAAAAACGACTTCGAGGAACTTTTCCAAGTGGCCAATGACGGTTGACCAAAGTAATCTTGGCGTAGAGCTTACTTTGAGTTGCGGCGCGGGCCCGGTGGAGCGTGGCACGCACGTTTTTAATGTCTCGTAAAACTCCAGACCCTGGTCCAGCCCTATCAATGCGCCCAGGACTGTCTATCGGATTGTAGAGTCGGTCTACAGACGACATTTCGCAGGGATACCCTGAAAAAGGGTTCATCTATAAGTGAAAGTAGAAAGGAAAAAATTAGATCCACATGGGAGAACTGCAGCCCCGACTGTCTATGAGAAGACTCAGAGTCTCCAACACTCATCATATAACAAACACATTTCGGCAGCTAACCTATCTATCTATTATTTAATTTATTTTACCCGCTGCAAAACAAATATCTACAATCCCCCAGCAACATTGAACAAGTACCGCTTTAGCTATAGATGGTTCACACCGTACCTATAGACTTCTGTTAGACGAGGATGCCCCCCCCAAAAAAAATACCAAGAACACAGACACACTCGTGTGACACCCACTAAAACAAGCTAGTGTGTTCCTCCCTCCTGTCCCTTCCTCTCTCTCATTGGCCGACTGACAGCCTCATTCAAGTGATGGTTACAACAAACTTCTCGAAAGGGAAAAGCTAACTTGGAGTAAGTAGTAATACACCCACCCATCAAGGGGGAAAACCATTTGTTACTCTAGAGCATGACTACAAACTGGACAACAACACTGGATGCCACAAGGTCAGTCCATACAACGTCGACAGTCGCGCGACCAGAAAAAAGGTTTGAAACGAAGGAAGCAACCGTGCACGCATGAAATGGAACCGTGCACACCCAATATTCCTTCTGGAATTGTATCATGATGCTGAAACTGAAATCATGCATGGCATTGATACTATATATACCACGACCAGTTATCTAGCGAGGACCTCCATTTTCAAGCTGGAAATATAAACTTTTTAGGAAGGGATCTATGTGATAGATAGACGAAGCGGAGTATCGAATAAGCCTCCTAAAGCGTGCATACCAGCCGGCTACTCCAGGGGCAATGGATGAAAATTTATCTATGTATTTTGGTTGAGTTATTGCCTTCGGTCACATAAGTTTTGCGTGCTTGCTATCCTCCCGTGGCGAGTTGCATCATGGGGACGAAATACGGTGCGTCGTCTGCAAAAGAAAAAGGAAGGTGCATGCGTAGACAACATGGGTGTTAGGCAATGAGGAGTTACTACATAGTGGTGATGGCTGTATGTATTCTGATGTGTTTCTCTAAGATGGACAAGACACGGTCATAGTGCGTCAAGAGACGTAACAACTCACTCAGCACTCATCGGGCTACACACTACACACTCTACGTCATATACCACAGGGCTTCGTGAAAAACCTTAGCTTCTACAGACTCGTATTATAGTGCTCTCATTCCTCAGAGCTTCGACCCAAAATCCTCGAACTCGCTTAGATCCTGCACAGGACTCAGGCCACGACTCACGCTCAGCCCAGCCTTCCACGCGTGTACGTCCTCAATGATGATTTTCTGAGTCTTCTTGTCCTTCTCCAACTCCTTTTCTCCTTCCGTTGAACTAGCTCCGACAACGGCCTTAGCCTTCTCGACGATAGATTCGACTTGAGCTTTGACAGCTGAGACAGCGCCTGTGGATGACTCGGACAAAGGTTCTGCATCTGCGATCTCTGGTGTTGGAATCGATGCAGTAGCGTCGTCGTCTGAGAGTGGTGATGCCTGGGCGCGAAGGTTTACGGTGAGTTTAGAGCGTAGGGGAGATGACGGTGAGATGTACGTGTCAAAGAAGGCTTGCATAGCGTCTTTGGTGAGAGCGGCGATATGTTCGACGTCATGATCGGCTATGCTTATTAGTGCTGTTCCACAAACGTACGAACTTGAGGGCATTGACTGCAGAATATACCTTGTAAAAAGTCATATCGCTCATTACATATATGTCCCCAAAACCTCGAACTCTCTTGGGTCAAGTTCTTCAATTTCTCCTTACGCTTATTGATCAGACTACGCTTATGTTTTTCGAACGCCGGCTCATCCATTTGATTCAGTGTTTTCGAGAACCCCTTCAGAAACTCCTCGACTCGACCTTCAAGGTACTCTGGCGTCTTCTCAGACTGGATCAAGACACGGTACCCAGCCCACATATTTTGGATACGAGCACCACTGAATACAACATAGCCGAGCTGTTCCTTGGTGCGAAGTGTATCAAAAACAGGCTCCTCGGTCATCTGCGCAAAAAGTAACAGTTTGGCACGCTGCGAACGTTCGGATGGCGAGCCGACGTAGAGTAGATATTCGATGCAATGGTTGACATTGGCAGGATCTTTGAGTGGACGCGTATAGGAGAAATCGGCGCCTGATGGGTAGACCATTGAGCGTCTGATGGGCCACTGCGCAGGCGGGAGCGATCGGGTTCGAAGTATCTTCTCGGCGAGATCAGTCATTTTGAGAACTTCTTCTTTATATAGATTACCATGGGCGAGGACTTCGACATGGACTTGACTAAGAAGCTGCGGATGGAAGGCGCGGACGTCGTCGGGGGTGAGGTGAGGCAGTTCTACGAGATATTGCTCATTGATCCAACTACGCTCGGTGTTGAGCCAGCCGGTGTACGTGCCAACTTGGAAATATGGCTGCTGATAGTCCCAATTGCGGAAGCCGCGTACAACGCGCTCTTGTACGATGTTGAACCTCTCGTCTTTGATCTCGAAGTCGCGGACGGATGTCAATACTTTCTCCAGGAGAACAGGCATCTTGTCGTTGTAGCCAGAGAGGGTGATGTCAATACCGACCGCATGCGTACTGATTGAGTAGTCGACACCAGCGATCTCAGCATCGTATGAATACTCCACCAATGCGTCACTGACCAGTTCTTTCAGCATATGAGCCAAAGCACTATTTCGTGGCGTCATGCTGATAAGTGGTGTCCGTAGGGTTATCATAACATTGGCCTTGGGTACCCAGAACCTATCGTCTTTTTTGTACCAGATGCGTATCTTTTCATCATTGCGAATGAGTTTAGGAACCTTAGTAGGCTCCATGATCTCCTTCTTTTCCACGTCCAGCCTTGTCGGAATAAACTCGTTCTTATGCGGGAGATGCAACTCAGCGGGGCGCTCTTCTGACTTGCTATTGGTTGCCGTTCTCAAATCCTTGAGAAAATTGCTCTCCATTGGCTCATATTTGTATTCGGTGCCGTACCATTTCTCCTTTTGGTTCCACCCCCCTGGGAAGTCTTGGCTGACCACGGTAAGGCGAAAGTTGTCTGGATTGAGGAGTCCTAGACCACTGGAAATGGCTTCTGGGTTAAACTTCCTGATCAGAGCAGGACCACTCAGGAGCCACTCACGTGGATAGGGCTTCTGCATGATACCACTGAGGGAGCTGGTAGTCCGACTGGCTGGTGACTTTTGCTTGAAACGGAAATCGACTTCACTCATACGCTTCAATTCATCGTATATCCATTCTTGCGGGGGGGTCTCACGCATCATTGCAATGTATTGAAATACAACCTTCGTCACTTCCTTGTATTGCTTGAGACCCTCCTGTGTCAGTTTGATTGAAATACTGAAGAAGGATGATCCTGGACAAACAGGAACGGACCCTGCTCCAAGTCCATTAGCCCAGCCTTTGGCTTTGAGATAAGCCAAAATACTGCCAGGACCTTCGTGACCTATGAGATGACTGAGGTATCTGTTTGGTTGAGACTCGAAAAGATGTTCCTCGTCTTGGTAAGGAAAATAGAGATCCATAGACCGCATCTCAGTTACAGGCTTTGTAAATATCTGCATCCCCAATTCGTTCTTCGTGTAAGGTGAAACATGATCCCACCGATTTCTCGGCAGATTCTTGTTTGGGACAGTTGAGAAAAGTTCCTCCACCCACTGCTCAAGGGTGTCTAACGATTCACGGCCCAGTACAACGAGTTTCATCCGGTTGGCGGAATAGTGCTTCTCATAGAACTTGATGAATTCATCGCGAATCTGAACGCCACGTGCCAATGGCTCATCGTGGAGTGTCTTGAAATTACCAGTGGAGAAATGGCAATATGGATGCTCGGGGTTGGAAAGAGTTTTATTGAGCTGGTTTAGTCTCCAGTTATCGCTCTGGAGATTCTTCTTATTCTCTGAGTCGACAGCTCTCAATTCTCGGCCTACCGTATCAGCAAGAAAAAGAGGCTCAACGAAGAACTGAGAGAATCTATCCAATGCTCCATATAGAGGAGACTCCTCTTGCGCTGCGACAGGTATGTCCGTCTCTGTAGTCGATTTACTGGTTGTAGGCTCTGACTCGGCAGCGACCTCGAAGAAGTAGTTTGTTGATGTCGAAGCTGTAAAGGCATTTGAATAACCAGAGTGGGCCGAGAGATATTGGTTGTACGCATTCTCTACTGGAAACTACGCAGATCATAGTTAGCTCGTTCATTCTCTGCGTTCCTGTGCCAAGTGCTAACCTTCTTTGTGCCCATGAAAAGTAAATGTTCCACGGCATGCGCCATACCGGGCATGTCATCTGCATCGCTGAAGCTGCCCACATTCACATCTAGTGCTGCACTAACTTTATCTGTGTCCGGATCGTGTACCAGTAACGCTTCTAGCTCGTTTTTGAGCTTAATAACTCTATACGTCCTGGTATCCAGTATCGGTCTCTCCAAATCTTCTGCAACTCTTTCAGGTGGCGGTGCGACATGACTGTTCAATGGCTCCATTTCTGAGACGGATGAAAGCCCTCGACGAGAGGTGACGATGACTGAGGCGCAAGTGAGTGAGGCGACAGTAGAGCTAGCGGGACAGCCGGAAGGAAGACAGGAGCGAAGTCGATTGTAAGACGAAGATGTGGTGAAAGGGCGGTGGGAGAGAGGGACGGCAAAAGATGTAGAGATATGGAAGCGGCGAAGCAGTGGTGGTCTAGAATTGATATTAATTGGGGTTTGTAAGATGAACCGGGCCTGCTCCAAGCTCCCTGCTGGCAACGTGAACCTGCGCATTCACACACCACAGTGAATGTAGGGATCCAGGAATCTAGGCACGTGTAATGTTTGCCGAAGATCGGACAGTGCCTTGTCACAAATGCAGCCAAGAATGCCGCGCTGTCGTGGAAGAATGCAGGGACAAAGGTAGACGCCTGGCCAATCCACCGAGGAATTGGAAATACGATAGCGCAAGGAGCCGTGCCAGAGGAGAGAGATTTTCCAGTAGGCGCAACGTATGAGACGCGCTACTTCGTTTTCGTTGTCGTTGTAAAGCGAGGCTTCCCAATGGACGAAGGTTGTCGGATGTGATGTGCATGTCCGGCCGGCCATCACGGTATCTTTGATCGTGAGCTCATCCGCATCATCCATGGATTGAGTCAATATTTTAACTAGGCTATGTTGAGACTAGCGTGGGTAGAGGTCCGACCTTAAATCAATCTCGGCCGCCGAACTTCCTCTATTGTTATGGCAGAGGTATCATCTAATCGTAGGCATCATCCTTTTCATAATTCTTGGCCTCTCAGAGGCATATTATAGTCGCTACGCTTTCAACAGATCGCCTACCAGTAAGTCTCATATCACTTGTTCTACAGAAGATTGTATCCTGTACAACAGAGCACACTGCACGATAACTACTAGTGATGCCGCGTCATTGTCGTGCATATTGGTGACTTTGTCATCTGTGTCATATTTGGCGTGTTGGGCAACCTTCCTTATTCTTTAACATCCAACTAACGTGTCGTTCGAGAAGGCTACTGACTGTTGGCTTAAGAATCCCCTGTACAGAAGCGCCTATCACATATCTCTCAATCCTTTCGGTGGCCCTCCTGTACTCAAACTTGGTGGGAGGTCATCGTAGCGGGTGCCCCAGTCACTCTCCGTTGCTCCCAGGGTAAGCTCTAGCGTCTTTCCTTCCGTGAAAAAACCATGGTCCATCCAGTTCTTCGTGTACGGCTCTCCATCCATGGTCGCACTCTGGATATAAATGGCATTGTATGTTGGGTCGAAGTTGATGTTACGGATTGTCGCAGTCTTTCCGGTGACACCGTTCTTAAGCTTCACTTCCGCAAAGAATGGCGGCGTGATAAAGTAAACGTTCTGTCCAGGATTCGGGAACGTGCCCATCATGGCCAAAGTTGAGAACGAGCCCATGGCACCAGAATCGTCGTTTCCTGGGATGCCGTTGAGAGAAGTATTGAATTGCGACGGTATATATGAATGAGCACGTTTTGCTGAGAGCGCTGGTCGACCTGCAAAGTGATACAAGAAAACAGTAAGAAAAGAAGGCTCATTCCCCATATATATGATGGGGTATTCGTGGAAGTAGTCCAGTCGGTTCACAAACACATCAGGTCCGCCAAGAGTGTCTATGAGTGTCGCCATATCTCCAGGAACGAACCACGTGTAAAGCCATGACGGAGATTCGTACGTCTCGCCTCCGTTAGGATTGAGGTAACAGCTGGTGAAGTTCAGGAGCTCGGAACAGAAGATTGGATCTTCAAAACCCCAGGTCATGTTCATGAACCGAGGCTGGAGAAAGCCAACGAAGCCCGTGTCGGTACCATTAATTGCAGAAGTCTGATCCGCCTTGAACATATTCTTCCACCCATGAGAACGTGCGAAGTACTTGCCGATATCGTCTGACTTGCCCATACCCCGCGCCATCTCGGCGATACAGAAGTCGTCATACGCATACTCTACTGTTCTTGAAATACTCCTAGTGTGAGCTCCAACACCCACGTAGTCGAAATCGTCTGTTGGAATAAATCCATATTCGTGCCAACTGTGCAGACTGCCCCGGCCTTCGACACTCCATATTGGAGGCTCCTCTTCAGCATCGGAGATAACAGCCTCATATGCCTTCTCCCAGTCGATATCGCCGGTAAGATTCTTGAGCCAGGCATCAGCAAGAACGATATCAGCATTGGAACCACCCTGTGTGAAACCTTTGTCGAACGTCATGCGACAATCTGGCAGCTTCCCAACATGATTATAGATGTCAATCAAGCTTGCAACCATCTCAGTCTGCGCCACTGGATCGACTAGCGTTATCAGTGGATGAATGCTCCGGAAGCTAACATCGCATCAGATATCATACAAAGACAGATGTTTGAGACCCTTACCTATCCCATATACAGTAAAATGAGTCGTAGTACTTGAGACCACTGTCCCAATATGGATTTTCTCCAGTATAGTCTTGAGGGCTGATCAGAGTCCTGTAGAGTCCAGACCAGAAGACAGTTTGTAGCTCTTCATCTACAGCACTGGCATCCACCTCCACAGAAGAGAGCTTCAGGTCCCACGACTTCTCGACTGACTCCACAGTCCCATCGAAATCAAAGTCTGGTAACTCCTTCTCCGCATTACTGCATGCTTGCTCTACACTAATGAAGCTAACTCCAACACGAGCAAGGATCTGTCCGTTAGCTGGCGCTTCGAAACGAGACCAGGCACCTGCTGGTATCCCACTAGGATTGACACCATCTGGAAAGACGTCGACGTGATCGATTCCTGGACCAGGCCGTATATTTACAAAAATTCCCGTGTCACGGATGCTAGCTCCTGAGAAGTCTGTGCAAAAGAAAGCGTTGTACGTGCCTATACCGAAAGAAGGACCAAAGTTGCCACTTCCAATGATCCTCCCGGTAACATTATCGACATGGATAGATGCATTACTCCTGGACTCCGATAGATCTGTAAGGTCGGCGAGGATAAGAGGACTTGATTTCACATTGGTCAACGCCTGAGGAAAGTTGAATCGATACAAAGCGGCATGCTCCGCAACAGTCATCTCCGCACGAACGCTGTTATTGAGCGTGATGGCGAAATAGCCGACACGGGCTTCTATGGTCTCATTGAGTGGTGCTGCAGCTCTACCAGACTTTGTGAATTTGCATTGCTCAATGTCATCAGAAGGGCACCCAGCATGAGCGAACAGCGGGAAAAATCCCATGGATGCACCCTATGTGTCTATCAGTCGTATCTCGATTCAGAGCCTGAGCTACTCACACCGCCAGTGCCATCATCGTGCATATGTGAGAACCCAGTCACGTCACTGCCTTCGGACGACCAGCCAGCTTGATTCTCTTTAGTCACATCAGCAACGGCCTTGGCCATGCCTACGTGTTGACCGTTAGATCCTGATCTCGTATTCTAGAGCATTGTACTGACTGAAAGGGCGCGTAGCCCCCGCAAACACATGTCCTACCGCTAAGTGTTAGCTCTGTGAAATTAATTCGTTCAGTGCCCAGTGCTACCTCCATTGGTGGTACCGATGAGTGGATCGATGAAGCGAAGAATATTTTGCGTAGCGATAGCATGGCCCAGTAGGCACATGTATAGCCAGACTAGATACCTCGGCGAGGTAGACATAACGATTGTTTTGCTGGAATACGATCATGTCAGGTCGAGATACCTCACCTAGCTACCCAGGGCATGGAGAAGTACTTGAGGAAGCATTCTCACGTAACATTACGCCCAGGAGCACCCCGCTCAAGTGATGTCAGTGGGTAGCATAGTGCCGCGATCAGGCCGGGTAGGAGCACTGTTCCCTTTCCCATTCCAGCTGCCGGACAGAGAGATGAAGCTAGCAAATGCAACTTAAACTCACACCGGTGTGTGCATAAATTGATTAGGTGATTATGTTTGCATAGACGTCTTTGTTACTTGTAGCCCCATGGCTACATATATCTTCCGATTCCGTGTGCAAAAGAAGTGACCGAAGGCTATCTCTACGTCAAGTCTAACACATATGCACGAAGGTGCTCGCAAAAGGACTTGCTGACGACGTTCTAGGTTGTTGACTCCGAGTTGTTGTTGTGTTTGCCGAGAGGCTCAAAGTGCCGCTTTCCCTTCTTGTATTAGCGTGGATTTCCTGGGATGCGGGGAGCTTGGCGCGGCAGTAATATGAGGCCTCAGGCATCAAAACATCAAACTATGTTTGCAACATTCAAGTCACATTCTCATGCCCCTGTGAGACTTCTCAATGTTGAAACATACCGGCATTAAAACAGTACAGCGATGTCTGTGTCGTCTTACTGGAGGCACCGAAGAGTTTCATGGTCGCTTGGGTGTAGTAGCATCATGCTGTTAGAGTCTTTCCAATTACTGGACTGTTGCTGGCACTGGAAACGAACACCAGGACATCAGCAAAAGCGTAGTCCCTAACTACTGGCTACGTTTATGATCTATTTAAGCTCTCTCGCAGCTACATGCTCCTCTTCTCCCCGCGTGGCGGACTTCGCACCCCATTCAGCCCACGCTGATGCTCGAGAGCCAGCATATGCTGCCTCGGTGGCAAGTTCACGTATGAGCGCCAAGTCAATAGATCCGCCGTTGGAAAATCGCTCCTTCAGAGTGCTGCGCAGAAGTGCTAACATACCATCATCATTTGCATATTCTCCTATCACCAAGACGGCTCCGATAGTATCATTTGAGTCCGGCTTGCCAAGCATCTGGAGCAGCGCCGTCTTGAAACCCTCGTTGCAGACTTTGACGTCCTTTTCATTTCTCCTGCACGACTCTAGTCCATCGTGGCCGAGTTCGGGTGTATGAAGCGCGCTGCGTTGCGATAAGACGCCGCATTCCTCATCCCAGAATGCGGCCGCCAACGACTGACGGGTGTAGTCAAGTGTCAGTATTACTTGCGCTGGATCTGCGTGGTATCTGGGATCCTCTGGTAGGATGTAGGGATCAGAACATCGGCCTTGGAGATCGAGTGCTGGGACGAGCTGATGCGCGACGTGGTCAAGGCGCTTCCAGTTGAAGACACGGACTTTGCTGAGCGCCGCTTGAACGTCGCGAAGTGCCACTTCGTGGTTGATAGTTTTCAGATCGGATGCAGATACGGCTATGGAGTTTATGCTGCTGTCGAGTGTGGACCCAGCTGCAGCTACGAGCGCTTGAATTATGGGTGCCAGAGCGCTTTGTGGCTTGGTAACACGCTTCAAGGGCCAGTACTTCTGGCAAATTTGTTGTGAAAATAGACAGTACTTTGATGAAATGATGTCGCCGGTTGGCTCTTCATTTTGACCAAGCATGTATGTTTTGTATCTCTCACTACCTTCAATCTTGGCAATGTCAAGATACGCTCCATCTCTGAGACGTGCGCTGATAGTCCTGATATTGCAGTCAGTTCACATGAATGGTGCGACTAAGGAATGTCTTACGCATAGCCGCTCGACAGAGAGATGCCAAGACCCGTATCAAAATCCATTGCAGCAAGGCCACCGCCTAACACACTTGAAAGCAAAAGCGAGTGATAGCAGATCCTCATCTTCAGAGAGTTTCAGTGAAAACTGTGCTGAACGAAGTAAAGCCAAGACTAGGACTTCGAGCGGGAAAATGTATTTCAATACTTTGTTTGCTGTCTAGGCGCCAGGGCTGGAGGAACATATGTGTTGGGATCCACGCCCTGAATGGTCTGCGCCTTTCGGCCTCATCACGCTAACCACACTAAGACTAGAGCATGTCCACAACAATTCGCTTCGAAATCCGAAACCTCCAGGAACCCGCCCGACTCTTAACCATCATTACTCCATCGTTATGTCAATTAGCATCGAATCGGATTAAAATAGACCATTGCCGCCGCTTCTCCGAAGCCATTGGTGCAGCCAACATGTTTCGGGCCCAGTCACGCACGCGATTGGCGGATACAATGGAGCTGCTGACGCCGTCCTGTTATTACTTATGCCTTTCTAATTGTACGAATCATGCAGAGCAGGCAGTCGTTTCACAATATGAGCTTGACAAAGATCGGCTAGAACTTAGCGTCTCTGCGCAGCCACAAAATCTCAGATTTAGTTCTTACAAGACGCACTATATCGGCCCCATCCTTTAGCGAAGATCTCCACTACCGATCAGTAGTGGAGCCATCTAGAAATAGTTTCATAGGAACTTGCCGGTCGTTACATAAATCGTAGTAGCAAAGTTGTACTACGCCCTCTTTTGGATGAGCGAGCCTATCCCCAACATGTTACTTGCAAACAATGCTTCGATGTGGCTGAAACTTGATCTGGATATAGAAGTTGTCGAAGTTGGGTGGGTCCTTATGCATCCTCATGCAAACAATTTTGGAGGCTTTGGAGAGTTGGAATCCTGCATTCGAACGAGATGACTGGCGCATGGACACTTCGACGAATAACATAAAGGCTCTGCTGTAGCTGATATTTCTTTCTGCTCAACATCATCATCAATCATCTCTGTCATTCATTCTTTCAATGTATCGCTTCTTATTTCAATCGTTGACGTCCTTTGCCATTGTGACCTATGGGTTGCCTCAGGCGGCGCCCATTGATCCAGCAGATCCGAATGCATCAGATCCGACTACAGTTCCTGGTCAGGACTTTGCTCTTCCGGATGCCAGAACTCCTGAACCTCCAGCAATCAAGGAGCTTCCGGATGGATGTGATCCCACCAATTTCTCGCAGGACTGCATCACTACACTGGACAATGATGAACAAGGAGCCTACCTTTGGTTTGAAAAGGGCCATGGTATGTTACACTCTATTGATCTCGGGTCAATGAGAGCTGAAAGTTCTAATGTCGTTACAGGATGTACCGACGATGAGCAGAAGAAGCTAAAATATGGTAAGCAAATCTGCATGCCTTGATATCCTAGTCCAAATCTCATATCGCGCAGGGCTGTGGGATGCCCAAGACATGCTGAAATATGCTGCCAAATGGGGTGTTGAGCGATCGTCTCGAGATGTTGTCTCAGCAGACTACTGGATGGGACCCAACTGGAGAGAGTACCAAAGTCGGATCAAAGGAAATTTAGGTAGAGCGAGCGAGTTCATCAACAACAAAAGCAACAAAAAGAATTACATCACCATCACCTGCAAAGACCCCAAGGGATACTGCAAGCGAGGCAGCGTTGAAGGTGGTAAGGTCATCGGTGGCTATGCATGGGACTACAACGGCTGGTTCGGTTACTATGGACATATCAACATGTGTAGTCCGTACTACGACATGAAAGACATTTCTGGCAAGATCGATGACCTCAATCAGTACAGAAAAGATGGTCAGATTGAAAGGCTTCAGGACATGCGATACTTCCAAACTTACGGTCAATTCTTGGCTCACGAGATGATGCACTTACGCAGCACCTACAACCCTGAACCTAAAATCGAGGACAAGTATCTATGGGGAGCAACAGGCGACTTCAAGAATGATGTGCGCGCATACGGCCCTAAACGCGTCCACCAACTGGCCAAAGGCGACGCAACTGGCTCCGAAGATCAAAGCGGAGGCAAAGTATCCACCATCAATGCCGACAGTTATGCCCTTCTCATGAATTCTATTTTCTGGTGGGACGTCACGCAGTACTTTCCTGGCGTCCCCGGCCGACCAGAAGGCTCCCCTCCCCCTGGCCTACCACCACCACTTCTCGTCTTCCCCTCCGTCTCACTCGGGGATATTACCGACACGGTATCCATCACCAGCGCAGAAGACCAACTCGACAAAGCCATCGACTCCTACCTGGTCAGCGACGACATCGAACCGGCAACCCCAGTTTCTACTAGCACGCCATCACCCACCACCGCACCCCCCGTCCCAGACAAGAATGAATGCCATGGCATCAGCGGCGACTACTGGGTGATGTCCCGCGATATTGCCGTGTCATCTGCCACCGAGTTTTGCGCCCAGTCCGAGCACACAAAGAAATACAACGTTGGCTCCGTCAACGAGCTCGAGCTCTCCGTGCGTAACCTGGCCGACGATAGCAAAGCACCCACCGATGCTCCCGACTGCGCTGCACGGTTCCAGAACGCTGTCATCGATGGCTGCGACGGCAACGACGCCGTTAATAACCCGCACAACTACAAGTTCGGCGGCACGTTGACCACCGGCGATGGCTGGGAGTACAAGATGACGCCGCTCAGCCAGCAGGTCAACGAGGTCGCCTGCGACGTCTCATACAAATTTTTCTACGACGGTTTCGAGATCCGCGGGAAGAACCTGCCTGATGCCAAGTTTGGCGCGGAGGGAGAGGGGTTGAAGGACCAGGTTGCCGGTTGTGGCGCAATCACGAAGTGGAACTTTGAGCGGACGCCTAACGATTGCTGCTTCCAGTGGTATGCGTCTGGGCAGCTACCGATTGGGACGAAAGCTTGTGTTGGTAGAGCGCTCATGTCGGCCGGGGGAAGTGGGGTAGGAAATTGTCATGGATCTGGAAAGAGAGGAGTCGATTATATTGATACTTGGCCTGGGTATGGTGACGAGGGAAGACATGTATTTGGGAACAGTACGGCGTAGGATTGGTATTGACTCAGTAGTGGAGTTGGCGTTTGATATGACTGATCCCTTTTGATTATAGAATTCAGGGTTCTGACAAAGTGAAAAAGAATTCCGTCCTTATGTGGTCATTGAATTTCTGACTAAAACTGGGAAATCTTCCAGGTGTAGCAATCGAACTGGCTTTCAAGTACCTCGCTCTTGCTTCTAGATGTGACTAATCGTCATATTGCGCTACTCTGACAGAGAATGCACAAGACGATTCGAGGTCTTGAATATCTGCCAGATCTTATTATCTGTTACGTCTCTGTATGCGTTCCAGTTCTGTATAATTAGCAATCCATATAGCTGGCTCAGCGCAAACTCCATTGCAAAATAACTCTACTTCCTTGCGCACAACTTCACGATATCCACAAGCCCACATGCACTCGCCACATCAATTGCACTTCTTCCCTTTCCATCCTCTCTCAGTGGATCCCCTACCTTCCCTATGAAGAACTGAAACGATTTCTTATCATGTTTAAGAGCATGCATCAAGGCTCAAGCCATGTCTTCTCCTGGTGGCGATGTGGGAAGCTGTTTCGCCTGCGTTATTGACAGCTTGGACATCAGCTTCACTGTCAGTCGTAAATAGTTGCGCAAAAGCATTCACATGGCACGGCTTATCGCCGTATTCGCGCTTGTACGCACCAAACTCTTTCTCGCACGCTGTGACGTTTTTTCCCGTGTCATTTGCTCTCGACGCTACATATGCGAGTAGCGGAGTGTTGCCCTCGTTGTCCCGGACATCGATCGATCTGCCTGGAAGCAGGTACTGATTCCAAAGCAGTAGACTTGAGCGGATAGGTTCGCTGGTTGCTTGATATCTGATACGGGACGTCGAAAGACATGTGTCGGCAATATAGTGAAGTGCAGTGCGGCCATATGGGTCTGGCTCTAGCAGGTCAGCACCCTTGAATATTAGTAGATCGCACAAGCGCATTATATCGAGCACTGTCGTAGTCGAAACATCCACGTCAGCTTCCAGTAGAGGTTTAGCAAAGGACTTTACATTATGTGGTTTCTTAGATTTTCTTTCACAACCATGTTGTGATTTGTACCAAGGGTTGACATCTGAGGACCGGGCAATTAGGTCAGGTCCAAACTGCATCATTGGATACTCACCCATCAACTGGGGATCGTCATTAAAGTTGCTCCATATTACATGCTCTCTGGTTGTTTCCGCACGGGCATGAATTGCAGTTCGAGCTCGAGCGTCGACGAGTGATACCTCTGCGCCGTACCGGAGTAATGCTGCCACAGACTCCAAATCACTCGCTGAACAAGCATTGTGTAGCGGTGTCCGACCAGCACTGTCTTTCTGGTTGAGGAGACATGATCCAGTTTTGCTGAGGAGTAAGCGGACAATATTGGAGTAACGAGCACGGCAGGCAAGGTGCAAGGCATTGTGTTTGTCTTTTGTCACAAGCATAGCATTGGCTCCGGCAGACAGTATCTCTGCTGTGAAGCGGTCCGACTTGAGAGCAGCTAGATGCAGAGGCGCAAAACCAAAGACATCTTGTGAACCGAGCTGAACCATCTCTGACACGCCTGAGGTTTCGAGGAATGTGATCTGATGCTTCGTAAAATTGTTGTGATACTCGTCACTCCTCTGGAGGAATACATGCAGTGGAGTCATCCTGTCGTTGCTCTGTGCATTCACAGATATACCGAAACCAATCATGCGTTGGGATCTCCTATAGAATTCGTCGTTTCCATTGTATTGAGATGAAAGGTGATGCAGGAGGGTATTGTCATGACGATTCACGCTGAGCGGGTCGAGTCCACGAGAGAGGAATTCGTCAAAGAGATTTCCTCTATGGAATGCGGTCGATAGTATATGGAGAGCATTGTTTCCGGTATAGTCAACTACATTACTCCTCGCTCCGTACTCATCAAGTACTCGAATCAACTCTTTGTTGTTTAGACCGCACAAAAGTAAGGTCTTGCCATCAGCGCAACGCGTTTCTAGGTCTGTATTTTCATCTAGCAAGATGGATACAAGCTCTTATAAATTTGCATAATCATATTTCGTGGCCAATGCAAACCAACAATGTCTCTCGACATTAATATTGGCACATTGAGCAAGAATGGATTCGAACAGTGGCGTGCTTACAGACATAACTTCTTCTACTACACTGAAGCCTCCGTCCGTGTCTTTGTTGAGATCTCCGCCATGTCGCAAGAGACATTTGACAATCTCTTCTATATGCTCGATATTCCACAGTCGTGCAGCTTTTTGGAGCCAAGGCTCTTCGCAGAGGGGAATATCTGTACGCTCATTGCTCATTGGGATCACATCCAGACTCAATGAGAAGCCGAACGAGGGCTGGTTAATAATGGAGGCGAAGAACGCGCTGTGATGTTCCGGCTCCTTCCGTATCTTTCGCATTCATATTTGCGCGTATAAGAGCTTCCAGTACATTTCTGTTGTGTTCTGATCCTCGGTCGCGGTGATCCTGAGCGCTGATTAGGAGAGGTGTATCGCCACGTCTATTCGGCTTCTCGAGATCAGCGCCCGCTTTAAGGAGTGCCCGGAAGATATCACTGTAGGTATCAAAGTTCGGCCCTCGCCATTTGTTAACTAGGTTATGTAAGGGTAAAGTTTCGGGGTCTGGTTAACAATTTCCGCCCATTATCGCCTGTCGTGGTGTCCAGATGGAAGGCTTCATAACGTCAGCTCCTCTTTCGATGAGTGCTAATGCAATATTTGCATTGCAGTACCACACGCAAGGTACAATGCGTCGCGCCACAATACTGCGCGTCCAGAATAGCTAGAGCGACGTCTGTTCTGCTGTATCTACAACTCTCACACATGAGTTGCTCTAATACCGTCGATTCGCAGTATGGTATCATAGCAATGGCTTTTTCACTATGTCCGTTCCGACTGACATAGAAGATTGAGCACTCTCCTCTGGTGGTCGTCTCACCATCGATCAGTTCACCCGCATGATTCTCTGTTGTTTTGACCGTGGCTGGGTCAACGCCAGCCTTGAGCAGTATAGACACAGTTCAAGCATGGTTTTTGATAGCCGCTAGGTGGATTGGTTTATAAGCCTGAGCATCGGCTTTCGTCGGCTGTTCAACCGTAGCCCAGGAGCAGTCGTGTCGATTCAGCATAGCCATTGTTGGCCGCTCAGTGTATCTGCGTGCGAATCTGTGCATTATATTCTGGGCCCGAAGCAGCGCTCTCGATTATATATCGGACAAGATAAGTCATTCCACAAAACGCCGCAACATGAAAGCTGCTGGGTACACCGTCGTTGGTATCTTTTGTCTTAGAGATAGCAGTCCATACTAGCGAATAGAAACAAGCTATTGACCGTTTCAAACCATATCCACAATCTGATGCAGGTTTCCTCGGTCTAGCTTCATCATATCGATAGCGTCATGTAGTCGGTGTTTCATATAAGTCGAAATGCCTGCATTAACGAGCTTCTGCAGCAGGCTGATGTGAAGGATGGATGAGGCTTTAAACGCACTTTGAAGATACTGCTTAGGTCTACTAGTCATCACAAGCTTAAAGATGCGGGGAAATAGATCGCAAGACTGTTAAGCTTCTTCAAGAAAAAGCTGTCCTCGGAGGCCATTTCGTCCAGTGCATGAATTCTGAATGAGGGAGAAGCTGAGCCAACAAGTCCTGCAACAAGGAACGTGGCGAGAAGTTGGCTGCGACAATGTTTCGAAAGAAAATGAACGAGACCGGAACATCTTCAGTAGTACGCAAGTGCTGTACTAGGGACGCAGCGATGACGGGTTTACCTAGTTCTGGTTAGGTGGCAGTCGATGTGGCATGCATAAGGTCCGTACCAGCCCCTAGCACTCCCTTGATCCACAAACTCCCATGATCCGGTGCATCGTGCCACCGTCGATATTGGTCCGTCTCGCAGATCCATAGACCAGTTACATGGGCTTGCGATGATAAATGACGACGAAACTCGCTGGAGTCTGCAAGTTAATCAGTTGGGCTCAACAGTTCCGAATATCATCTATGACATCTTATTCCAAGAAGGTCTCGTTATGGTTAATGATGTCATATTCGTCTATGGTTATGGCTGATCTTGGCATTATCGGAAAAGCTGGTAAGAAAGTGAGGGAATAACACAATCACTGAGGGTCGAAGCGAAGCTTTATATATGTGGATCCTTGGAAGAAAATCCTTAAGAGTCCATGCTAAGAGACTTCGGTGTGTTAGGTAATTGAGTATCCTTGACACAGCCAGGCTGCACTGCACAAAAGGAAAAAAAGGCCAATGAATCACTTTCAAGTCGCAAGAGGCCTTGCGGCCCCTGTTCTCGGCGCATTCCGGTGTGTGCTTCAGTCACCTAGGATTGAAATCGTCTCTTATGGTTTATCGCTGGTTGCGAAAGGATCTGCTCACGATTCTGCAACGATGAAACAAAGCGTAGCACATGGACCTTGAACAAGAAGGTCTCTCATTGGGCCTGAGTATGGCTGAAGCTACGTAGCAAAGAGCTGGGGGAGCTGAGACTCGAGAGCAGCTATTTTATAAAGTTCGTGCAAGGCTCAAGCTTATCAGCGAGGAATTCTTTTGTTTCCCGACAATGCAAACTCACGGATGACGCCCTATTTCTGGGGTCTCCATAAGGATTCTCAAGGACCATCTACATAGATTTGGTCAACTCACCTATCCTCATCTCATTCGAGGTTGTGCCAAACAAGAAGCTACAGTCAGGCTCATGGAAAGACAGCTTTAGCAGCTGCTCGACTAGGTCTCCAACCTTCTCTGAGCACGACTTTCTCACACCATGACTGAAGCTGAGCAATAATCCTAGATAGACGGAGTCACCGCCGACCTCGTGTATGCGTGATTCATTGAACTTCAGTGGTCTTCTTTCCTCTGGTGGGCGCAAATTACAAGCTTGACTGGCCATCAGCGGGTGTGAAGTCTGCCAGACTAACATCGTTTCTAATACAGCAGTCTGGAAATGTTTCCACACGTTTCCACTCAGGTAGATATATGCTTGTATAATCTTCAAGCCTGACTTAACCAGAGAATGCTAAGTCTCCCGTCCCTGCGGATCGTTTCGTAAGATTACACTGAAGGCAGCCTCGAAGAGACTATTGCCTGAAGAGCTCTGAGCTATAGATAAGGCATCATGCCAAGCACAGAAGGGACTACGCCTCTTAACAACGATGTCAGTTGCCACCAACAGTGCGAATAGTAGGTACATACCTACAGACTGCAGAATCGCAAAGAAAACATCACCCTGTAAAGGTACGACGAGTATGGTTGACTGAGTACTCTTCTTGCTCTTGCACAGGGGCCGCTATCTGGATATCCCTCATAATTTTTTTTAGAGGGCGTTCTTGGAGCAATCTGCGTCGCCGTGGCTTTGCTGGCGATAAATTTGAGCTATTGATCGTCGGACTCTGTATATCTTGATTGATGTTCGTAAGTGGACGCTTAATTTTCGTTTGATACTATTATATCTTACGGTACTGCCCTTAGAAATGTTATCAAGAGTTTTACATCCAAGACTGTGATCCATAAGCCTCGCCTAGGCTCAGCAGTTATGATCGTTGCTAATTAGTGCGACTCTCAGCTGAAGTAGCAGAGGAATCAATGGCGTTAAAGACACCGATCTGAATCCTCACCTTCACTCATTGTATGCTCCTTAAAGACGATAGAAAAAGTCCTAGAAGGGAGTACTGCTACTAGGCCTCGGCGTTGATTCACTATTAAATAAGCGTAACCACTATTGTTCCTTCATAAGTTATTTTGTTTCATCAACCGCTGCCCAAGGATGCGGAAACAGTGGACAGAAGAAATGAGGCTAAGTGTCTAGGTGTACCCCTTTTTCTGAGGCTGATAACTGCTAGACAATCAAACACCGAGATAGATTATACTCATATGCACCTTCGACGCTTGTTGTGTGGCTCTGAATTATGTAACCCGAACCATACGGCTCTTCTAGACTGAACGTAAACCTAATCTAGCTGAGTTTATAGAGCATGAAATGCAAGAGACTTTAGGATCGGGTACCATGAGTCTAAAGTCCGTAAATACAAGGGAGCTCGTAAGGTATCTGAGAGCTCTTCGCTTCCCATCTGCTTGACCCATGTACGTTGCTTGAAATAGCCGACAGATCGTGATACGACGTAGTGATATCCGCCGACACCATGCTAATGAAATTTGTTCCCGTGTTGAAACTCCAAGTGATGTTGATTCCAGTCAGTCTTGCTATCGGAATTAACATAGGAAAATTTCATATATCTTGTATGCATCTATATCATACTGGAGTCTGACAATGCATGTCACTAGATACGCCGTCTTTTACGTGTTGGTTTGGTCCTCCTCACATCAGCACACTCTTGAGTATGAGGCCGCGATCGTTTTCGCTCCGGCTCCTGTGCCGAGTCTGTTGTTGGATTCATGACCACCGAGCATTTCATTGCGGCTATCCTTTTGCTGCGTCTTGGGGCTGAAGGCGTATGTTTGGAGATGACTGTGTGCTCTTGGTCATGTTCAATGCGCGATTCGCTGATCTGTGCCACGGTTGGGAGATGTTCCCCTTCTCTGGAACGTTTTCTTGGCCCCCTTTTACCCTTCCCCTCTGCTTTGGACTGTGGTCCGCTTCTACTGGCGGCCGCGGGCTGAACTTTATCAGTGCCAGCATCAACTTTCGGGTGACCTGATCCATCACTTGGGCCTGAAGCCGAGTCAACGCTATCTCTGATGGAGTTTGGATCTATGGTTGTCGGTTCAGTCTCAGTTGTTGGCGGATGCTTCGTTGTAGATGCACTGGAGGTTTCGACAAGGGGAACAGGTGGTTGTATGATCCCCCATGTGGTATCTAACTGATCTGCATGCATCCAGGACATACCTGGGTACTCAGACCAGTCAGGGTTCCATATCTCGAGTTCAGTCCATTCTGCTTTAATAGTCTCGTAGGCTTTTTGTTCGAGGTCGCTTGCAGTAAGAGACGTCCCTCGTAAAGAAAGCGCTTCGTCTTGGATCCATTTCTGTTCTGCACCTACCTGAAACTTGAACTGATATAGTGGCCGAGACGCGTCTATGTCCACCTCTTCCCTATCGGGCTTGTCTTCTCCGTCTAATTCGACCTCGTGACCCCAGCGAGCTCTTTCGGGAACCCATGGACCTTTCCTTGAATGCAGTATATCTTGTCGCCATCCACTTCTTGCACTTGGTGGCCAAGCAGGACCCCAACTAGACTTCCATATCTTCTGCTCAACCCAACGTGCTCTTACGATGTTTTCTGCATTTATGATAAGATCTTGCGTGTCATCGATTCGATGGGTTGGGCGTCGGATTGTTTCGATGGTTCTCTGTTTAATTATTTGTTCATGGATTTTTTTGACTTGTTGCATGAATTGCTTGCGAGGGGTAGATCTCTCGAGAACCATGGCTCTGGCCTCCCATTCATCCTCGTCGATCTCCAGCTCGGGTGGCTCATCTTGGTTCGAACCAGCTACAAGACCAAATAGATACTGGTAGTCTGGTTCAGGGCCTGTCGACTCGCGACTCTGATATGGAGGTGGTGGGCTACTGGAACGATTTGCGAGGGTTTCAAAGGGTGCTAGACCAGCATGCGGTGGATTGGTGCGCGCGTCGAGTAAAGCCATAGTGAGGAGATAAAGTAGGAAAGATGTCGATGGAATGAGCGGTGCAGGAGAAGGAGAGCCTTATGCGCAATACAATGTTGAATATTGAATATGCAGTGGGGTCATGAACGTCGTCGTATCAAAGCGCACGGACCTTCGCAACGTCGACGCGCGCGCCTGGCTTTAAGCGCTGTAACTATTTTCGGTGAACCATGATGGTTGCCTTAATTAGCTATTGTCCGTGCCTGATCCACCTTTTAGCAAAGCAACTGTACTTGATATAATCCATGCATCAACCTATTAAATGTGGACACCGACCACCTAAAGGTGTAAGACAGGCGTTTAAAGCGGCACAGTCACGTTCTAATTATGTCTTCGGTCGCTCGGGATGCTTCGACTGGACGTAATTCACTCTTATCGCGTCGACTAGGTAGTATCAAACATGGCACAGTTTAGGAACTTTGTTTCATGCCCATATTGATTGTTTCAAGCTGTCGCCTCCTGGCGCTTACCAGTAGCAATGAGAAAGCTAAAAGGACCCCATCCCTAGACAATGGTGTTGTTTGGCAAGCCATCTACCATGTTTCCTTTACAGCCTCCGCCAAATACTATCATCTCCTTAATTCCTACGAACGATGATGCGAAGAGCCTACTGCACCATGAGCATAATAGACATCTAGTGTCAGAAGTGCCACAGGCCAAAACTGACAGAAAAGGATGTGTTCGTCTCGGATTCAACCTTTCTTTCGCCCTCTCGACAGAGGCACGAACTACATTGGTCACAATTGGCAAAGACAAGACGCGATGCCAGATCTTTGCAGACGGTTCCTCGATAGGGAAGGTACACTGTACCATTGAGATACGAGAAGGTACAACAGATGTGTTCATAATGAAGCGCACAAACAAAGGTTCAATCGGATTCTTTAATAATTCTCCCACCCCTTTGAACAAGCAAGGCCTTGCGCCCTTGGGTCCTGAGACGAATACCATCTTCGGCATCGGACATCGGAAAGGCGATCTTTACGTATTCGCGGTATATTGGCACAGGGATCTGGAATGGCAAGCCCTCGCAAACCGACAGCACCTGTTGTCTCAGACGAGAAGTACCGAGATTGAAATGGAGCCACACGAAATATCTCAGGGCGAAGCAAGAAGAGTTCTGCGAATCCATACCACACGGACACCTGCAGGCAAACTACGCATGAATTACAAGACCATCAATGAACTCGGGTCAGGAACTTATGGAACAGTGACCAAGGTCCAAGATGTGGACAGTGGTAACTTGTATGCATGTAAGAAAGTGCGGCTACCTGATGTCCACAACGACTACACGAGCTTTGCGAAGACAAAAAGGGAGGTCGAGATACCGTTCAAATTCAGTCACGTATGTCTTTTCATATTCTTACACAGAAAGCTACTGATCAAACCAATAGCCTCATATTATCAAGTATGTCTTTGCTCAACGAATGGACCAGAAGGGCATTGCATACTTCGAGATCTTCACAGAATTAAAAGATGGCAGTATCGAGGACTTGATTAGGAATGGGGAGATGTTTGTGAAGCATAAATCTCTCGGCATACAAGTCTTGTTGAGCATGCTACGAGCCTTGGAATATATCGCTGATCAAGGCTTCATCCACCGCGATATAAAGCCCGCCAATATTCTCTATAACAAACTCCACAACGGCCAGTTTGAGTTCTGCCTTGCCGATTTTGGTCTCGTCAACATATCATCGAATGCGCGGACCATAGCAGGAACACCTGTATTCTACGCCCCAGAAATATTGATGGACGCTGGTGCACTGCAAACCCCCAAAGTCGATATCTGGTCCCTCTTCGTCACGTACGCCTTCATGATCAATGCCAACGGATTGAGGAACAAACTCACGGATAGATTTGAGGAGAACATAAAAGCAGTGCGGGAGGCTGTAGACAACGAACGTTGCACCGATCTGGAGCCGATGACTCGTGTTTATCCAGCACACCGCGCTAGCGCACGGCAGATGCTGCAAATACTCAACAACGGGGTCGGTGCTGCAGAGGGCAAGACACAGACAATGGAACGTACGAGGATTGCTGCGCCGCTAGCGCAGTCCAAAGCCCTTAAAAGGATCGAAATGGTCGGCCCATCAAATCCACCGAATCCAGCTGACCGCAAGGAGGTCAAAGACCGAGGAATGTTCGTGCTTCAGACACGCCAGCCATCTCAGCCTATGAGTTCAAAGGGCTCGAGTGGTTTGATGTCATTGGATATACCACCATCGAAGCTTTCCCAGGAGAAAGAGAAGAGCAAAAGGTTCTGGGGACCCCCCCGGAGAACTAGTTCTGGCATGTCGGGAATCGAGTATGAGTGAGTGGGATATACTGTATGGTTACTTTATGGGACTGGAGTACTGTGTCGTAAAGCGCGTTTTTACTCTAAATTGATTGTGTTATCGTATGCTATTTAGACCAAAGTGTTCAAGCTAAGCAAAGAGTCTATTCTTTTGATAATTAGTGAAGTTTTAACGTTCAAGCCCCATAACGAGCTAGAATTATGTTCCCTCCTCAAGAGCAAAGAGATAATACCATGATCTAAAACAGCCATGAGACACATGCATCTTTTGACCACAAGCCCCACTGATCCCTCTCGATTACCAAATTTCATCTGCGGTAGGGCCTAGCGAATAGGAAGAAGGTTTTATGAAGTTCGCGTCTCATTCTTTTAGTGCGCGTTCCACCTTCTTCCCTTCCAGTTGCCCGCAGCTGTGAAAGTGCTTCTTGATTTATCACATATCACTGCTTGAGAAGCGGTTCAAAATGCTCTCAGTCTCTTCATAGACTAGGGACTCATCAGCGTCTCAAAATTGCTCGTTGGGCTGTATGATGGTGGTCCCACGCACGCTTTGCCTGAAATCAGGTAAAGCATCGTCCTAAGGAGACAGATACCGCTCTCTATATCCTAGCTGTGAAGAGGTTACTTTATCTTCTTGGGCCGCCCCCGTCCCGCCCCCCACGGCAAAGTGTTTCTGTTGCTTCGACTTGATTGATCTCGTTTGTGCCTTTGTGCTCCAAGGGCTGTATCTCCTCTACCATTGACTATAGAAGCTCCGAGTGGTGCATGATGTCGAGGTTCGAACGTTTTCTCAGAGTAGCAGCTTCTCTGCGTCCACATGAAGATAGGATTCGATAGAACGGTCATACCCATTATCAGTATTTTTTATGGTGAAGACAAGGAAACTGTCATGACTTACTCTGTAACCCTTAGATGTGCTAAACTAAAGTTATAATTTCTGTCTGTATACTCATTATTCAGCTTGTAAGAGGAACATTAGTTTTACATTGTAGATTTAGCTTTATTTAGTAAGAGTACTACCTAAGGTAGGTATTCTAGTAACTCTGTAATACTACATTCTGTCTCATACTAGAGGGTACTAGCATACTATACTCTAATGGCTTTTAGCATTGCAAGGTAATTCTTGATAACCCGAGCAGTGAGCCCACAGAAGGTCCAGTCCCTTGAATACCCATCCTACATCTTGGCATTTAGATCAGTCTCAGGACCTGAACTGCTCGCAATCGAGATAGTTCATCTCGATAAACGCAAAATCCGCCTTCAGTCCATATACCTCCTCCCACTTGCTGCTCTCTGGAAGCGCGGGCTTTCCAATCTCAACATACGCTTTAATTGGTACGGGCGCATACTCTCCTGTTGTAACAGCAGAATCAAAGATGGTAGTGAAGTTATCGCAAAGCTTGCCGTTTGTGATGATTTGATTCGACGTGTTGCGGTATAACTCTATGCTATATGGCTGGCTCTTTACAGGCGAAAAGCGAGTCTTGAACAGCGGACTGTCGTGCGGGTGGAGGATAGAATAAGCGTCGAAGAGTAGCTCTCCAGGGGATGAAGCGTCGGAGCGATACGCATCACATGGCGGATCGAAGCTCGCAACAATCGGACTCGGCGGCGTGTAATACGGTTGGGCGCCCGCAATGGCAAGAATGTTTTCACTGATTACTAGACTCTGCGCATACCGGAAAATCGTCTGGCTATCGCCGAAGATGTCAACGAACGGCAGATTGACCTCAACCCGCGAAAAATCCGGGATCAAATTCAGGCCGGAGGCTCGGATGTCGTGGTCGTAGACTCCTTGGACGAGGAGAGGGAATTAATCGCGTGGAAAGTCTGGTTGCAGGCTGTAGAGTTGATCGAGAAGGATGCGGGCGCCAGCGGGGACAAGGGATTGTGCGTAGGATAGGGAAATGGGGATTATGAGAGTTGTGCCATTTGCGGTGCCCGTGGCAAGGTTGGGGTACTGTAAAGCAATAGGATTCGGTTGCGACTGAGTGGTGCAGCCAATTGGGCCGACAAGAGCAGAGGCGGAGAGGGCCAGGAGAGTAGTGCAGGCGAGATAAGGGGTTGTGTCAAGGGTTTTCATCGTTGGATATGGATTTTTGCATGTATTGGACCAAGTTGGTGTTGATTTCAGACCTGTTTCTCATGCCCTGCTTCCAGATATACAGGTTCGAAAAAGCTTAATCTGCACCCCCAGATTTGGCCCCAGGATGACGATCTATACTTTCCGTATTGGTACAAGTGGGACTCACCTAGGACAACTAAGTGGACACTTTCGGAGGGGACCGAGCTCATTTAGATCGGATAGCACATTTTCCGTGTTGCACCACCACCGCAGTAGAGACGTAGCCGATGAAAACGCCAACAGACGAAGCTGTAACAATTGCAAGTCAAAGTGAATTTTATTTTACCAGGTCATCTAATGTGTCCTCCACCAGTTCGAGCCGACGCATCAGTAGACGTTTACTGTTATGCTGATCAGTGTGATGCAAACCGAATACGCCGCGCAATGCTCAACATGGAGTACATTTGGAAGTTGCATACGACAGTTAGCTTATTCAAGAAGAAGTGATATTTCTAGCGCATCATATAGGAAAAATCTGGTAGATCCATAAGGACAGATCGAATGACATTCTGGGACTCTTGCTCGTCTGCTAGCGCAAGTGATGCACTGGATGGTGTTCGAGTATGAGCTGCTGGAATTGACTTAGATGGAGTAGGCGAGGATGGCCGTGTCTGGACCGCTGGGACCGCTGCGTCAAATGGACGAGAATCATGGATCTGCAGTGTAGCTTCGAGAGATCGTGTTGGGGTGGGATTAAGAACGGTCAAGTCGGCGTCAGCCCAGGTATCATCATTAGCAGTCTGACATGCAGGATAAAGCAGTAGTGAGGGATTAGATGGTTCGGTGGGAACTCGATCATGTTGAGTTTGCGCAAAAAGCTGTGTCGTTGTATGTTCCGAGCTTGCACGGCGCTCAGAGGCAAAAGCCGCTCTTGACCCGAATGAATCTACTCCTTGCTCTATGGTCGTACCAGAGGGTTTCATATCACGCCATTCGTCTTCATCACTTATTCCAGTTTCGACGCTAGGCTTGCCCATCGTGGTAGCATCTCGCCATGGGTCCGTACCATCCTGCAACGGCCATTGAAGAGAGTCTGGCGACACAGGTACCTTTTCGGCAGGCACCATTGGAGAAATTTTCATGTCTTTTTGCGCGACACTGTGCATGAGATCGTCGATGGCTGGGCGGAGCGCTTGGTTCTTCGGGCCACTGACGCTCTGAGAACCCCTTGTGTGTTTGTAATGAGACATCTGGATAGATAAATCTGTTGACATGGGTCGGATCTTTGATAGTGCTTGAACAGCGAATGATACCTTTGCCTTTTTCGGGGAATCTTGAGCTAACTCTTTCGTCAAATTGTCTTTCAGGTCTGAATTATCTTCTCTCGACGCCGTGGAACTCCATCCAAATTGTGCGAATGAAGACTCAGAAGCTTTACTTTCACTGTTCGACTGCAGATCTTCGGTGGATTGTGAACGCTCAGTGATTGTTGATGATGGTGCCTGCAACCTCGTCGGCGCAGTACGCTGAGCAGGATGCTGTGGCTGGTCCCAACCGAATGCAGCGCCAGGTCTTCCAAGGCTCGGCTTGCCTGTAGCACGATCTTCGACCATCCATCGAATGACCACTTCATTCACATTTTTTCTGACTTGGGAGTCACGCCATGCGACACGGACATAGTTGTTATTGTCTTTCCCGGTGTCAAATTCTCGCATAGTCTCCTGCCTAGTGAGCCGATACCAAGCCTTTCTGGAGGATGTTGAGGTCAACATATCATCAATTGGCTGTCCCAGGGACTTTGACTCAGGGGTTTCGCCTAACAAGTCTTCCACGATCGAAGTGTCAATTACGAAAGATGGGATAGGTGCTGGACTGTTCCTTCGACCGACGGTAGTACTTATTTCATCTTCGCTTGATGTGCCATCCTCAGTCACAGCCGCCTGCTTTTGATGGATGGCGAACTGATCATTATCATCATGAGTTCCACGTTTGGGTATTTTGGCAAGCTGGTCAACATCTTCAGTCCCTGGCGAAGGCTCTGCTTTTTCGAGGTGTCTTATATCGTGGTGCTCGTCCTCGACCGAGGTTCGTGGGGATCCTGAGCTTTCTTTGATGCTACTGGTCTCTGTATGCGACGTTGATGGTCTTGTAGAGTCTTCTCCAGTATATTGGTATGCGTATTCCTCTCCATCGATGAGTCTTGACGGATGCTGAAATACGGCATTGTTTTGCGGAAGACCTTGACCGTGCTCTCCCATTTCACTTGCGGTTTCGGGAAGTATGTCAATCGTGGAGAGGGGCGGGCTAGCAATGAATGTAGAAGTAGGTGATGAAGATGAGATGTGAGAGGCCGTGCTATTCGAAGCCTCATCCTCAAGCTCGTCTTCTAGTCGGTCTGCACGAAGTGTATCTGGGCTTATTTGAGGCGTCTGCGACGTTGCCTGCATTTGGTCCGACGCGCTTCCGACCCCGGAGTCTTCGGCATGGAAGTCGCCATCGACTTCCAGTTCATCTGCTTTTCCATTCCACGGATCTTCAAAGGCGCCCCAGTCGTTATCATCATCTCCTTCGTTGGCCCAGCCGGGCGCGTCGTTCCATATTGGCAGAGCTGCAGAGCTTCTAGGAGTAGCGGATGTATTCACATCCAACAGTGGAGGTGTTTGGTTTGCATTGTCGGCCCAAGGGTCGCCCCAATTGTCCATACTCGCGTCATAGTGTGAGGGAGGCGCTCAACATAGTCAAAATATGTCCCCTGGCAGGCAGAGAAGCCTGCATTCAGGAAAGACGGAGGAATCTCGTTTCCGTTCTCAACCCCAGGCGCTCGGATCACCGGAATATCCGCGCGTCACGTCTAGCTGCCGATGCGTCCGCCGACGTCAGACTGTCAACATCTCCGCCATCCGTTCATCCAAAGCTAACGGCTAATGTTGACCGAGGATTACCATGATGCAGCCAGCAGAGCATCATACTCTCGTTCTGATACGTAAGAATCACCAGCAGTCTGATAGTTGTGATTGAATGAGTTGTGGTCAACAATTGCCCACCATGCCCCAGCACTCCCCATTCAAGATCGAGATCCCCGCAAAAGACATCCTAAGTTATCTATTCCCAGAGAACAAAGAATCTTCAGACCAGCCAATATGGATAGATGCTGCTGAGCCAGATAGAAGTCTGTCTCCCAAGCAGCTATTGCAATGGTCCAAGCGACTTGGAGTGGGCCTACAGAAGCTGGGAATGCACGAGGGTGATGTTGTTATGACCTTCGCAACCAACCATATATTTGTCCCTGTAGCGTATCTGGGTGTATCTGCTAGTGGGTGTATATTTTCAGGATGTAATCCAGCTTATAGTGTCTCGGGTACGTTCGGGCCAAGTGTTGTATGGCATCAACTAATGGTGTCCAGAGATCGTGTATCAAGTCGAGAATACAGGCGCGAAGGTCATTCTCGTGGATCCGGCCTTACTTGGTTCCGCTCTACCAGCAATTGATAAAGCTAGATTTCCACGAGACAAAGTCTTCCTGTTCAATGACGTCGAATGTCAAACTACTCAGGGTATTCGGGATTGGAGATCCATGATTGGATCTCCCGACGAAGCAAAGCACTGGACCTGGAGAGCCATCAATGGCGACGCATGCGCAACAACAACTGCAGTCATTAACTACTCTTCGGGTACTACTGGTCTCCCTAAAGGTGTGATGATTTCCCATCAAAATGTTATCGCAAATATCGAGCAATCAATATACATGCGAGACCTCGAACAAGATTATACGCCCAAGACCAAACCCACAGAGCGCTGGCTAGGCTTCCTCCCGCTATATCATGCTTATGGCCAGCTATGGTCCATTGGCGCCGCCTGTAAATTGCTCACGCCTTGTTTCTTCATGCGGACTTTCTCCTTCTCTTCATTTCTATGCCACATCCAGACTCACCGTATAACGCACATCCAGACCGCGCCCCCTGTCCTTGTCATGCTCGCAAAACGCCCCGAAACCGTATCCTACGACATATCCTCCCTCGTGAACATCCTCTGTGGCGCAGCCCCGCTCTCTGCCGAACTCCAGAACGAAGTCTCAACGAAATGTAACGTTCAAGTCGTGCAGACGTGGGGTATGACAGAGCTCACATGCTCCATGCTCCACGTGCCTGGCGGTCTAGACGACCGCAGCGGCAGTGTCGGCCACATCGACCCGAACGCGTCCGTGAAGTTGATTTCTGATGATGGTCGCGAAGTCGGCGTGGGTGAGCGTGGCGAAGTACTTGTCAAAGGCCCGAACGTGTGTCTGGGCTACTGGCGCAATGCGCAAGCAACACGAGAACTATTTGATGATGATGGCTACATGCGCACTGGCGATGTTGCCGTACGCAATGAACGCGGCTGGTACTGGATCGTCGACCGCAAGAAAGAACTTATCAAGGTCAAGGGCTTTCAAGTTGCTCCTGCAGAGCTCGAGGCTCTACTGCTTGAACACCCTGATGTCGCAGACGCTGCTGTGTGCGCGTTGCAACTTGATCACGAGGAGCTGCCGCGTGGGTATCTTGTTTTACAAGAGAATGTGAAGGGCAGGATGACAGAGGAGGACATACATACATGGCTCAATCAGAGGGTTGCAAAGCACAAGCGCCTCTTGGGTGGAATCCAGTTTATTAATGAAGTGCCAAAGAGTCCGAGTGGGAAGATACAACGGAAGGTGTTGAAGGAATGGGCCGCGAAGGATGCGCATGATTTCGTGAGGACGAGAGCAAGGGCAAAGCTTTGAGTCCGCACTGCATATAGAACAAAAGCTGTAATTACCGAAGTAAAACAGTGAGATAAAAGTTTCGCCTCGATACAATCGGCTACGATTGCTTTTGATCTTGAGGAGTTTGTGCATAGAAACTCCAATCTTCAGGGCGAACATACGTATGATCGTTAATAGCGTTAGTCGACTGTGAGTATTAAATCACTGAGGGCGCTGGCCGCGATCTTAGACGTGAATACAATAAGTGAAATCTCTATCCCACGAGCGTCCGCATACACGCGCAACATGTTCCGTTGCAACATGATATACTATTCTTGAGCCTAATATCTCCCCTAATACCAGCCGTCCCCTTCTTCGCCCTTCTTCACATTCTTTGGATTCAGACTCAATAACCTCATCGCCGGCACCTGGCCGCTAACCTTACTCTCAAAAACGCCACCGACAGCCCTGCGGCCATAATGCGAGAAACTATCAAAGCGCTCCTGGCTCTCTAGCCCATTTATGGCAACCCACTCCGGACTCGTATACGGACTACGCCCATCGCCTAGATCACTCCAGCGCGTGACGACAATCGCATGCTTGAATTTCTGCACGGGATCACTCGGATCCTCGACCATATTGATCTCGACCAGGTACTCGGTGGGACACTCAGGACATCTCCGTGCAGGGCGACAGGTATCACAGCCACGCACGATCAAGCCCGGATTAGCGCGCTCGCGCGAGAACGTGGGCGCCTTCTGTAGCTGCTGGTAGATGCTCTCAGGCGGAGCGGGGACATGCGACATCATACATTTACACGTGGGCATGAGCAGGCCGTCGCGCCAGTGGGCGCACACGCTGAAGAAGGGCATGTACTCCTCGCGGTCGTACAGGATGTGCCGCATGCTGGTCTCGGTCATGTCGCGCGCCGGGAGTGTGAATGCGCGGCTGATGACGCGCATCAGGAGGCGGCCGTCGTGGATTAGGAAGCGCGTGCGGTGCGTCCAGCCGGCATGACGCCAGCGCTTTGAGAGTGCGTCGATGGAGATGCCGTAGGATGGTGTGTGTTTTGCGGCGCGAAGGACAAGTTGGATGTATGCGTAGGGCAGCTCGCGGGCGTGCGTGAGCCGCATGCGAGGCAGGACAGAGGAGTTTATGTTCGGGCAGGCGAAGATAGGGTTGTTGACGTATTCGATTTTGAGCGTTTCCTTGCCTGGGTGCAGGCGTTTGTGGTACTTGCTGCAGGGGAAGCAAAGCAGATGGCCCGGGTATTGCTCATCGAGGGCGTGTAGGAAGGCATGTTTGAAGTGACGGTGTTCTATGGAGTTGAACATTTCGAAAGGCATCAGGCCAAGTTTTGTGTAGAGGGTTTTGTTGGATATGGCGAGATTGACAGCGTCGATGGGGTTGAGGAAAAGTGCAATACGCTTCCAAACCTCTGGTGGGAGAGACGCAATGCGTTTTTCGTGCTCTGGGGATACGAGCATACCTTGACGCTTCCGCCGTCGAGCGTTTGGCGAGAAGTGGTCCTTGGGAGGGGGTTCATCATCATCGTCATGAAGAAAGTCGCGATGTGCGAGCCCATGCATTACATCACCAGAGTCTTTAATTTGAGGGCGAGAATACTCATTTGATGGGTTATCGTTGAATATCGCATATTCGTGTCGTTCTCCGAGATCATTTGCTTGACTCGACACTGGCGCCGGCAGGTTCTTCTTGCGCAGTTTGCCGCTTTGAGATTGGCCTCCGGGATCTTTCGCAGAGTGTTTATCTGACTTGAAAATCCTGCGTAGACTGAAAGATGACTTTTTGGACTGCAAGATGGACTGTTCCGACATGTTAGAATGCATGGTGAGCATGGTGGATACGATATGTGATAATGTAGGTCGACCCGAAGATCAAGTCTTCGCCCTCCAAATTGAATGAAGTTGGACAACCATTGAGTCGGATTTGTATCGAATACTCAATGCGCCGTGGTCTCTTATAGATTGACTGGAGTTTGAATTTGGTGGCCAGATCGCTTCAAAGGAAGCCCCAATGCGCGATGTGTGTCATGCCGAGCGCATCCGGTGCTATTGAGCCTCAGGCAGCAAGTACTTGGCCTTGACTTCTGTATGGACAATCCTGCTAAAGACGCTGTTTAACAAATCTATGGATTGATTTAAGCGCATAAATAGATAGAATAACTGAGTATGACATATCAAAAGGTATGAGGACCCCTGTCCTAGCTCATGTAAACTCAAGCTATAAACTTATCATTGCTACATGTACAGTGAGATCCAGTATCCTCATATGACGTTCACAGGGTCGTGGTCCTCTCAGAACCTGACATATTTACTCAATCTCCCTTGAAACTACAGTCAAATGTTGTCATAGATCGCTTTCTCGCACCCAAACCATGTGCCCAAAACACTCATATCCCCAAATGGCATGATCTGACTCGCAATCATGCCTGCCACACCTTTCTCCCTGTCCACCCAGTAGAACAAATTACTAATTCCGGCCCACCATCCTGTATTTCTTCCCCTACCGGTAACACCTGGTTCAATCGTCATGAAGAAACTCAAACCCCATCCTTGCGGCGGATTTCCGTCCTGAGGATACATGTCTGGGATCGGGTTCGTCATGTCGGGTTTAGCGCCAGGCAGACCGTCGTGGCCAAAGTTAGGGAATTGTGGGATTTGATTTTTAAACATCTCATCCACAGTTTTGGATGACAGGATAGGGTAGCCGGTGCTCGGGGATGTGCCATCGTTGAGGAGGGCGGCTAGGACCTCTGCTGCTAGTCAATCTTTGCAGGGCGACGGACGACACAAAGTACGCACGGATATATTCTGTGGGTTTGGAGAAACAGCCCGCGCCACCGCTGTTGAAGATACGATCCTGCTCCTCTGGAGTGGTTGAAAAGAGGGAACGGCGGAGGAGGTGGTCGCGCTCGACGAGTTTCCCGTCAGGGTATTTCTGGTGCATAGCGGCGAGCTGGGCTTTCATTTCAGTTGAAGGAAACATAGTGGTGTTCGTGAGGCCGAGTGGCTTGCAGATACCATCTTGCATGAGCTCATTCAATTTCTTACCACCAGCACGTTCGGCGGCGAGGCCTGCCCAATCGATGTTAATCTATAGGACTGTTAGACAAGGGTAATAAAGGGAAGTTTGCTACTTACGCCGTACTCCCACTTCGTACCAGGCTCGTTGACGAGTGGCATCTGCAGGATCTCCCATGCGTCGCCATGGAAGACATCGTAACCAGCTGGGCGGGCGTAGTCTCGAAGTTTCTCGTTGAAGAACTCGTAGCCAAAGCCGGCAGTGTGTGTGAGGAGCATGCGAAGCGTGATATCGTGCTGCTTCGGTCTAAGCGTGAGGTCATCTTGAAGAACCTGTACTTTCTCCAGCTCTGGACAAAGCTTATACAAGCTCTTGTGGTCATCCAAGCTCAGCTTTCCTTGCTCTACAAGCTGCAGACAGACGATAGTAGTCAGTAACTTCGTACAGCTGAAAATACAAAATATTGTGTCAACATCCATGGCTTTATTCGTGTTGACGCCTCTCTTCCCAGAAGCATTAGTCTGAATGATCTCGCCCTTCTTGTTGATGGAGGCAAACACTAGTCCAGAAACCCCTTTCTTTGGATCCGATGTGCATGCATCAAGTGCCTGCTGTACGGCGGTCGAGGCTTTTGGATAGGAAGACATTGTAACGCAGGTGGGTACGGAGATGTGGAACTTTGACAATGTGTTCGTCGTCTGGAAACTGGAAAGCGATGACTCCTTTCAACGGACACAAGGAGAGCTAGGTATACTTGTAGCCGTGGTCAGAATGAGGGGTCTCCCATTGCACCCACACGCGGGGCTGGACCTATCTATAGGAGACCCCTCATGTTGTGCACAATAGCCTCTCACCCCATATAGCATCAGCCAGGTAACCGCCATGAGACATTTTCTAGTCATGCCCATGCATAGTGCCTGTATCGACCACAATACTGCCTAAGGAGTAATCTCGCCTAGACGGCGATGAAGAGCTTTGATTCGAATGTGCGGCCTTGCGGAGAACAAGATCAGCATCATGGTATTCAGTCGATCGTTCGATTAAGTAGCCGGGCGAAAGGGGGTTCAGACCTGTGGCGAACGGAGGCCGGTCATGCTAAAGAGACTATCCACCAGTCATTCTGTGCGACACAGATTTGAGAGCAATAGACGTGAAGGCCGAGGCGAATGCGGAGTGCGGAGAAGCATTCACTGATCGGCCCGTGCATTCATGCGGGCTAAGCAAATTAGTCGTTTGCCTAGAACCTAACTTTCTTAGCACTCGTGCCCGCGTGTTCTTGTCTCTATTTTCCTATCAAGTTCTTGATTATCGCGATAAATCGATAAGTCTTTCAATTTGCTATCTATATGCATGGGGAGAAGTATATGCAATCTTTGCTATCATAATCCGACAGAAGATGTCAAGCTACATGACCCTGGCTCATGAATGTAGCCGTGAAGAGGAGGTGATCTGATCATGTCTCATTGCTTTCCTTACATACAAGACACATGTAGACTGAGTATGCCTCACATGTATATATAGGTATAAGTAGTTGCGAATGGCGTTCAGACCCTGCCAAGACATTTTGCGGATCCAACCCTCGATTCGTATGGCCCAGTGCCGTTGCAACGACCCTGGCTACGAAATTTGACTTTTTAACCTCACTCTCTCACGTCACTTCGACGCCGAAGGCACACTTCTCATCATGAATACCGTACGCTTTCAGTCCTTTGAATCTTTAGCTGCTGATCATTCTAGATCCGATCAGTAGGGTACGTGATCACGGTACCAGCTCGTGTGCCTATCGGAGCTTCCGATACCAAAGCTAACACTTCATGACACTCGCAGCTACGGCTGGGGCGTCCTTATCCTAGGTCCGTAGACTCCATCCTTTTTTCTTTCCTATCATGACATACGCCTATAAAGCACTCGCTCTTACAACCGCTGATTTATTCTAGCCGGCGGCGGCGCATACTATTTTGCAAAGAAAGAAATCAACGCAGACCGAGAAGTACGCGCCGAAGCCGACCGCAAGAAACGTGCATTTCAAGATCGCATGCGCTCCGAAGAGTATAGAAACCGACTGTCTGCGTCTGAAGATAGCGCAAATGCAAACCTTGAAGTTAGTCAAGATCCAGCGCTCACGAGACATGCACCTGAAGCGATGAGACAGAAGACAGTAGAGAAGAGCAAGTACGAGCCCAGTGAGCCATGGCAGAGTCCAAAAGGGAATCGTTTTAGTTAGCGGAACCTCCCGTAAGAGGAAGTGCTCAGTCCCTGTGCTTAGCAAGAGGCTTCTAGCGTTTCTGAGGCTCTACGCAATATGCTATGTACTATCGCGACGTATCTCGGCCTACGCCCAGAGCGACCTAATAATAGTATGGATACACGATACTCTCGACAAGGGGATCACTATAACAATCTTTAATATCCTTACTCTCATGTAAAATTCCCGCATGTCCCAGACAGGTACTCAACCCTTGTACGAGGAATATCCTAGCTATGCGTGCGCACGATCTTGGCGACGCCATACGCTATTAGTGAAAGACCAGGTGTGTAGGGCCGAGGAGTAAGTGTTTACCATGATGCGAGCGCTACTTGGAAGTCATTCAAATTTTCAAGGCCTCTATAAATTTTCTACTTTCAATAAATTTTACTTCTACTTCTTACACCATTCCAGTTTTCATTTCACAAAAATGCTCCCATGGTGTATACTCCTCATGGCAGTCGTTCCTGTCGTTGCCGATCCGTTGGCCACGACTTATGCCATCCATTCATCTTGTTCTCCATACCCAGCAGTTTTGCAAGCTGTCACTGAAGCTATCAAGATGGCTTCTCTAGCTAGCCAGCACCTGGAAGCCGAAGATGACTGGGAGAAATACGACACATTCGGCCTTGGAGCTGCCTTCAGGCTTGTCTGGAACATTGCTGATCGTGACGATTACGAAGTTGCACTTGACCAAGTGAGCACAATCTTTGGAAGTATTGCCGAAACCCGTCCGGGAGATTCGTTCTCCGGCGCAGATATTCACATTTACTGCGACAATGATGAGCGATGGAAACTCGCCAAAGATCGAACAGCCCTAGGCCCGCTCATGCAAGGAGACCCTGCGCCCCTGCCCAATTCCAGAGAACATCCAGACCAACAGATCTGGGTCGACAACACAAGTGGTGTTTACCATATCGGCATACCTGCATGTTTCTACGACACAACCGCAGTAACATATACGAAGGCTATACGCTCGCCGTTCCACTCCAGGCCACCTGCCCGGCGCGCCGCAATCACAATCTGCAATGATGGGTTGAAGCGATACTCAACGCTCGATGGGTACATTGATATAAAGACAGGTATTGACCTCTCTAAAATCGGTGTGGGCGCCGTCTCTGTGTTTCTAAGCCACACAATCCTACACGAGCTGACGCATACACTACCATATGAAGTCAATGATGACGAGGACAACCCGTATGGGTGGGAACACTCGATTCAGAAGCACACGGATGCGGCGCTCGACAATGCAGATAACTATGCGTATTTCGGAGCGCTGGCGCTGTTGTTTGAGAAAGGATATATGCTCACACCGGATGCCATAGGGGCGGAGATGGGCGTCTTGGTTCAGAGGCCACGCGAAAGAAATCTGTCACCGGTTTAGACTTAATTGTACGGGTTGCCACTTTTGTATGTTCCATCAATGATCCATAGTAGAATCATGGTATGGAGGAGTGTGTCACGAATGGGGCTCGCCTTGTGACAGGGCTGAGGCTGATCCGGACTGTCGGACACGCCCAGGACACGCTCCGGTGCCAACTAAATTCGGAGGGTTCCCTCAAGCGTCCAGCGTATTTTAGTATTCTAAACGTTCGAAACAAAGATTTACTGAGTAATCATGTAGTTATTAGTTTAGCCGAAGTAATCTCCGGTACCCTTCTATCCGCCTCTTATTCTTCTCTCTTTCTCTCTCCCTCTCTTCCTCCCCCCCTCTCTTATTATTATATATAATTTTAGACCTCGCACGCTTTGAAACAACACTTGTACACGTGTTTTTAACTGATTTTGACTGAGTTAATCTCGTAGGCTTCAAAATAACACTGATTACACGTGTTTTTGACTTATAGACTACGGATATATACGTGCTTGAAGCTTATTCTATATTACTTAGTAAGATGGCTTAGATATATCGTATAATAGCCGACTCGTATAGTATACATAATATAGCTGGACGCTTGAGTAACCCTCCTAAATTTGTCCAGGGATGGATTGTTTTATGCTGATGGCCCAAGCTTCTGACATCCATTCATGAAACGTCATTTATTTCGTGCGCCATTAAAACTTCGTTAATGGCTGCAACACGCTCAGCAACCTTCGTATCAGTACTGGCGTATCTCCCTTTTGAGAAATGCCATTGCGATCACGATGAAACAGCTCCGATCACTCAATTTCACCAGAGCCTTGCGCGAGCGCTTCGGCCACACCTCTTCGCAACGTAGCCCAGCACTCTGCAACACTTCAATTCACCATCCGACTCTCGTACGACCACACCCATACTCCTCCTCTGCATATACTTCTATCGACCCAAACGAAGTAACACACTTCACTGCCCTCGCCAGTAGCTGGTGGGACCCCCATGGCCCCTCGCGCCTGCTCCACCTCATGAATCCGCTCCGGCACACATTTATCGCCCGCTGCCTCCTCACTTCGCACCCCGACCCTGCGCCCGCAAGCCTCCACTACCTCGACATCGGCTGCGGCGGTGGTATCTTTGCCGAGTCTGCCGCCCGCCTACCCACCACTGCCAGCGTCACGGGTATTGATCCGACGCCCGACGTTCTCCATGTTGCGCAACGGCACCGACGGACAGACCCAAAACTGCTTACACCCGGCCGGCTGACATATCTGAACAAGTCCGTCGAGCAATTACCACTGCCCGCGCGCGCTGATGCACTGTTCGACGTTGTGTCTTCGTTCGAGGTCATTGAGCACGTGGCCAAGCCTGCGCAGTTCCTCGAGGCAATATTCCCTCATGTCAAGCCTGGCGGATGGGTTGTACTGAGTACGATTGCGCGCACGTGGACGAGTTGGTTGACGACAAAGCTTGTGGCGGAGGATATGCTGCGTATTGTGCCGCGCGGCACGCATGAATGGAATAAGTACATAAACGAGGCGGAACTGAGGGAGTGGTTTGCCAGGCAGGTGGGCTGGGAGGATGTGCGATGTATGGGATGTATGTATGTGCCGGGAGTAGGCTGGAAGGAGGTTCAAGGAGGAGAGAAGATTGGGAACTATTTCTTTGCGGCACGGAAGAGGTTGTAAGGAGGCTTCCGTGGAATGTTTCTTGTTGTATAGGTTGTATATGTGCATACCTTTGCACAACAGCTTTTAACTACGAGCATAGTTCTCCAGATCCATACACGAGCATTATAATTAAAGTAGTGTCCAAAGGAATGAGCCACTAGCTGTATCAATATCGATTTAGACGCCAGCCAATGCCTGTTGATGCCAACTAACGCCCCGCTAGAAAACAATGATATTGCATGCAGCCTTGCCGTCTTGACTGGGCCTTCTATTTGCGCTTGTGCGAGTAGTCCCTCAAGATACCCGCCATATGTGTATTGGTCTGTCTCCCACTCTTTCTCGCTGCCTTCTTCTTCCTTTCCTTTACCTTCGGCCCAGTCAGCCCTTCCCTCGGCGCACTAGTCGGCTTCAAGCCCGCCGCTTCCAGCTTACTCCTCAACTCATCCGGATTTGCCGGCAGCGCAATCGTGTGCCACTGGTCGCAGAACTTCGCATCGATCTTCGCAGAAAGCGTCGGGTCATTCTGCCACACATATTTGGGCGTATTCTCTTTCTTGTTGCGGATGACCAGTAAATCGCCTTTCTTGTCGAGCTCGTTAATGGCGTCCCATGCGCCAGGCCAGCCTTCCTTAAGCTCCTTTGCGTTCAGCCCGAGGGACACCTTCTGCTTTTGAAAATACGCCTTGAGGTCTTCGCCCGAGCGCACGTTGTGTTTCGGCCGGAAGCGATACGAGCCCGCGCCATTGAAGCCCTTCGGGTTGAACTCGATCTGGTCATGACGTGGGAGGGCGTAGCGTAAGCGCTCTTGAAAACCGGGGTCTGAAATTGACAGGTAGTCGATAAGGTCTTGGAAGCTGACGGCTTTGTCGGTGGATTTGAGGCGGGTGACGGCGAAGTGTACCTGGGCTTTAAGTTGCGCGGCGCCTTCGGAGAGATGTGGGCCACCCCCATTACCAAGATTAGAATGGATGGAGGCGGCAGGGGCAGGTCGTTTACGTTTCTGGCCGGTGCTGGATGCGTTTGAGGGTGTAGGTGATGCGGTTGCGTTGGGTGCGAGAAAAGACATTGTTGTATACCTGTCGAGGACGATGTGGTGCCTCGAGAAAGACAACAACGCTGTATCAAAGAATCGAGTAGCTGACGATTTTGGGGGCGAGGTTTGCTGTATGTACGTGGCATGTATTGAGTAGATAAGGTATTGATGAATCTCTGAAATCACAAGCGCAACGACGTCACGGGATATCAATTACAGCTCCGCTAGCGGATTGTGGAATAGCGGTTAATGCCTAGCGTTGCCGCCTTGGTATGCAGGCAGAACCGATCCACAACAGTGAACTGAACTGGTGCGTCGACCTATCCACAAGACTTCCGAACAGCACAACCATCTGTTTGATACTTTTCCTTGGGCCAACTATTCAAATAGGGAGTCTGAGTAGAATGCTACGCGTCACCTGAAGCTTCTTTCCCCGCGTCGCAATATGGCCGCGGCAACTGTAGACGTAGCATACCTTGCTGCGTCCTACACAATACCGCAGCCAACGCTCCAAACGCTTCTAGACGAACCTACGAAAGAGCTTGTTCAAGATCTCCTTGCGCAGATCGAGGTGAAGGCACGTGAGTTCGACGATCTGAAGGCAGACAAACTCCGTACTGAGGTCGAACTTCAAACTGCGAAGCATATTGGTGATACGCGTGCAAAATCACTCAAGGCGACAGTCGACAACAGCTTGAAAGAGATTGAAGAATTGCGCAAAAAGCTCAATGATGAAGGTAGGTATCGTAACCACTCCCTTTGCGCAGGTTGTCGCTATGCTAATATGGACTTGCAGAGAATCGGCGTCAATCTGTGGAGACCGAGCTGCAAAACCTCAAAGCAACTACTTCAACTGCCTCGTCCGAAACGCAATCGCTCCAGAACCGCATAAACAGCCTCGAAGCCTCAAATCGCGAAACAGTAGCTCTGCTCGAAGCCAAATCTACCACACACGACAAGCTCGCGGAAGAGCTTGCCCAACAACACCAAAAGATCCTGGTACTACGTAAAGAAGTTTCAGAACTCGAAGAGAAGAACCAAACACTTGAGAACGCGGCGTTGGGAAGCAAATTCAAGGATCAGACGCAACAGCAAGAAATCGAACGCCTGAAGAAAGATGTTGAGTGGCATCAGGCTGAACTTCAGACTCGCGGTGCAGAATACTCTAGGTTCAGGAAAGAGAAAGGTGCCAGGATCATTGAGCTCCAGCGTGCCAATGAAGACTCTACCAGCACGATTGAATCACAGAAAAGGACGGAAACCATTTTGCGCAACCGCATTGAAGAGTTGACACAAGCAACAGAGGATGCACTTTCCAAGACACAAAAATTACAAGAGGAAGCTGCACGCTCCGAAGAATCGTTCCGCTTGGATCTCAATAATGCACAAAGACTGGCAGAGCTCCAGAAGCAGAGCTCCGACACGAACCGGGCACGATTGAAGGAAGTGCAGCAATCGTTGGATACTGTGAGAGACGAGGCTGCTTTGGAAATCGGTCAGCTCCAGGCTGAAGTTGAAACTGAGCGCAATCTCAAAGAGGCTGCTGAGAACAAACTAGCTGAGCTTGAGTCACACATCGAGAAGATCGAAACTTCGCTCGCTGCTGAGCAAGCTCGCGCTGTAGCTTCAACGCCGAGACGTGGTCAGAATGGCTTCGGCACTCCAGGTCGACCAGGATCTCCATTCACACCTGGTTCGTCGCGCTTCAAGTCCAGCAACTCCGTCACCAATACACAGCTGTACGCCGAAAATGCCGATCTCAAAGCAGAAGTCGCTGCCCAGAGAAGACGATGCGCGCAGTTGACAGAGACTCTCGATACCTTTGTGCAAGACCTGGAGTCTAAACAACCAGAAATCGAAGAACTGAAGGCCGAACAGGATCGTTTGACCTCTGAAGTGACAGAAATCTCGGCTCTTCTCGAAGAAGCCACCCGCGATCGCGAAGTTGCCGCTCGAGAGGCTCGCAAGTGGCACAGTCAGGTCGAAGGAAGCGCCCGCGAGTCGAGCATTTTACGACAACAGCTGCGCGACCTCAGCGCGCAGATGAGAGTGTTACTCGTTGAACTACAGGCTAGAGAGAGTGGCCTTGATAGTCTTAACGGCGAACAGCGACAAATCTTCCAGCGCATCGCTAATGGTGAGCTGGACGAGGCTGAGCTCAGCGAATTGAGTCCGGTCAATCAATTAATATCCCAACGCCTAGTCATCTTCCGCACTGTGAGCGAGCTCCAGGAACGCAACACTGAGCTCCTTGAGGCGACTCGCAATTTCGCACAGCGAATGGAGGGAGAAGAAGCCAAAGCCAAGGCCGAGCAGCAAGAGAAGGAACTGAAAGAACTTGAACAACTACGGGACCGATGTGCATCGTATGAGGACGAAGTAAAATCGCTTAAAACTCGTTCTCAAAGCTACATTAAAGAGAGGGACATGTACCGTCGGATGCTCACTCACCGCGGTCAACTACCTCCGGCGGACGACCTTGCATCCCAGTTCGGACAATCTGTCGATGGCCGAGCGTCACAAGTGGGAGGAGAGGCGACCCATGAGCCACTCCAATCAAAGGATATCGCGGATTACGCAAAGATCATCAAGGACATGCAAGCTCACCTTGACGCGATGAAGAATGAAGCCGATACTGACCATGCCATTCTGAAGCAGCAACGTGATCAGTTGGCTAAAGAGAGAGGCACCTTACAAAGTGAGAATGCCAAATTCAGTAGCCAGCTCTCCCTTGAGCACCAACGCTATGAACTGCTAAATTCGACTTTGTCATCAATGAAAGCTGAAAATGCCGAGCTGAGGCAAAGAACCGATACTCTGAGGGAAGCTGCTGCCAAGCAGGACCTTAGAACTCAGCAGGTAGCTGAGGATCTGATCGAGGCCAAGACATTGGCAGACAGTACTAGGAATGAGGTCAACAACCTGAAACAGCTCAACGAGATGCTCAAGAGATCCGAAAATAGACTAACAGAGGACAACAAAACGCTACTGGAAGAGAGAGGGCGACTGAACAAGCTTGTCAGCGACCTACAAACTCTTCAAAATGAGCGGGAGCTGTCTGAGTCTGAGAATCGACGCCGTCTTCAAACCAAATCCGACGCTCTTGAGTCCGAACTAAGCACCATCAAGCGCAAGCTAGATGAAGAGGTAGAAGAGTCTAAGAAAGCAGCTCTCAGACGGGAGTACGAACAAGAGAACAGCAGAGCGCAGATTGACGACCTTCAGAAGAGCCGGCAGAATATCAAGGAGGACCTGGTAGCTGCTCAGACATCGCGAGATCTTCTCCAAGCACGGGTGGAGGAGTTGAAGATCGAATTGAAGAATGCGGAGGCCCGCGCCGACGCATTGCAGCCGCGTCCCTCGACCCGCCCGGATATCGCGTCCGCCGAAGATGATATGAACGCCCTCAGCCGTGAGCAAGAACTTGCTGTTGAAGTAGCTGATCTAAAACGTGATCTTGAGCTCACTAAAGCTGAGGTTGAATCTGCAAATGTCCACGTCGAGAACTACAAGAACATTGCCCAAGATGCCGAAGAACAACTAGCAAGCATCACCGCCATGAGTGACCAATACTCAGAAGAGACTGATGCCCTGATCAAGGAGAAGGATGCCAAGATTTCTGATCTAGGAAAGCGTGTTGACGAAATTACGTCTGAACTTGCATCTACAAGCACGGAACTTACTGATCTGCAAGCAATTCAAGCCGAAGCCGACTCCAAATTCAACGACCAGAAGTCCGCCCTAGAAGCAGACATTTCTCGCTTGAAGGATGAATGTGAAAGATGGCAGGAAACGGCCAACTTCCATCAAGAAGACAAAAAGACGCAGGCTGAGATTGCGCAGCACGCGCAGCAGAGCTATGAGAACGAACTTGTGAAGCACGCAGAAGCCACAACAGCTCTTCAAAAGATTCGAGGTGAATACAACGAGCTCAGAACGGAGGTTGCTAGTATCAAGGCCGAGGCCGAGACTGCAAAGACTGCCCTGGCCCAGAACGAAAAGACTTGGTCCGAAACCAAGGACCGATACGAGCGTGAAGTGACGAATCTCAAGATGAGGCGCGAGGAGATTGACAATCAGAATAAGCTGCTCCATCAACAGCTTGATAATGTCAGCTCCCAGATCACGGCGCTGAAACAATCACGAACGAACGGGGCTACTGATAACGAGGCGTCGGTCGCATCTCCAGGTCCAGGCGGAGACAGTGTTCAAGAAGTAATTCGCTACCTTCGACGCGAGAAAGAGATCGTCGATGTGCAATATGAAATGTCGATCCAGGAACAGAAGCGTCTGCGTCAGCAACTTGAATACACTCAAACACAACTCGAGCAGACTCGCGAAAAGCTGAGCCACGAGCGCCAATCGCAGCTCGACAAGGAACAGAATGCACTAAGCCACACCCAACTCATAGACACCATCAACGAACTCAATGTCTTCAGGGAGAGTAGTACGACTCTTCGTCACGAGGCCAGACAGGCCCAGAAGCAGCTTGCAGACAAGGTAGCTGAAGTCGAAAATCTCGTTAGCCGTATACAACCTCTTGAGGCCAGAGTACAGGAGCTTGAAAATGAACTTGAGAACAAGAATGACAACATAGGTCTGCTAGAAAAACTGCGCGACGAGCTGCAGCAGCGCAATCAGAACATCCTGTCGAAGTACAACCGCATCGATCCTGCCGAGCACGACAGTCTGAAAGAGCAAGTTGCCACCTTGCAGACCGAACTTGAGCAAGCTGTGGCCGAAAAACAACCCCTGCAAGAAAGATTGGACGGCCATGTGGAGGAGATGCGTCTGGCATTAGAACAACAACTGACCACCTTCAATGAGCGTAGAACGAAGCTTGTAGAGCAATCGAAGGCTCATGACGCAAAGCGACTCCAGAGAATCACTGCTCTTCAGACAGAAAAGAACGAAGTCGCCAGCCAACTTGAAGCCACCAAGCTCGAGCTCGAGTCTACTAAAACTGCACGAGATGATGCGCTTGCAGCCGCTGAACAACGAGATACGGAGATGGGTGAGGGCGCGGAGAGTGGCGAGGTGGATGAGACCAAGGCAGCGCTCGAGGCTCAGGTTGCAGAAGCAGAGGCTCGTGCAACTGCAGCGGAGACGAAGGCAGCAGAAGAATTGTCCAAATCGAATGCTCTTGACGCCAGCATTGAGAGCCTGCGGGCAAGGGTCTACGAATTAGAGCAACAAATTGTGAGTCCATTATAGAAGCTAGGCAGATACTCAAGGTACTAATTCAGATAGAACACATTGCAACATCAGCTCGAATCCAGCAAAGCAGAGCTCACCACGCTCCAAGAATGTCATTCTGAGGGTCAGATTCCAGATACCTCTACCGAGCTCGAAGGACTTCAAGCAGAGCTAGCCAGCATTAAGCAAGAGAACGAGGCTCTTCGCGCCTCTGTCATCACGAATGGAGGACCGGCAACGGACGAGGCAGAGAATGACGAGCGATTGTCCGCAGAGCAAATCACAGAGCAGGTCAATACCATCAAGGCTGAACTTGAAGCGAAACATGCGGACAGAATGGCAACCCTAGAAGAAACGTTCAAGAAAAGGTCTGAGAATATGAAAAATCAGCTTAACACGAAGTTAAGGGAAAAGAACGAAGCTTTGGCACAGATGAAGACGGAGCATGAGGAGGCGGTCAATCGTCTTAAATCCGAGCACTCTGAAGAATTGTCAAGAATTAGCTCTGAACATGCAGATGAGGTTGCACGCCTGAACTCCGAATTCACGAATCGATCTCAAGTGTCGTCAACGGTTGAAGAGTCCCAGCCTAAGGCAGCTCCGACTGTGAAGGCCGAGGAGAGTGGGTCGAAGCCCGCACCGACTCCTGCGATGAACGGAGGTGCAAATTCGACCATGAGTCGCGACGAAGTTCTTAAATCTTTGACCGACCCCGAGGTCAAAGATCTAGTCGCTAAAAATGCTACCATCAATGGAATTATCAAACGTAATATTCAAACCAAGTTGGCCCTGGAGAAGGATACATTCACCAAGAGCTTAAACGCCGAGCACGAGAAGGCGCTCGAGGCTGTGAAGTCCGAGGCAGCTACTACGATTGCAAAAGGTGATGCTAAAGTCAAAAATGCAGAGATGATGTTACAAAAACGTTACCAGATAAAGATAAGCTCCCTCGAAAACCAGCGGAATTTGGCACAAATGAAGGTCGGCATGGTGGAAAGCGCAGCGAACGAGACACCTCAGAAGCCCGTCATTGAGGTCTGGATAACTATCAAAGACGTGAAGCTCACAAAAGCTGTACCGGCACCGACTCCAGCGGTCCCATCGACTCCAACTACAGCATCTCAAGCAAATGCACCACAAACCCAGCAGCCACCTCCATCTGCTCTCCCGCATTCTTCTTTTGTTACCAACACGCAGCAACAGAACACGTCTACACCTGCAATTGCATCGAGCATGGCACAGCCTCGACCAGGAATGTTCAGTGTTCAACCAGGCGGCCAAACGAGTACAAACCAGGCCCGACAGAACGCGGGGGCTTCCAACACAACATCAGGAACGTTCGGAACGCCGACACCAGCCTTCCAGTCGTCGTTACCAGGTCAAGGGCAATCGCAAGGCCTTCCTCAAAATCCTAATGCAGGACGAGGCAACTTCGGCAGAGGCACCTTTAGTGCCCGTGGTGGCATCAGCATGCCTCGAGGAGGTCCTGGTGGTGTTGCTCAACAAGCAGCTCAAATCACCAGCCAGGTTCCGCAGCCGGGAAGTGGCATTCCTCGTGGAGGAGGCGGCATTCCTCGCGGACGTGGACGCGGCGCCCGAGGAGGAGGAGGAGCTCCAACAAACCTCGCCGCAAATTCAACAACAAGCAGCGACCAACCAGGCTCGCCCATGAACCCAGGTGCACAACACTTCGTACCTCGCGGCGGCGGCGCGCAGAAGCGAGGTCGGGACGACAGCGGCAGCGACCAAGCCCAGAAAAGGGCCAAGTCGAACGAAGCTGGATCATGATCTGGGGGCTCGATGTTTGTTTCAGGGAGGGAAGCTATTCAATACTGCATATTCAGGGGGCCTATATTCCTTTTGCTTTGTTACAGGGTGAATCTTCACAAAGATGGCAAACAGAATCATGGTGTGTATATGTACAATATGCGAGCGTCGAATCAGGGGTATCGAGTCCGCGTAACCAATGCGAACAAGAGGAAGCGAACAGAAGTGTTTTCGGATGTGTATCATAAACAGTCGCATTGGGTGGGGGCTCTCCAAGTAACCTGTACAGATGGGGGAGGAGAATCGTTATTCTCGTTCCCTTGTTGGGAAGCTAATCGAAAGCAATTTACATTCTGTTGTATAGAAGATACACCATCTGTCACCCGAAACCAGACCAATGAAGTAAGACGAGAAGTACTTGGAAGGCTAAATGGGAAAGCACACCAAATGCATATACGCTAAGAATAGCCTTGACACTCATAATTATATACTACTTCAACAATTAAAAGTAAGATGAGCTTTGTATTCTTCGAATAGATTGATAAACATTTCAATCAGCCACTAATAACAGTTATCTACTCTGCAAGGCACGCTTTCTCTATGGGTATACCATCCGCTTTGGATCGTCCGCCCTTTTGGGATTTCTCTTTCTTAGGCCCGTCTTTTTTGAGTCCCTGTTTTCCAAACGTATCTCTCCATTGCGATGCTTTCGTAGGATCAAGTCGTCGAAAGAGAAGAGCCGCAGTGCCCACCGTATGTCCGGGTGAAACTGCCTTGGTATCCCAGACATCAGGTATGAGATCTGGCTTTGTCTTAAGTTGATTCTGTATTGATTGTGCAGTATCCGGCATATACGGAGCCAGAAGCGCCGCAATGAGGTGTGCAAGGTTTACGGCGTACCCGATAATAGCTGCACATTTTAATGGCTGGCTCATGGCCAGCTTGTTGTCTAGACCTTCGGATTGAAGGAAAACATTACCGCGCTGTGAGATGCGGAGGATAGTGTTGAGGGCGGCGCGCAGCTTGACTCCGTCTAACTCTTGAATGTACTGTGTCAGGAGAGCATTGATATCTTCCTCTAAAACGTCAAGGGATGCCTCTTTGTGCGAAGTGTACTCGGGGACGACACCCTCATAATGCGACCCGTTTAAGAATTTGAGCACACGATTGATGAAGTTTCCGAGGTTTTTGAGCAGCAAGTTGTTATTACCACTAATCAACGCATCCCAATTGAATTCGCTGTCCCCGCTCTCTGGACGATGAGCGAGTAGATAGAAGCGCCAGATATCAGCAGGAATACCAGTGTTCCTAGCCGTGTCCCCAAACACGCCTATGCCGCGGGATTTTGAAAACTTACCACCCTCGTATGTGAGATACTCAGTACTTGAAAGGTGGTGGAGCTTCGTCCAATCGTCCTGTGATCCAAGCTGCGAGCCTGGAAAGATTACCGAATGATATGAGACGTTATCTTTACCAAGAAATTGATAGAGTTGCACATCGTCCGGGCTATGCCACCAGCGCCTCCATTCAGGTGTATACTGTGCCGTGATAGAGATATATCCGATACAAGCGTCAAACCATGAGTAGATGACCTTATCTTCGTATTGCGCGATAGGTACCGCTATACCCCATTTTAGATCGCGAGTAATACTCCGTGGAATAAGGCCCTCTTTCAACCAGGCTTCGGTGATACGCTTGCCATTTTCGGACCACGCGCCTTTCTTGGCGGACTGGCGATAGAAAGCATCGATTTTAGGTTGCAGCTTGTCTAACCTTAGAAACATGTGTTTAGTTTCCTGTACGACTGGTGTAGAGCCATCAACTTTGCATCGAGGATTTTTGAGATCAAGAGTGTCTAAAATCTTCCCGCATCCATCGCACTGGTCTCCTCGAGCATCTGGGTAGCTACAAGCATTGCATTCACCCTCAACAAAGCGATCCGCTAGAAAGGAGAGATGTTGTTGGCAATACAGTTGATTTGTCCAGCGTTCCTCGAGGAACCCATTGTTCTGCAACTTTAAGAAGACATCTTGGGTAGTTTGACTATGTAGCTCATGCGTTGTACGTCCGAAGATATCGAAGCTGATGTTGAACCAGCGGTAGATGTCGGCGTGGATAGCGAAATATCGATCGCAGAGCTCTTTCGGTGTGCAATTCTCTGCAAGGGCTTTCACTTCCGCCGTCGTTCCATATTCATCAGTGCCTGTAAGCAACGAATGAGAATCCTTTGTCATCGACGATCTTGGCTGAGATAGAGAAACACTAACCACAAACGTAGAGCGTTCTGAGTCCACGGCCTCTGCAGTAACGGGCAAAGACGTCCGCAGACAACACTGACCCTATGATATTGCCCAGGTGAGGCACATTGTTGACGTACGGCAATGCACTCGTAATGAGGATATTGCGTTCCCCTGGTTCAGGGAGAATGGTCTGTTGTACGCCTGAATGTAGCGACATACTGGGAGAGGTAATGAAGTTTTAGGGAGCTGTTTCGCTACCGCTTATAGAGACTTGTATTACTGGCAAAGGATAAAGGTATTGAAACGAGCTGTTTCGTAGTTGCATGTATAATGGATGCTCGTGTCTCGTCATAGAATGAAGTTATGTTGTGGTGGCTCATGGCGCAGACTATTTGATATGACTGCAATAACAGATGCGTCAGAGGGAGGGATGACTCTTAGATCTATTCAGTTGTACAGCGGGCGGCGCGGGAGGACCCAAATGCTCCGGCCAAGTTCAAGGCTAAGGCGACAAGGCGCCACTCTCAAGACAACCTTGTTCTATATAATATGATTATATGTATGAACTTAGTAACCTATAATTGATATACAGTACATCCATGGATGTCTATATATAGTCGAGCTCACGCAGCTTAACTAAGTTAGCGTATATTTTACATCTAGCCCCAGCCACGCTGTGGGTCTAGCTTCGACGATTCCTCGTTTACGCTCGACCGCGACTGGCCTACAGCCTCAGTGGGCTCTGGCTGCACAGCCAATGCCTTTCGCAGTCCAACACCAACTGTTGAACTATTTGTTTCCTCCCTTGAATCTGCCTTCCCGTATACATTCCTTGCTTCTTCCAGCGTCGCTCTTTGTACCTTATTGCTCCCGTTTATCACTCTCATCTGTTTCCGGCCTCGAATTGTCGCCCTCACACGGACTGGAGAATCGCCTTCCCAGGGGCCGTTTTGACAAACATGGTAGAGAACAATGCGCCACGAGGTGCGCAGTGGGCTGGACTACCCATGAAGCAGCTCACTCTACTGGCCCTGACCTTCCAGAACTCAGCACTCATTCTTGTATGTGCTCCAGGACCAAGGCACCATCGCTCTACACTCCTCCCCTCGCAAGGTCGCTGACAGCTATTTTCAGATTATGCACTATTCACGAATAATGCCTTTGGTAGACTCTAATCGATATTTTACCTCCACCGCCGTCTTTATAAACGAAGTCCTTAAATTGGGAATATCAGTGACCATGGCACTGTACGAGATGTCGAACACTATGCCCCCCTCGACACCTGCTACTACGCTTTTCGGCAATGTCTCTAGGAATATATTCACAGGAGATAGCTGGAAGCTCGGAATTCCTGCTGTACTCTATACGTTTCAGAACACACTACAATATGTTGCTGTCAGCAACCTGGATGCTGCCACCTTCCAGGTCACATACCAATTGAAGATTCTTACTACTGCGCTGTTCAGCGTGGTTCTGCTCGGCAGGACTCTCTCTGGACGCAAGTGGGGTTCACTCGTCTTGCTCATGATCGGCGTTGGTGTTGTACAGCTACCGACGAAGGCGGAAGTTACTACATTTACGACCTTCAAAGAGTCGCAAGCGAAGTTTCACATCCCGCGGACCGTCGGAGATTTGCGAGACGTTGGGCGAGCTATTGCAGTTGAAGTTGCCGAAAGGGCTACCTTGCTAGGGGCTGGAATATTGCAACGGTCAGCGACGTATGAAGGTATTGAGGAGGACCGCCGGCTGCAGAATCCGACTTTGAATGCTCAACTGGGCTTGTTCGCAGTAGTCATTGCTTGTATGTTGTCTGGACTTGCAGGAGTGTACTTTGAGAAAGTCCTCAAAGATGGCCAGAAAACGACTACGATGTGGACGCGAAACGTCCAGCTCTCCTTCTATTCTCTTTTCCCTTCCTTTTTCATCGGTGTTCTGTTCAAGGATGGAGAAGAGATCTCAAAACTCGGTTTCTTTGCTGGTTACAATTGGGTTGTCTGGACAGCGATAACGTTCCAAGCTGCTGGAGGTGTCATAGTTGCCTTGGTCGTCAACTATGCTGACAATATCGCCAAGAACTTTGCTACGAGCATCAGCATACTTTTGAGTTTCATAGCGAGTGTCTGGTTCTTTGATCTTACGATCACGCTCAATGTAAGCATCAGTTTTAACCACTTGCAGCCTCTGATACTAACTAATTCCTAGTTTGTGCTTGGTACCGCAATTGTACTATTTGCAACATATATGTACAGCAGTGAGGATATGTCTAGAGCATCGCAAAAACTAAGCATTGCACCGTACGAGAAGACCACAATTGAAGGTGATCCGAACTTTTTCGAGCAAGAAAGATCTCTTCTATCGCCTTCGAGGTCAGAGGGTACATCCTCTTCACAACCTGGGACACCTAGTGAACGCGTGTTCAGATCTAATTCGCTAAAGCACGGTAAAGAACGAGACGACTGATTAGTCCTTTTGAATGAACGAAGAGTACACAATGAAAATAATTCTTTGCTCAACACAGTATAGTCTTCTTTGTGCTCACGTTATGAGCTTTGCAGAATTGGATGGGGACATTAGCGGCTATAACACCCGGGCATTGCTGGCGTCAAGGTATAGAAGCGGTAGGCATTTTCTATGTATATACCCTCTTTGTACAGCGCTTCATCTATTGATTGAATTTGCGATCTCGTCCCATGCTTCTCGTTGTAAATTTCCCACGTGACGGCGACGGGTGTCTCCGTGCGACCTCTTCTTCCACGGTTCATGAGCTTCACCACCTCGAGCATGATGCGTCACGGCTGCAACAATGGATGTGTTTGATCTTCTTGATAATCTTGACAGTGTGACCAGAGGGTCAAAAGTGCCGGAAAGACCACAGCTCTACGAACCTAGTCCTTCGGACACTCATTGTGGTATGTCACAAATCCTACAGAATGAGAGCTTTGAAAATGAGATGCCTTACGATGAATTCGGTGAGCATTCTTTGACCCCGTCAGTATAGTACTACTCATTTCATCGCAGACGAAGAGCTCCTGGCGCAGCCTTATGTAGATCGGCGAGTGCAAGCAGAGCGAGGCACAGCTCGACTGTCACTGGCTCCGACCACAACGAGAAGTGCTGCTTCCACGACTCGGCCCAACTTATGTCAGTTATTCGTATGATATCCCGATTCAATGCTAAGCATAGCTCCAAGCTCAATATTCACGACCGGTTGTTTCAAAGCATAGCTCGTCACCGCCTCGTATCATGCCATCAAGTCCATCTCTAGACGTTGGAAAGAGACGCGATCGCGATCGTCGCGCCTTACAATCACAGTTTTCTCAATGCTCAGCCATAACTGGGTCAGGAACACAACCATCGGGATCTTTAGTCAGGAAGACAACGCAATCCCAAGCACTACTCAAAAACCAACTTCCGATTGTACATGGCGTCCGCCTTGTGCCACGCTCCATACTACCGGATCGCTTCCGTACTGTATTTCCGTTCCCTCTGTTCAACGCGGTCCAGTCAAAGTCCATTGACAAGGTATATCATTCCGATGACAACTTTGTCCTTTCGTCGCCCACTGGAAGCGGAAAGACTGCCATTCTCGAGCTCGCCATATGCCGTGCAATTGGTCAATACCCAGGTGGGCAGTTCAAGATTGTCTATCAAGCACCATTCAAGGCGTTATGTTCCGAGAGGTACAATGATTGGCAAAGGAAGTTTGGTCCACTCGATTTACCGTGCGCTGAGCTCACAGGGGACACCGAAGCTAACGAGTTGAAGAATGTTCAAAATGCAACCATTATCATAACGACTCCTGAGAAATGGGACAGTCTGACGCGGAAATGGAAGGACCATGAAAGACTCATGCGTATGGTCAAGCTCTTTCTCATTGACGAAGTACATATTCTCAAAGATGAACGTGGTCCGACACTGGAGGCTATTGTATCACGTATGAAGTCGATGGGTACTGACATGCGGTTTGTAGCTCTCTCAGCCACGGTGCCGAACCTCGAAGACGTAGCAATGTGGCTGGGTAGGAATAGCCGCGAGCAAAATGAACCAGCGCCCATGGAGAGGTTCGGCGAGGAGCTACGACCTGTCATGCTGGAAAAGCATGTATGTGGTTATAATTCGAGCAGCAATGATTTTGCTCTCGATAAAACGCTGACATCGAAGTAAGTCTGAAAGGATTAATAGATTCTTCTTTGGCTGAGACTCATATCAGGCTTTCTGAAGTGATACCGAAGTATTCTCATCGTAAGCCGATCATGGTATTCTGCATGACACAAAAGTCAGCTGTTAGTACTGCCAAAACCCTGGCCAATTGGTGGTCGGAGCGCCCAAGAAACAATCGATTTTGGGATGCTCCAAATCATCCTATTCCTCTCGCTGACGGCGAATTGCGAGGTGAGTTGTGTTGGCAGCTAAAGAAGCTATCTTTGACCATGATCGATTAGCTTTCGCCGCATCTGGAGTCGCGTTTCACCACGGATCAGTTGACAGTGGGGACCGACACCTCGTGGAGAAGGCGTACCTTGCCGGCGATATCAGCGTAATTTGTTGTACCTCAACCCTCGCAGCGGGAATTAATTTACCATGCCATATGGTGATCATCAAGAACACTGTGGCTTGGTCTGGTACAGGTCCAAGGGAGTACTCCGACCTGGAGATTATGCAGATGCTTGGACGAGCAGGGAGACCTCAATTCGACAATACCGCAGTGGGGGTGATCATGACATCCTCTAGCAAAGTTGCCCACTACGAAAATCTAGTCTCTGGACAAGAACCTGTAGAAAGCCAGTATGTTATGTCTATCTATGCTCAACCTCCCTAGCTGATTTTTTTCAGACTTCATCTGAATCTTATCGAGCATCTGGTAAGTTGACGTCGAATGCGAAGGCTACTGGGCCCTAATGCAACGTAGAATGCCGAAGTCACACTAGGCACGACCTCTGACTTGCAGTCGGCTAAGAGATGGTTAGGTGGAACCTTCCTGTCTGTTCGCATGTTGAAGAATCCTACCCATTACGAGATTGATAATATCACGGACGCGGGTAGCCTTGACGAACGACTCAGTAAGATTTGTTCTCGCAATATGGCCTCCCTGAAGGATCACGAACTCGTATGCGGCAGCCAAAACTTCAGACCAACCGAGTACGGCAATGCTATGGCACGGTATTATGTTCGATTTGATACAATGCTGTTATTTCTGGGCTTGCCTCGACAGGCTAAAGTATCAGAGATCGTCAGTCCAGTCCAATCCACATTGATGTCACTCATCTTGACAAAGCAATAGCTATCAGCCCTTGCACAAGCTGCAGAGTATAGAGATATACGCTTCCGCATCCCGGAAAAGTCAGTCTACAAAGAGGTCAACGGATCTAATCTGATCAAGTTCAGCATCAAGGTAGACCTGGCATTGCCAGCTCACAAGACATCCCTCCTTATGCAGATGGCACTTGGTGGTGTCGACTTCCCAAGAGATGAGAAGGCAATAAAATGCAGCGTACAATTCGGTTTGGACCAAGGAATAGTCTTCAAACATATCAACCGCCTTGTACGGTGCGTCATCGACTGCCAGCTCTTCCGTGAAGACGCGCTTGCGGCTCGAAACGCACTCATGCTTGAGAGGAGTTTTAGTGCCCGAGCCTGGGACGATAGCCCTTTGCAACTGACTCAGCTAGAACACATTGGTCCTGTTGCGGGAAGAAAGTTGATGGGCGCCAATATTTGCTCAATCGAGGATCTCGAGAACACCGAGCCGCATCGACTTGAGACCATACTGAAGCGGTATCCTCCGTTTGGAAGACAGGTGCTTGATTCGCTGAAGTCATTTCCGAAGCTACGCGTTGGCATGCAAATGACCGGACACTCGGTATGTGTCCGCTGCATCCAATCATCACACACTAATATCTGATTCAGGTTTCGAAGTCAGGGGAGGGCGTGAAGGTTCATGTGAAAGCAGAAATAGGCTTCATGAATGAGAAACCTCCTTTGATATTCAGGAAAAGGCCAGTTTTCATATGCGTACTCGCAGAGACTTCAGATGGCAGGGTTGCGCACTTTGCTCGCACTAGGTAACAACGACCTCTTCGTAAAGATCACTGGCCTGTACTGATGTTCATCGAGTTCAAAGAAATTGAACACCGGGCTAGATCTTTTCTTCTCAGCTACATTAACAGCAGTAAACCAACATATCATTTGTTACGTCATGTGTGAATCAATCGGTATGCTGTCGAGGTAAGTGCATGTAATCATATATTCTAATCATTTCGCAGCTGGAACACTTCGACGTGCGTCTCTGACACACCAGCTGTCTCCCTATCTCTTTCCGAAAGCTATTCAAGTAGTAGAGCCTTCTTCACCGGAGGAGTGTAAGCCCATGTCCAACATTTCACGTCGACGAGCCGATGTCTACTCTCGCCACCGCAGTCTTGGAGAAGCTAGTGAAGACTACGGAGACGATGATCTAGACGACGAAGATTTCGCCTACCTTGCTCCGAAGGATCTAAACTTCGAGCATATTGATGACTTTAAGAAGCCTAAGGGCAAGATAACCCATCAGAACCAAGCGAATGATGAATCACAAGCGCTATTGCCTGAGAGGGATCACATCTCAGAGCCTGAAAGAATGGAGAACGGAAACTATTTCTGCAATCATGTTTGCAAAAACAAACTGTCATGTAAGCATCTATGCTGCAGAGAAGGTCTAGAGAAGCCACCAAAGAAATCCGCAAAGAAGCGTGCCACAAACCATGAGCCGTCCGAGACCCAGCGATATTCGAAGACAGCCAAGAAACAAATCAAACTCGACCTTAGTGCCACAAAGCTGAAGTCTGAATGGCCTAGATTCAAGGAGCCGTGCATCGAGATCGACTTAACCCAAACTATGCCTGGTCATACTTACACGAAGCATAGCTCGTATGAGTCCCAAAGCCTGCATCGTTCTCATAGTACTGTCCAGCGTGGGTCAGGCAAACAGACCTCAAACGTGCCCGACACCATACCAAGTAAGCCGCGGGCGTCGGATGCTACGAGCAAAAATCTTAGACTTTCTTTCCTTCCTGCACCTCTCCATAACGATGTAAGTAGCGACTACGGCGACGTCCTGAGCGATATAAATACCACGTCAACGCCTCCGCATTGCAAATCAAAATTCTCATTGCACGATGACGAAGAGGACGATATTGAAAGTCTTGAAGAGGCTATGATTGGAGTTACCGATTCGCAAGACCTGAAATATGATCGTGGAACATACGATGACGAGTCGTTTGACTGCACGCAGTTCAATGTCTACGAGGATGTACAGATGATAAACCAGGCTTCTCAGAAGGTTGGCGCGATGCGGTCAGTTAAGTACAATGAAAGCTTACCAGTGGAAGAAAAGGCGGATTATATATCAGAATATGAACCAGCCCAAGTCACGCCAACCAAGTCTGTGTCGTTATTCGTTGGAGACACGAGCCGTGTGGGACCAGCACAAAAGGCACCAGTAGCGCGGACAACTGGTACAGCGTCTACCTTCTTTAGCTCCAGAGCTGCCGAAGCTGAGGACCTGATTTCTACAGCTGTAGGTGTCGAAGTCGAACATAATGCAGGAGGCGATGTGGTTATACCTCCTGGATACGAGGGCATAGATCCCTGTCTGATCGCTGAATTCGGTGATATCGTTGACTTCACTTAGGAATGTGAGTATTGAAAGGGGAGGAGCGCAAGAGACACGTGAGGAAATCTGCGATAGCTTATAATGAATATACATATAAATATATGATGGTAATGATATATGCTAGCTTGGCTGAATTGTTCCTATAACCCGCCGAAAGAGGACGATGAAAAGAGGTATAACGACACAAGTACTACAAATTAATTCATGTTGGGATACTTGCAAGTCTATTGATTGAAGTAATTAACCTAAGACCCCACGCAGAAGGCTTCGTCATTCAAGGCGTGACTCGCGCAACCCCACAGCATGACTCGCTACGACGGCCCCACCAAAAATCCAAGACCTCCAATCTCTCGAGCAGCATTAAATACTCCGATAACCTCACCGCCTCCACCTTTCTCCAGCGACGAAGATGCCAGCATCCCCTTGTGCCCTCTGTAAAACCTCGCGCGCCCTTATCGTTCGACCCAAGAACCACCAAAAGTTGTGCAAACCGTGCTTCCTGCATGTCTTTGAGACCGAGATCCACCACACAATAACCACAAACGCCCTCTTCCACCGCGGTGAACGGATCGCCATAGGCGCCTCCGGTGGTAAAGATAGCACCGTCCTTGCATCAGTCCTCAAGACCCTCAATGAGCGCTACGACTACGGCCTCGAACTCATCCTTCTCTCTATAGACGAGGGCATCACCGGCTACCGTGACGACAGCCTTGAGACAGTGAAGAGAAACGCCGTGCAGTATGGCATGGAGCTGAAAATTGTGGGCTATGGAGAGCTATATGGGTGGACGATGGACCAGGTCGTTAGCCAGGTGGGCAAAAAGGGCAATTGCACCTACTGTGGGGTGTTCAGACGGCAGGCATTAGACCGCGGAGCGGCGATGCTCGGTGTCAGACATGTAGTGACGGGGCATAATGCAGATGACATGGCAGAGACAGTGCTCATGAACCTACTCCGAGGTGATCTGCCGAGGTTAGCAAGGACAACGAGCATCGTCACTAAGACGCCGAACGCGGCCGCGAAGATGGACACAAAAGACGGCAGAACAGACGATGGCATAGAAATCATCCCGGACGTAATCTCGCACACCGACATCATCCGCTCTAAGCCGCTCAAATACGCTTACGAGAAGGAAATCGTCCTCTACGCACACCACAAGAGCCTCGACTACTTCAGCACTGAGTGCATTTACTCACCCGAAGCCTTCCGCGGCAGCGCACGAGCTCTGATCAAAAATCTCGAGCGTATCCGTCCCAGCGCGATTCTAGATGTCGTGCGTAGTGGCGAGGACATGGCGAAGCTTGTGCCCGCAGAATTCGGGGGCGCACAGACCGAAGAAGAAGGCGAAGGTGGCTGTGGAGCCGCGCAAGGCCGGACGGGGGGCGGGAGTATGGGATCATTGGAGGCAAAGCTGAGGGAGGATGAAGGTGCAAAGATGAGAGAGGTGGAGGCCCTGGAGACAGAGATCACACTACCCATCCGCACAAAGGGGAAACCGAAGAGTAAGCCGAAGAAGGGAGCGCCGACGCAGGCGAAGAAATACCAGAAGCAGGTCATGGGCCAGTGTGAGAGGTGCGGATATCTGTCAAGTCAGAGCGTGTGCAAGGCTTGTACGCTGCTCGAAGGGCTGAACAAGGCTAGGCCGAAGGCAGACATTGGGATTGTGGTTGGACTGGATACGTGAAAGAGTAAAGAAAGGTATAACGACTACGCTTCTGATGCTCTAGGAGCGCATAGATTCAGTAGAGTCCGGGGCCCGCACGACTGATACAGCAATAACGCCGGTGGTCCTTCGTGCTTCGATCAAAGTTACGACGACTGAACAAAAGTGAGGCCTCGACAACAGCACTGGCAGCCATGAAGATCCGTATCTTCGATAGCGCCAGAGCACAGGCACGTCTGCGCCTTATCCTCGAGGTTCATATAGACAAACCATACAGCAATTTTTTTGCTTTGCTATACAGCGGCCGAATAAGATAATATCCCAAGATCCCTTTATATAGAGTTTAGAGAGCCTATTTACCATCGCCGCTACGGTATATACATACACGCTCGTATATATAATGAGACACACACAATACAAACGTCCGCATCCAAACGAACGCTCTTCTCATTGATGAATAGCAATGCTGCTTGGGCTATACTTTACCCATTTCCCGCAAGATGTCCCCGAAGAGGCAATATCCCAACCCTACCCCGTTCCTCCACCCCATAAATCCCTCCAAAACTGCCTCATCCCATACCTCTTCCCACCCTCTTCATCTCTGACTCTGACAGCCGCACCCGTTCCCACAACTCGATCGAGTAAACCTCCCCGTACACCACCATCACTAATGACACTACTCCGCGCCCTGGGCGCCAGCGCACGCATTCTTATCTCAGGTGCCAGCTGAGGCGCGACGTCGGTGTAGCACGCGCGCAATTCGCGCTCGAGGTGGAAATAGGGCTTTTGTGCGACGCGGGGTGCTTGTAGGTTGTAAGTGCGTGTTAGGGCGTTGAGCGAGGCGATCGCGTGGGTCAGGTAAGCTTGCTCTGTGGAAAGCCAGCTGGGGTCGCGGAAGGGGTGAACTGTGGGGGGAGATGTTGGTAATGTTGCGGCGGTATCTGGAGAGGTGATGGGTGCTGGGGTGCTATCTGCGGTTACGGCGTCTGTGGTAACAAGGATTTCTTCGTCAATGACGTTGGCAGTTGGAAAGGGGGTCAACGAGGGCGCATCTGGGACGTGCAGTTCGCTGGAGGGGGAAATCTGCGATATGTGACCTTCGGCACTGATGGTGTTCATGCGCTCCTCCTTGACACGACTGCTAGGGTTCTCGCGTAGCTCTGCTTCGGCATACAGCTGCGCACGGCGGATCTGTTCTTCGAGCGTACCACCCTTGCTCGCGATTGTGCGTGCGGCATGGCGCTTCCAGTCGTTCCGTAGACGCGCACGGAACTTTGCTGCCGCACTGACAAGTTCCTGTTGTTTCTCAATCCACGGAGGGACGATCTCCTGCTTCTGGATGATCTTGTTCATGAAGTACTCGGTGGTGTCGAGAAAGGGGCTGCTGGCGGTGTAGTCGCGCTCGATGACTTGGCCACGAGGGAGATTCTTGAACTGGCCACGAGCGATAGCGTCCTCGATGCGTTCGTTGGCGAGGGAGGCGAGGCCTTGGATAGTGCCTGGGACGACGCTGCGGGCGTGTGGGTGGAATTTGGCACGCATCTCGGCCAGCATCTTCTCTCGCTCTTCCTTGCTGACAGGAGAGTCCTTGATCTTCTCGTACGTAGCAGTATTCTCCTTTGCTCTTGCAATCACACTGGCAATTCCGGGCTTGTGCTTTGCTCTTCCGGTGTCTACTGTTTGAGGCATTCGGAATGGCTGTCCTGATGATTGTCGCGAGCTTCGCATGGGTTTATGAGAATCTGTTAGCATCCTGAGCGCAGCATCTTCGACGCTCTCCATTCCTTGCCACGGTTGTGACATTGCGATATTCCGGGCATGTCTCGGGGTCGTGTTGCCCATCTCAACCTGCGCGAGTGCACTAGCATGCTGGTTCCGGAAGTTTGCGCCTGCAATGCGCTCCTCAAGCTGCCGCCGAAGGTCTTCGCTGAAGCCTGCATCCGAGACAGCTCTCGCAGCGCCACGGGGATTTGACTCCAGCGATTCATTGCTCATTTGTTCGAGCCGAGCTGACATCGCTCCTCGCTCGGCCTCTTTCTCTGTTTCCCTTGCATCATCGCGCTGATTTGTAGCGTGTGAGGCATCTTGGCCAGCGCTCTCAAGCAGTGGAGAATCTGCGGTCTTGGAGGCGTATCGCCTCGATGGAACTTGGAACGTGGGAGAGAGGCACTTGGCTCGTATGCAGCGAGCGCAAATATATGGAAAGACACTCTCCGCGGGACGCATCAAGCAGGGGCCTGAGGACGCTACACAGAGCAGATGGCTAAAGACTAAACATCCATCACGGAATGCAAGTCGTCAAGAACCGGAGCTCGGATTTAGCGGAACCTGCGTATGAATCCTGTGGCGTGCCGAGCCCCGCATAGATCGCGCCACACGGGCTTTCCTGGCGCGTCCTTCGACGCGTGAACCTGAAACACCATTACTATCCTGTCCGACTCTAAGCTATACACACCACGCCAGCCCGACCGTGCGACGCTCTTTCTTTGTGCTTGCAGTCACACGCTGTCTTTGTCTTCGTCCGACCCAGACGGACCTGAGATTCACATCCCTCTCTACCCTTTTGACCCACAATGGCATCCTCACACAGCACATTTCCCATTCGCCAACAAACGTATGGCCGCGCCTCCGCGCCTCCACCTACGGCCTATGGCCCAACCAATGCGCAAGTCCGCGAAACCGCTAGACTCGAACGCGAACGTAACGAACGCCTCGAGCGAGAGCGTGCCGCCCAACCGCACGCCGAAATCTCTGAAGAGCAGCGCGAAGAAATCAACGAGGCGTTCGCACTCTTCGATCTCGACAAGGACGGTCATATTGACTATCACGAACTCAAGGTCGCGATGAAGGCGCTCGGATTCGACCTGCCAAAAGCGGAGATTCTAGGCATTCTGCAGAGCCATGGTGTGCCTGCTGGGGGGGTAGGGAATGGGAAAGCCTCGGTGGGCGCGGCAGGAGGGGTGGCGACGGCGGGGAGGCTGTTGCTACCGCTGACGGCGTTTCAGACCGTTATGGCAGGTCGGATTGCGAGTAGGGACCCGAGAGAGGAGATTAATAGGGCATTTGATCTATTTGACGCCGATCAGAAAGGGTCAATCTCGTTGACTGACCTAAGAAGGGTCGCGAGGGAACTTGGGGAGGGCCTACAAGAGGAGGAGCTGGCGGCGATGATTGAGGAGTTTGATATGGATGGAGATGGTGCTATTAGTAGAGAGGAGTTCTTGGGTATTTGCCTTGGTTGAGCAAGCTATTGGAGAACAGACAGACATTCATACAAGCGAGGAGTTGGGAGTCTTGTACTTGGGTTGTACTTTTGAGGACTGTACTTGCAGGCGCGCAATCCGTTGGATTGTGTGATCTGGCTTTTCGGGTATCGAGCCGAACTTGATGAATATTTTTATCTAGCTGCTCCTAAACTGTACAAAGTGATGTAGCGTAGTCTACAAAGGGAACGCAAAAAATCGAACTGTACAACTATTGTCCTGGTGACACCAGTAGACCTTTCTTGCCCGCATCGTGTGTCCAACCACCAGCAAGCGCCTCGCCTCCAGCTTTTTGCGCATTGCCCTTGATTCTAGCTTCAAGTTCCGGTCTGAAGTGCCTGATCAGGCCCTGCAGGGGCCATGCGAAAGCCTCACCCAAGGCGCAAATTGTGTGTCCTTCTACCTGCTTTGTAAGCTCCTGCAACATATCAATCTCGCGCTCCCTGCCCTCGCCCTTCTCGAAGCGTTTCATAATTTGGTCGGTCCACTTTGAACCTTCACGGCAGGGCGTACATTGTCCACAAGACTCGTGGTGGTAGAACTTGGCCAATCTACTAATAGCACGAACGACATCGGTCGACTTATCCATGACGATGACAGCAGCAGTACCGAGACCAGACTGCGAATCCTTCAAAGCATCGAAATCCATCAGTTGCTCAGTGCACGTTGCAGCCGGGAGGATGGGTGTTGATGAACCACCAGGAATGACAGCTAGGAGATTGTCCCAGCCACCTCGTACACCACCGCAATGTTTTTCGAGTAGCTCCTTGAGCGGAATACTCATCTCCTCTTCGACTGTACATGGGTTGTTGACGTGGCCAGAGATGCAAAAGAGCTTGGTTCCAGAGTTTCTTTCGCGTCCAAAGCTGCTGAACCAGCTGCCTCCACGGCGACAAATCGTAGGTGCGACAGCAATAGTTTCAACATTAGCGACCGTAGAGGGACAGCCAAAAAGACCGACGGCAGCTGGGAATGGTGGCTTGAGACGGGGCTTGCCGGGCTTTCCTTCAAGTGACTCGATGAGGGACGTTTCCTCACCGCATACGTAGGCGCCCATTCCACGGTGGAGGTAGACGTCGAAGTCATAGCCAGAGCCGCATGCATTCTTTCCGATCAGACCGGCCTGATATGCCTCTTGAATTGCTCTTTGCAAGACTGTCGCTTCGTGATAAAATTCACCACGGATGTAAATATATGCTGCTGTACAGTTCATTGCTCGTCCAGCAACGAGACAGCCCTCGATTAGCTTGTGTGGGTCTTTTCGCATGATCTCGCGGTCCTTGCAGGTTCCAGGCTCACCCTCGTCAGCATTCACGACGAGGTACCGGGGCTTATTGTCCTTGTCCCAATCTTTGAAATTCATGAACGACTGTCCATATCAGCAGCTGCCCGGAACGAGTTTAAGTGTTCCATACCCATTTCATGCCCGACGGAAATCCAGCACCACCGCGGCCACGAAGGCCAGATGCCTTGATTTCGGAGATGATCTATCCTCTTAATCAGTACATGATCCATCAGATTCGCGTTGTAGAGTATAATACCCAGTCATGGCCCTTCAAAATGATCTCTTTAGTCTTGTACCAGTCTCCATACTTCATAGCACTCTTGAGATCAGCACCATGGTGACCATACAGATTGGTGAATATCCTGTCCTGATCCCTCAAGCCGCCATGTGTCTTCTTTGGTGTGCCTTCTTGTACTGTGGCGAAGCCTCTTTGCTGTCGGGTCGAAGGAGTCTGTGAGGACGCTCGCGATGCGGTAGCGGCGCACGGTAGGACGCGCTGCGATACAGCAGTGAGGGCCTGCTTTGAGGGTGCGTGGCGTGCGATCATCGTAGCTGGTATCAATTGACTCTGTCTAGGAGATGTCGGCCAGCAGATTCGCCTCAAACCAGGTGTGATACAGCCGATTCGGATGAGGTCGTGAATGGAAGACGTCGACGATTTGCGCTAATGCTGATTACATGCCACCGAAATCTGGGAGCATTGATTGGCTGTAAGCTAGCATCCATTAGGGATCTCCGAAATCTGGCCGCTCTGGAAAATGCTATCATCATCACACTCACTCAGCGTCGCACAAAAAAGAACATAGTCATTTAAGACTGGTCCTATTGTCATTGTCAGACTTGACTTATGCACTTTCCGTCATACAAATAGGGAGTCTCGCAGATATTGGCTCTTTTCATACGAAAGCATACTACTAATTATCATTACTTGACTACGATGATGAGACTCATCGCTCACAGAGTTTACATTAGGAAGGTAATAGAGCACACGTAGTATTGTCATTATCTTCCATGGTTTTCTGCACAGTAGTTACTTCAGTGTTTCGAGAATAAAAGTAAGTCTTGGTTGGCTCCGTGTGTTGAGAAAGCAAGTCATAAATTGACATACACAACTGAGGCTACACGGCACTTCTACGATGGGCCAAGAATACCGGGTATAGAGCCATTTAATATGTCCGCTATATAGCTAGAGAACCAGGTATGTAAGTAAGGCGGCTGATTCGTCCTCACTACACTCTTATATAGAGCTGCGTACGGATTCCCACGGGCCAGAGCACCTCTGATGCAGGGCCCGAAGCCAGTCTCGCTATTATGGTATGCTGCTCTAAACCAAATCAAATGACCCGATGACCGCGACCTTGTGAAGAAGACAGAGATTCCATTATTGTTCGTTCTTCCGATTGATCGGTGTTCATCTTTTTCATAAACAAGAACATTTACATAAACATGACGATGGGGATGTTTACACAGAAGACTAAAGACCGTGGCCTCAAGAGTCGGGTGAGATTCCACACAGGTCCATCGTTATTGCCCTGTTGTGGTTTTACTGCCTGATCTGCCAGGGTGCGCCGTCTGAGGTCCTGTACTTTCTCTCAGTGGGATTCATATTGTCAATTTCTTGAACCGAGTGAACCCACAACTTGCGTCGAGGTATGAGCGTATCAGTTATCCATCAATGCACGAAGACAAATTTACAGGCGCCTCAGAACAACTGACGATGATTCTGTGGGCAATAGGTCTCTACTGTCCGACTCCTAAGGAGCTAGGTAGGACCATCACTTGCTATACGTATACTCTTTTGGTTTTCGGGTGCCCTATCGTAAAAGAACCACTTTTCACAGCGCTGTCGAGCAGATCTATGATTATGTATCATAATTCAAGAACTCAGACCTACAGGCCTAGTCAGCACGCACTATGATGATAGCGTCATCGCGGGGCCACCGGTAGAACGCCTTACATAATTAGCACTGCCTGAGCTGATCTGGAAAAGGCATTCAAGGCCCGACATATCAACGGAAAGCAAGTAATACTTTGATCCAGCGACGAGGTTACAATATTCGCCAGTGCAATGGGCCCATCAGTCATTTACGGCAGAGACCAACTGGACCGCTATTTCAAGCGCATAAATTTACCGGAACGTCATCAGCACACATCAATCGCGTCTCTCACGGAAGCAGAACAATTACGATACCTATCGCTGCTCCAGCGCTACAACTTAGTAGCCATACCTTTCGAGAATCTTTCACTCCACTACAGCCAAGCGGGTACAGTGACACTGCATCCCGATGCCTTGTACCACAAAATTGTCGACGATCCTGGTCGTGGAGGATACTGTATGGAAATTAACCGCCTCTTTGGCACTGTCCTTCTTTCTCTCGGCTTTCAACTCTATTCCGCCGGTGCACGCGTAAAAACAAGTGGACCCGCGTGGACTGGCTTTTCGCATATGTGCAACATCGTGACGATCGGACAACGAAAGTATATGGTAGACGTTGGCTTTGGTCCTAATTCTGCGATTCAGCCACTCGAGCTTGTCAAAGACGATCCACCGGTGGTTTCAAACATCGGTCCTGCATCAACGAGATTGATATGGACAGAACTTGAGGAACATACGGATCCAGATCAACGGGCTTGGGTGTATCAGTTTAGGACAAATGATGACGCCGAGTGGCGCGATTGGTACTCGTTTCCGGAAGTTGAGTTCTTCCCCGCCGATTATGAGGTTATGAATCTTTCCACAAGCACGAGCCGAAGGATTTGGTTCACTAGGGAGGTTATTTGTGTCAGCAAGGAAATGAGTGAGGGTTCGGATGATGCTTTAGTAGGCGAGGTCGTATTGTGGAACGGTTTGCTAAAACGAAGTAGAGGGGGCAAAAATGTAGAAATTATCGAGCTAACGAGCGAGGAAGACCGTATAGAAGCACTGGAGAGGTATTTCAAGATTACGCTCAGCCGTGATGAGAAAGATGCGATCAAGGGGCTAGCGACTGCACTCAAGGGCCGAGAGACTGGATAGCTTTTCAGGCCGACGGAACCATTGCATAGGGATATTCGAGTGTACACAGCGCAATTGAGTATATGAGGGTCATTCTTAGCCCCACCGTCTTTGGAAAAGCGCTTTCTTCGTCTTGATATATACAGTGATAATCTAGTAGATCCTGCGTTCCAACTGCGTCATGTTAGCCTCTGGACTTGATAGATGCTCTCATGTCATACCTTCCATGGATTGTTCAATTCAAAGCCATCTGGCGCATGGGGTTTGTCCGTCTGTCCTCGCATAAAGCCTGTCAATCTTTTGTCGCGTTCCATCACTGCGGACCGGTCAGCACTCGGGTCGGACTATCACATTGGTACTTTAGGTTTGAGAACGTCGTACTTTGCTACATTCTGGTTAGTATCACTGCCAGTCTCTATAGAGATTATGCCTTACCCTGTCCCATTGATCAAGAGTGCGCCTGGGTCTTTTTCCTCCATTTTGTGTGTATCTCAACCAGTTGAGTCCAGCACCGGTGATACCGAACATCTGTAGAATGTCAGTCGAATGATTAATTCTCGTAATATCCGAGGCGAAATCGTACGCCAACGATGATTCCATAGGGAATAAGGGCTTCGAAGGGAACCGGCATGGTGTAGACAGAAAGGTTGTCTACCTATTAGTAGTATAGTTGACGTGCGACTTTAGTTTCGACGTCAAGCTTGAAGCTGCTGAGGTCGACAAGTGCAGCTAACGATGACTAACTTGTGGCCTCAAAATTCAGGCTTGAACGCCGCGCGCCAAACAGGCCAGGACGACCACATGCGGAGAAGCGACCAAGGAGGTCGAGCACGATAACTTTGGTCAATTGTTCACGACCACCCACCACTTCCGACACCTTATCAAGCCGTTTTCTCCTATCGCAAACATCTCCGCTACGATATATATTACAAGTCTGGACAAAAGTGCCTCACCAGCAGGACATCCACAGAGCTGAGCTGAACGTTTAACCTGACCTCAGAGACCGCTTTCCATCGAAGGCCCATCGCATGCACGTCGATCACGACTCAATCTCGGGTCTAGACACCACTGAACATCGTAAACACCCCATACGTACCGAAATCGCGTCCAGTCCCTTCCCACAACTACATAAATCGCGTTCTGCTACGAAGAACGCGCTGTGCCAGATACTTCATGAATGCGAGAGCTGGGCGCACCAGCAAAGTCGTAAGGGCGATAAGCATAACAATACAGTCTGAATACGCGTGAGGCTGGAGTTCTTAACGTCCAAGCTTGCTTCGGTGGTAGGCTATGCCTCGATGGCCACCGAGGTTAGGAGCGCGGTGAACATTGGTGTGGGACCTATGGAGATGGACATCAGTGATCAAGATGGAGAGTTTGAAGAGGACTACGAGACACCACAAGCACATCCAGCAACCCCTGGAGATACACAGTCGCGCGACGGACAACAAGAGGTCGATGTCGATGCGGAGGGTGAAAGTGAAGATGCCGAGGGTGAAAGTGAAGATGCCGAGGGAGAAGATGAGGACGATGGTGAAGCTCCCGGCGCTGTGAAGATACGCGATCGTATCCTTGGGGAGTCAGATTCTGGTGACGAGGACGAAAATAATCACGCGGCCTTTGATTCCGACCCAGAGAGCAAGAGCGCGGGAAGTGGGGACGACTCTGGAGCTGATTCTGAAACGGCAGAATCCGAAGCTGAAGAAGAATGGGATGCGCATAGCGAGTCTACAAAAGATGCACAGGAAGGCGATCCCGATGTAAAGTTCTGCATGTATGTGGAGTAAACCGTAAGGACCTGACGATCCCGTGCTAATGTCAACAGACACTGTAGACAAAGTGAGGAAGATGATCCAGCAGAAGAGTTTGAAGAACCGCTATCTTGTGCAGTGTGTGGTGACATAGGTAAGTTTTGTATTTCCAAGCATATCATAACGAATTTAGTGGTTCTGGATATAGGGCTGACATTCACATTCCCACAGCCCACCGGCAATGCGCCCGAGACGCTAATTATTTTAGTGGAGACGAGGGTATGTCAACACGTCCTAATCATCCACCAGTGCTTCGACTAAGTGATCAATCAGATCCAGAATCATGGCGCTGTTTGAGCTGTGTCGAAGACAACGCCAACCCGAGAGATGAGTCAATCGAGCAAGAGACTCCGAAGCTGTTACGAGATCTAGGGGCCGCCGCCGGAAGAGGAGACTTGGATCCGCCCCCTCCGTCTATCTTTAAGGAACTCATCCTTGCCGATGATCCGCTGGACGGCTCGCGATCATTGCGAAAAAGAAAGACGACGCCGGATGAGGATGAGGATGACAGCGCTCCAGCCACTAGAACAACCCGAAAACGCCGGAGAACGTCCACTGTAGCATCAGGCTCTGCCAGGCAAGCGTCAGCTCCGACTACGCCAAGGACTCGGTCTGGTGCTACCGCTGCAGACGAGGTATCAGATCAAAATGACGGCACCTCGCCTAGGACTAGGTCGACCCGACCAAGGCGATCCATATCAAACAAGCACAAACCTGGAGCTTCCATCATTTCTGTTGAGGGTATGGCTATGGTTGTTTGCATTCGTGTCGCAGACAAAGACCGACTCGCAAAGATTCTTGCTGCGCGTCCTAGGAAAAAGAAGCTACGAACTGATCGGCCACCAAAGGCACAACCGGCATATATTGAACCTGAAATCTCTCACTATCCCGCCATTGACACTAACTACCAACCATTCATCCCATACGGAGAGCGCGAAGATGACCCCTCGAAAACCAAACCTTACGGGGGCATCTTGAACGAAATAGAAGCAGACACCTCAAAGACCTTCCCAGTATCAGTTGACAGGAGGCGCTTTGAGGATGCGCGACTCAAAGCTGAGGAGGATTGGAAACGCAAGATTGCAGCTGCAGCCGCAGCAGGGCCACCAGAGCCTGTTCGTCCTGTCAACAAGATGTCTGGTCCTCCAAGCAAGATCAAATGCATTAATTTCGGTGGCTACGAGATTGATACATGGCATGCTGCGCCTTATCCCGAAGAGTACAGCCGCAATAAAGTACTCTACATTTGCGAGTTCTGTCTCAAGTACATGAACTCCGACTACGTAGCCTGGAGGCACAAATTGAAGTGCGCAGCAAAGCATCCACCCGGAGACGAAATTTATCGTGATGGCAAGTTTTCCTTTTTTGAGGTCGATGGTCGTAAGAATCCAGTCTACTGTCAAAATCTCTGCCTGCTTGCCAAACTCTTCCTCGGATCAAAGACGCTCTATTATGACGTAGAGCCTTTCCTGTTCTATATCATGACGGAAAATGATGAGTTTGGATGCCATTTCGTAGGCTATTTCTCGAAAGAGAAACGACCAAGCTCATTGAATAACGTCTCATGTATCCTTGTTCTGCCGATACACCAGCGCAAGGGTTTCGGTCACATGTTGATCGAATTCTCGTATCTCCTTACGAGGCAAGAGAAGAAGACAGGCAGTCCCGAAAAACCACTCAGCGACATGGGTCTTGTCAGTTATAGGAGCTATTGGCGACTCATCATGTGTTACCAGCTTCGAGAACTAGAAGGCGCTGTCAGTATCACACAGTTGTCGGAGCGTACTGGTATGACAGGTGACGATATCGTGTCTGCACTGGAAGGTCTGCGTGCGCTGGTGAGAGATCCAATCACGAAGACTTACGCTTTCCGTCTTGATCTCGGCTATTTCGATCAATTTATCAAGAAATTTGAGAGCAAGAATTGGCCCAAGATTGAGCCAAAATCTCTAATCTGGACGCCTTTCGAGATTGGCCGTGGAAACCTCTCTCACTACGACGATGGTCCACAACTTCACACCGTCGCACCCCGCGAAGAAGAAACCAATGAAGACGCCGTCGCCGAAGAAGGCGTTCAAATGGAAGAAGCTGTCGCCACAAGTCAAGACCCAGCTGAACTTTGCAACAGCGATACCGCTATTCCTGACGTCGCACCGCCCGCTCAAACTACCACTATAAACCATCATCCTCCAATAGTCCCCTCCACCCCTCTCTCAAATGGCATCCCGCACACGCCTATCCCTGGCCCCTCAATGTCCACCCCTTCATTCCCCTCGACTCACATTCCCCCCAACCGCTACGAGGTCTTCCCTCCAATTCCCGGCATGCCAGCAACAAAACGCCGCCCGGGTCGTCCGTTCGGCTCGCGCCGCCGTCCACAGACTCCGCTCCGCCGCAACCACACCGCGCCCAGCGGCGGGAAGAACTTGCAGCTGCTCGCACGGTCGCACTCAGGCAAATCCAGTCCTATCGGCAATCCCATCGGGCTAGGAATCAACGGGAGCACGGTGCGCAGGACGAGGAGTAAATTGGGCGAATTGGTGAACGGGAACGGGACGAATGTAGATGAGGTTGCAGGCAGTGGGAGTCCGCGCAAGAGTTTACGCAGGTTGAAGGAATTGGCTAAGAGCGAAATGGGCGGCGGGGAAAGTAATGGTGGTGATGATGACGACGCCGAGGCTGAAGACGATGGCGAAGGCGATGAGGATGCGGAGGGTGAAGAGGAGATGCATGACGAAGCCATGGCTGATTGATGCACAGCAGGAGTTGTCGCCTCGTTTATATGGATCATAATTTATACCTGCCCGCCCGTAGAAAATGGGATGCGCTGGTTCGACTAGAATCGAATCGAATCGAATAATCAAACTAAGCAATGGAGAGGGCTTTGTCTGTATAATTACGCATCTAGAACATACTGTACTATCACCCTTCGGAGGAAGGAACGTACGAACGAACGAAGAAGGGAATGAAAATAAAAGCGTTCGCATATATGCCATTCTTGCTCTGTCTGCATACACAAACTGGCCGCCATTGAGGCATGAAGGCTGTTCTATATTAAGTTGTCGCTTCTCCTGACCTGCTCTATTCAGTAGGTGCGGGCTGGATGTATCCTTCACAAGAGAGGTAGTGCTAGAATCAAGATGTGAAGATATTACCTGATACGATTTAAGTTTAGGGTTCAAGTTAGGATCATTGGACCTTGTTCTAGTGTAGGTCTGTTGGTTGTTTAGTTGTCAAGCAGAGCAATGTCCTCGGCCAGGCTAGAGAATGGAAGGGTAGAAGAAGACGCGTGTAAAATATGACTGTATGGATACAGTCTAGTGTGGTAAGTGAACAGCGACTTCCAGACATGCATTCTTTGAGTACAGATTAGCGCGCTTTCGTGATGTAGATATATAATATACACAAAAGACGTCGATGCAGTGATGCAGTGATGCCCGTCTGTCTATTCCTCCATCTACTCATTCATACGCCCAAACCAACTCCGTGCCCCCTTTGCTTTTATCCTTTCCCCAGCCTGATCCGCAGAAAATGCTCAAGCGCTAAAACACTGACATTTACGTGGGGAAACCCCGCCCCCCAAAAATAAAACCCCCAGATTTTTCCCCTGCCGGTCCTACATCCCATACATATGATGTCCGACAATAGTCGTCCAGGACTTAATTCGCTGCAACAGTCGTGCTGCCGCTCTCCATCGGGTTCGTGCCGTAGATGCTCATGTACGGGTCTAGCAGAATATTTGTGATGCGCTGTACGAGTGCCTTGACGTTGTCGCGAGTGGTGCGGACAAAGTCCTCGTCGATGCTGGGTTGCAAAGGGCGCGGCGGAGGCGGCATCGAGGACGAAGATGCTGCCGAGGAACTTCCGTGAGAGCCCAGCGGTGTGGGAGAGAATGCAGAGAGCGAAGAGGGTGTGGAGGGCGGTGGGTTATTCGAGATGCCTGCAAGGGGCGGCGCGTCGAACAAGGTTGCTGAGTCTGCGAGAGAGTTAATTGCGGCTGGTCGGGGGAGATGGGAGGGGAAATCGAGACAGGAAGAGTTACCAAACATCCTCGCCCCAGGGCTCCTGTGGTCGCTGCTGTTGCCGCTGCCAGTGCCAGTACTGCTGCCCATGCCGCTTGGCCGGCGCTCGTCGCCGCGCAGCCAGTAGCTGTTCGATATCACTTTAAGCTCCTGGAAGATTGGTGTGACGATGTTCAGACACTTTTGGGCTACGGGCCCGGAGGAGGCGCACCATGCGAGGAGCTTGATGAAATTTTCAGCATAACCTAGGTCTTGCTCGAAGCCGCCAAAGGGCTCATAGAGGAGCTTTTGGGAAGCGGAGAAGAGGAGGATAGAGCAAGCGGAGAAGGATTGGAAAATTGCTACCCAGCAGCGCTTAGGCATTGTGTTGTCTACGCGTAGGAGATTGGCGATTCGAGCGGCTTGCTGGGCGGCGAGGAAGCAGTAGTCTTGGTATACACGACACTCTTCTCGACTTCCGTCAAGATCCCAGATTCCTGCTAGACGTGACCGGGCTATGGCGATGAGCAGTGGCCGGTGCAAGATACTTACGGCGCCCAGGCACATGATATGCACTAGGAGAACACTTCTCTTCTGAAAGTGGCTAAAGATCTCAGATTGCTCGCTATTGAGTGTTGCAATACGCATGATGGCTGGCAACTGACGGTACCACATTTCGAGCTTTTCCATATGCGCGCGGATTTCATGAACGTTCGGTACGTCGTGCGACTTTACATCAACGGCAATACGCACACAGAGAAGGCCAATGCGGTTGACTTGGTCCTGAATCATGTCTTCGAGGGACGAATCTGAGCCGAAGATCTCGTCACAGCCGGTCTCGACATCTTTGTCCGAGAGACGTAACTGATAGCCCAGCCCGTAGTGTAACCAGGACTCCATGAACACGATACTACGGAACACTTTGCGCCAGTCATTCTCCTCTGCGGGATGTGCCTTCTGTGTATTCCAAAGCTCCTGTAATTCAAGGCGGCCTATGAGTAGCGCAGCTTCGCTAAGCATGCGGCTTCGATGCGGTTGTTCAAGAGTGCTGTAGAATGCGAGAGCAAGGAAAAGACGCATTGCACGGAGATTCCTACGGTCCGGGCATGTGCGCAGGATCTGCAGGCATGATTGAATGTATTCGATGTGTAAGGATTCAGGAAAGCAATCGGCATCGCAGCAACTACCAATGGCAGCAATAGTAAAGAGGTCCATGAGAGTCCAAGAGTCTGGCTGGGCGTTGAGTCCGAAGGCAGCTTCGATGAGGGCAAACGCCTCTTCGCGGTCCCAAAGATAGAAGCGTTGTCCTGTTCCGTTGAAGAATGCAGAGACGGCGAGCATAGTCGTTTCTTTCTGTGGAAATTGGCCTTCAGGCTGGCTTGTTGTGTCCAAGGTTTCGCGTAGGTTTCCAATGGATTCATCTACTGCAATAGAGTGTTCGTCCTCAGCTGTCAGTAGTGAGGAAGTGTTGATCTCGTGGGTTGCTGAGTATCTTCTCTTGAAACTAGCTGAACTCGTAGAATCGAATCGTTTTTGGGCCCAGTCACTGTGGCGCGATTCATGGATGCGATCGTACTCCTCTAGATAAACCTGGTATGACTGGTACAATTCCGTTTTACTGTACTCCTTGCTTTTCATTTGATATTCTTCCATAGCCTTGGAAGCTGGCTTAAGCCAATCCTGCAGTCGCGTATGAATTGATAGACGTGACCAGGTCTGAAATGTTATATGTGCTATCTCGATGAATGACTTTCCTGTATTCTGTGGCTGTTGGTGGATGTATTCTTGGAAATTTTTGTAGGCAGTACATGGTCTCTTCGGAGCATCTTCATCAGGCCTTGGCTGATGAGCAAAACGGCCTCTTTTGCTAAGTCCTATAGTCGTTCGCTCGCCAATACCAGTTGCACGGTCCATGGCTAGCTGAGCGATGCTCATACGGCGATTACGTTCCAAAGAGAGACTGCGAAGCCTGTATGTTTCGATTTCCCGCTGCAGCTTTCGTCGATGACCCAGCTTAAAGCCGAGCTTATGAAAGTCATTCTCGGTGATGTCCAGGACGCCTTCCCAACTATCAAAGCCATTGCTAACGAGGGCGTCATAATATGCAGTAAGGTTGAGATTGTTCAAGACAGTTCGGAGGTCGGTCCGCGTAATTGGAGAACTCATACTTACGACACTTGGCTCACCCCGAGGCCAGGCTGATTTGGTATGACAATATCGATGCGCATCGAGACGGGTATCTCAACAATTGGACAGCGGGAAGACATAGGCATTCTGGGTGCTGCTTGAGCGTTTGTGGGGCGTTGTTTCCACGTGATGAGCAGGTGCAGCCAGCGGTGACGATGAAAATGCATAGCGGTGCACGAAGCCTACGGACTGTGCTCCGGGCCAATCAGATGAAGTCCAGGGCGCGGGCTGGAGATGTGAAGGAGTTGAGAGAAAAGTTCATGCTTTGAGGCCTCGGAGGGAGAAAAAGAGACGGCAGGATTGGAAGCGTAAGGAAGACGGGCCGAAAGCCAAGGCGGAGTCCAGATGTAGCAGGGCAGTCATCGTTAGGGCTGGGATACAGATGCACGAGGGCAAGGTACATGATTGCAGTGTAGCTGTTCGGAAGTGGCTTATGTGGCAAAGCAACGTAGGTTACGCTTATCCCTATTCATCACCCTCTCCCTGAGTGTAATTAAAGCATTCACATTGCAGAAACAGGCAGTACTGAGAGCCACGATGATCCAGGTACAGCGGTCTTCGAGGGAGTTAGAATTTAGAGATAGGATACGAATCGTTGATGTTGATGCTGAGACTGACCATGATGCTGCTGGTGCTGGTGCTAATGATCATGACAATGATGATCATGATGATAGTACTGATGCTGAGACTGACACCTATACTCATGAAGCTACTGATGTTGATGCTAGTACGTCCTCATGTTGCGGGTTGGTGGTGAGGATGTAGATAACTAACAGGGTGATATTCATGCCTCAGGCTACTAGTCCGTATTTGGCTGCAGGATCTTGCTTTGTCCAAGATGTCTCTATCGACGAACAGACCGATACATTGATTAGTTTGTCTCTGTATCTTTGTGTATGCATTTGCATTTGCATCTGCATCTGCCCTGTAACAATCACTGCTCCAGTTACTCTTGCAGCATGTCCACACCGTCAATTCCATCCATCGCCGTCATAGGCTCCCTGAACGTCGATCTCGTTACCAGAACCCCTCGCATTCCCGCCGGCGGTGAGACATTGGCCTCAAAATCCTTCAACATCGGCTTCGGAGGCAAAGGAGCCAACCAAGCCGTTGCATGTGCCCGCCTATCCCGGACAAAAGTCCAGGCTGCACAGCACGCGGAGACTGATGTTGCTGTACAGATGGTTGGCGCTGTGGGCACTGATACCTTTGCAGACGACTTCCTGACCAGTCTGAAGGAGGATGGACTTGATGTGTCGCTAGTGGAGAAAGTCGGCGGATTAAACACGGGCGTAGCGGTGATTCTTGTCGAGGAGGATACTGGCGAGAACAGAATCCTGATTTCTCCTGGTGCGAATGAGGCGATAAGGCCGCAAGGGCTGTTGCCCAAAGGAGCAGGTGTGGCTGTGTTCCAGTTGGAGATCCCGAAGGATGTTGTTTTCGCCACAATGGCGGAAGCAAAGAAGAAGGGCACGATTGTAAGTGGAACGCAAGACAAAGGCCTGATGGTATGAGTGGAACTGCTAATCTGTAAGCAGATCATTCTTAACCCGGCACCCGCTATTCCACTTCCAAAGGAAGTTTTTCATGGCTTGCATCATCTGATTGTCAACGAAAGCGAGGCTGCAATCCTGTCCCATCGATCTCCCGACCAGATCAATCCAGACGCAGACCTCTCAGCCATTGCTGGGGAATTCATTGATGCTGGAGTTGGCCATGTCATCATTACTCTAGGATCACATGTATGCACCCTACCACCTCTGTACATTACACAAGCTGACGAGCCCAGGGGGTCTTCTTCCAAACAGCTACGAAGCATCAACAAAGGACTGTTGGTACTTTGATACCTGCTGAACCTGTCCCCGTTGTTGATACCACGGCTGCCGGTGATACCTTTGTAGGCGCATATGCTGTGTCCGTGGCTAGAGCATCGCATGGACCGAATCCTGCAAAGTTCGATATTGCCTCTGCTGTCGCATTTGCGAATCGAGCTGCTTCAATCACGGTCCAACGACCTGGGGCTCAGTCTGCCATTCCATGGCTAGATGAAGTCTCAATGGTACAATAAATAAAGCAACTGAACAGAACAACGCCACCGAGGTGGTTGTGCAACGAACCACTAATAATCCAAAATGCTCGTCCATGACCATAGCATAGCATAGCTTAACATGAAAATAGCTTATTCTGGTTTGACATGTATATATTTTGAGCTAAATCACAGCAACAGCTCGAAGAGTCTGCAGTGATCTATGGTATATGCAGTTTCTACAGCTTGACAGGTACAGGCAGGCAGTGGTTATATTTAGTCCTCCTTCTCGTAGATCCAGCTTTGCTGGGCGGACTTCCAGGAGGTAATCTCGCTCTTGTCGAACCAAAGAGCAATCTCTTTCTGGGCGCTTTCGACAGCATCGGAGCCGTGGCAGACGTTACGGCCAACGTCCTAAGGCATTATGTTAGAAGATGAGAAGTGAGAAGGCCAAGCAGAACATACAATGCAGTAGTCACCACGGATGGTCCCAGGGGACGACTCGCTGGGCTTGGTGGCACCAAGGATGGCACGGCCAGTCTTGACAACGTCACGTCCTTCCCAGACCATGGCGCAGATAGCACCGCTAGCCATGTCTATCCTACCGTCAGTATTATTCGGAGCGTAGGGCTTCTTATCGATGGAATGTAGGGTTGACCGTACAGGAAACAAGGCCGCCAAAGAAAGGCTTGTCACTCAGGTCGGAATAGTGCTTCTCGAGGTGCTCCTTGGAAGCGACGACCATCTTGATGGCGACCAATTTGAAGCTGATATCTAAATGAGCTCATTTTCGACATACAGAGCAAGCAGAGTACTCACCCACGGTTCTCGAAGCGAGAGATGATGGGGCCAATCAGTCCACGCTTGTATGCGTTAATATTTGCTGTCCTTGACATTGATGCTGAAGCATACCTGGACACCATCTGGCTTGACGGCGATGAAACTGGCCGTGGTAGTCAGCTCTAGCACTATTCGTCGCTGGTCTGTAACAACTTCCAGCTTCACAATTGAAAACGTACGTTTGTTCGTTGATGCCACCCATTTTGTCTAGTACACCTTTTGCGATATTATCTTTGATTCGAGCTCGATCTTTGGGTCCGAGATGTTTGAGGAAAGTAGGAGTTTCGCTGGACATGAATAGAGGAGAAAATTTGGTGTGTTGTTCTGCCACCCTAGAACTGCAACTTCCATGAAGGTGGGGTCGCGGGGCTTCTTGGCAGCCCGTTATCGGTCAAAGGGAGCTAACCTTGAAGCAGCTTGGTACCCGACCTGAAAGATTTCCCGACGTTGAGCCGCTTCATGTTGCGCTGTCCCGTCTAGTGAGCAGTCTCGAGGTGTTTTGTTGATAGAGCTTATGCCCGTCTTCTGTATTGTTCAGGAGGCGGTCAATTATCTTTGATTCAAACCATCATGATTCCACTGAAGGGATCCTCATCATGGACCTCCTGCTTCGTTGCACTGACAGCTGTCAGCTTCCTGATCACCCCAGCGGGTACGTTTCTTGCTTAAGTCGTGCCGTTGTTTATCGCTTGACTTATGCGTTGTAGTATCGGTCAAGCATGCCAACTTCAAAACGTGCGAGCAGTCAGGATTCTGCAAACGTAATCGGCTGTTTGCCGATGCTGCTGACTCTCTTGGGTCCGAATGGCAATCCGGATACGCCCTCGATCCTTCCTCAATCAAACTGACTGGCGGCCAATTTACGGGCAACATCTTGAAGTCGATAGTCGGGCTCGAAGAAAAGATTGTACTACCACTGACGGTGTCGTTTTTGGAATCTGGCGTTGCTAGGGTCACACTTGACGAAGAGAAGCGCCTGAAAGGCGAAATTGAACTAAGACATGACAGCAAAGCTAGAAAAGAGCGCTACAATGAAGCTGAGAAATGGGCTATCGTTGGTGGTCTGCAATTAAGCACAAGTGCTGCCATCAATAAGGAAGCTGAGCAAGGTACTACGAGAGTTTTGTATGGGCCGGCCGGAAGCTTCGAGGCAGTCATTAAACATTCACCCTTCTCAGTCGATTTCAAAAGAGATGGTACTACGCAAATCAAGTTCAGCGAGCGTGGCTTGCTCAGTATGGAACATTGGCGACCTCAGATTGAGAAGCCCGCACCGCCTGAGGTCAAAGAGGGTGAAGAAGCGCCACCTCCTCCAGCCGAAGATCCAGATAAGCCTGTGTATGATGAGAGTACATGGTGGGACGAGTCCTTCGGTGGCAATACAGACTCGAAGCCTCGTGGGCCAGAGAGTGTTGGGCTGGATATCACTTTCCCAGGCTACGAGCATGTATATGGAATACCTTCTCATGCAAGTTCTTTGTCATTGAAGGAGACTCGGTATGTCTTAGCATATCTCTAATGGAAGCTGAATTAACTAGGTATCAGTGGCGGCGATGGCCAATATAGCGAGCCGTACCGCTTGTACAACTCGGATGTCTTCGAATACGAAATGGACAGTCCGATGACTCTCTACGGAGCGATTCCACTTATGCATGCCCATCGCAAAGATTCCACTGTCGCCATCTTTTGGCTGAATGCAGCTGAAACTTGGGTGGATATCACAAAATCAAAGTCTACTGCCAACCCTCTGAGTCTGGGAATTGGCTCACACACCGATACTCGCACTCATTGGTTTTCGGAGAGTGGGTTGCTAGATGTCTTTGTTTTTCTAGGGCCCACCCCCAAAGACATCACCCAAAAGTATGGCGAGCTAACCGGATACACACAACTCCCTCAGTCTTTTGCAATTGCATACCACCAATGCAGATGGAATTATGTCAGCGACAACGATGTAATTGATGTTGATCGCAAGTTTGACAAGCACAAGATACCATACGACGTAATCTGGTTGGATATTGAGTACACTCAAGAGAAGAAATACTTTACCTGGGACCCAATGACTTTCGCCAATCCTATCAAGATGCACGATCATCTTGACAAGAAAGATCGGAAGCTTGTTGCCATCATTGATCCTCACATCAAAAATACTGACAACTATCCTGTTGTCGAAGAGCTGAAAAAGAAGGAACTCGCAGTGAAGAACAAAGAAGGTAACATATACGAAGGATGGTGTTGGCCGGGTTCTTCCCACTGGATTGACTGTTTCAATCCGGCGGCCATTACGTGGTGGAAGACACTGTTCAAGTACGAAAAATTCGCAGGTACAGCGCCAAACACATTCATTTGGAACGACATGAACGAGCCTTCTGTGTTTAACGGTCCGGAAACCACAATGCCGAAAGACAATCTGCATCATGGCAACTGGGAGCACCGAGACGTTCACAATATCAATGGGATGACATTCGTCAATGCCACATACCAAGCCATGGTCGAGCGCAAGAGAGGAGAGCAACGCCGCCCATTCGTTCTAACTCGTTCCTTTTATGCTGGAAGTCAACGATTGGGTGCCATGTGGACTGGAGACAACCAAGCTAATTGGGATCATTTGGCCGCATCAATACCTATGGTGCTAAGCCAAGGCATAGGAGGTTTTCCCTTTGCTGGCGCTGACGTGGGAGGATTCTTTGGTAATCCAGAAAAAGACCTGCTCACACGGTGGTATCAAGCTGGAATCTTTTATCCGTTCATGCGCGGTCATGCACACATTGACACTCGTCGACGTGAGCCATATCTTGCTGGAGAGCCGTATACGGGGATTATCAGTCAAGCACTTCGACTCAGATATGCGCTACTGCCCGCATGGTACACTGCGTTCCACCAGGCCAGCGTCGACGGCTCGCCAATCGTACGACCTAACTTCTTCGTTCACCCGACCGATGACAAGGGCTTTGCAATCGACGACCAGTTGTACCTTGGCGATACTGGTCTTCTGGCCAAGCCTGTAACCAAAGAAGGTGCTGATAGTGTTGACATCTACATCGCCGATGATGAGCCTTACTATGATTATTTCGACTACACTATTTACTTAGGCAAAGGGACGAAAACTATCAAGGCGCCTTTGGAAAAGATTCCATTGCTTATGCAAGGCGGGCATATCATTCCTCGCCGTGATCGCCCTCGTCGTAGCAGCGGTCTTATGCGTTACGATCCATACACTCTCGTCTTGGTACTTGACAAGGAGGGCAACGCCCAAGGTACCCTCTACGTCGATGATGGCGACTCTTTTGACTACATATCTGGTGGTTACATTCACAGGAATTTTGAATATAGCTCCGCAACTAGCACCCTCCAATCGACCGATCTTAACCCAGATCCTAATGCAAAGGGATCTAAGACGGCCGCATATCTGAAGACGATGTCGAGCGTCACAGTCGAAAAGATTCTCATTATTAGTGCGCCCAAGGAGTGGAAGCAGCGTACTCAGGTCTCCATTAGCGAAGAGGGTGTCAAAGATAGCTTGAAGAAGCGAACAGTCGAGCTCACGTATCATGAAGGGAGCAAAGGTCAAGCCAACTGGGCTGTTGTACGGAAACCAGATCTTTCTATCGGGAAGGGCTGGAAAATCGACTTTGGCGGTACCGAATAGAGGAGAATTGTAACGAGATTGATGTATAAGAGATGTAATAGCAACATAAACACTTGAGCAACACCTCGGATTGAGCAGTACGAGACTACTGTGTGAAGCAATAGACTGTCTGTAATATACACAATAGACGCCAAGCGCTCAATAGAAACCTCGAAGCCCTTCTGTGATCCGACACAGCTGGAATATGTCTCTGAGCGAATATGAAACAACGCCGTGCAAAATTGGCGACTGGGCCAATTTACATATCCGTTCCGTCACTAGTGCAATATGTCAACGGTGATACCTAACGTCTTGGCTCAGTGTAGTATTGGATGCAGCCCAACAAGCCTGGCTTATATACGCAGTCAATCTAAGAGCCTATAGATCCGCTGCTTGTATAGCACACTACTCTACTTCAACATCACACAAGATCTTTCTTAGACTTCTGTATATGAGACTTCCTGGTGTCGAGGTCTGTAATTTAGTCTTCCTCTTGTCATCGTTTCCATTGCAAGGTCATCTCATCACACACTTGCTGCTAACACCTTTTTAAGCAATCGTTATTACGCGAATTCTTCTGTCTCTGTAGCCACAGGTTCAATAGATTATCCACTCATGATCTTGTGTCAATAACTATAGAGTTCGTGTCGGAATATACTGCGTATGTACGGACACCCAATGACGTCTCTGTCATGCCATTGCGACTTGACTTTGAGGAACCGTTGCCTTGCTCACTCCTAGCGAGGATTTACACTTCACAACCCACTGACAGTGTTTCTGACATGGATTCAGATCAATAATGGCTTCAACACTAGAAGACTTATCCTCCGGAGTATTGTGATATTGCGTCTAGTAGCGTATGAACCATGCTTGCAAGTCTAAACAAGTATATATTACCGCATCTTACATGTAAAACCTTATTAATGTCAAAGTAGATAAATAGTGAGGCAGCAGAAATATGATACAAAAAATTGGCTTCTATGTTCTTGGTAGTGTTGGGTAGGGCGTGTAGGTTTCGAGTCAAGTGAAGCTGGGTTCAGGTACTCTAAGGAAAGGGGCTTCTGTTGATGTTCCAAAATCGTCATGAACGGGATTCTCAGATGGTGCTTGTATCAGGTTTCATGATTAATTATACTTGCATTTCCAAGCTGCGTAGCAGTGATAAATTCCGTTGTCCTCTGCTGCCTTTGATGTTGGGACCGTTCTGCCAATCGTGCCTGCTGCCATGTCGCCTGTTGTCATTGCACTAAACTCTTTCGGACGGCAGTTTGGCCTCACTTTTCAGAGGACTTAATTAGTGATTGTTTTCTGCTGCCAACTTACCAAAGCCCTCTACCAATCCGGTTACGCGGCTTTGCTGCCGCTAAGCTATCATAGGATTAACCTCAGTCAGAAAGATGCTGGCAGAGCAGGGACAATTAATTAGTGCAGGCGCGTCTTGAAACGCGTCTGCCTTGGTGCATTCCAGTTCCAACACTCGATATCATCTCGCACGACTCACGAGACGACTTCGCTGGACTTCATCCGATCAGTCGAGCGCTTGGTTTTGTCGACCAGCGAGTGCTCTCGACTAGTCTGCTCACAGCTCTACCATCTTGAGCTATATACGACAACAACAAAATCGCGTACCAATCCCGTGCGGCGCCGTACTGCCGCCAGTCGTAGACGCTGAGGCGCCCATGTAGGCAGTTTTGGATCTTGAAAGGAGCGCACGCAGGATAGACGTAGCGCGGCTGACGATCGAAGCAGCGGCCCGCTCCATCCTCCGATCCTTATCTCTTTGAACGTTAGTAGACTTCTGCGCATTTTTTGCACGCGTCGCGTTTGCTCTATATGCCGTTCTTTCCTCAAAGTACTCAGAGGAATCAAGTCAGCTTCATCTGCTGTTCTCACTGCCTGCCTCTCACGACTTGTTAGGAGTTGGCCTGTTCAATATAAACTCCACTCACCTGTTTCTCATCACGTCAGCTCGCTTTCTCTCGCCACTTTACAAGCAACATCTATCTTATGGCGGCTCAACCGACCATGCTTCGCTGGCATGAGCGAGGCTGCAAGCATCCTGAAGTCTCTGCTGAAATTGGCGTGCCGGTTTGCAGATATTGTTTTGCAATGGCTCCCCAGGACACGATTCGAATCGGTCAAACGGCAAACAGGCAGCCAAGGAGGAATCTCAGATGGCCACCCGCTGTCGTATATACGACTGGACCAGAAGCATCAGAGACGAGCAACGACATGCCTTCGCCTCAAATTACTACGGAACCGAGCGAAAATCAATCAGGATTGAGGCCACTCTTAAGGTCACAGAGTGACATTCGACTGTTTCGCGTGAAGCCAGGCAGCCCTCACGACTTGATCTATGGAGACATGGAGCTGGTAGATCTTGGAAGCTCTGATATCCCCGCCTATGACACCGTCTCCTATACCTCCGCTGACGACTCTGGCGAACAGAGCTCAAGTTCGGCGGCGATATACGTCGGAAAATATTGGGACATAGCATATGTTGCGCAAGCCTGCGAACATGCCCTCAGGAGAGTGAGGAGCCGTAGAACTTCTCGACTGTTCTGGGTGGACGCGCTTTGCCTTGGCTTCGAGAGCACAAAGGAGAAGGATCATCACATCTTTCAGATGCACAGCATCCACGGCAAGGCATCGAAAGCGATTGCGTACATAGGAGAAGCATCGGCAGATAGCGCAGAGGCACTGGCGTTCATGGGTCGAGAAGGGAGCGAGCCCGAGCAGATCAGCGAAAGCACACGTAAAGCCCTCGAGTCATTGTTTGCGAGACCCTTCTTCTCACGGCTATGGATCCTGCTGGAGATGGTCTTTGCCACAGATATCAACATTCTCTGTGGCCCAGATGCAATCATGTGTCCGATGCTCTCATTGGCCACACGCCTTGCCAACACCAACGCCCCTACTTGGATCTCGCAACGTCCTGTATGGCGTGACACGCTGTCTCACGCACCTCTCATGGAGATCCTGACTCTTACCTCAGGCTATCGATGCCTTGATCCCCGTGATAAGGTGTTCAGCCTGCTTGCTTTCAGGGTAAATGATGAAATCGCCTCTGACTACTCGCTCGCTGTCGAAGAGGTCTACACCGGTCTGGCCGCTTATCTCATTCAGATTCAGCATGCATTCGACATTCTAGTGTTCAGCAGCTCTCACAGCACGCAACACAGCGTGCCCAATTGGTTGCCCAGTTGGGTGCCCGACTGGTCCCAGAAGCTGGTCACAACATTACCCACGCAGACAGACCTGGAGCACGAAGACTTTGACATGGAGCATGCCGAGACGGAAACGGCAACTCCGGTCTCCTTCAAAGGCCCGTTCAGAACCGACATCAGTGACGCTGTCCGGATCGATTCTTCCACCGGCTCGCTACAAGTCTATGCCTTTCGATTGTGCAAACTTGCCGGGCGAAAGGTGTTTGCAAACGGACAGGCCAAAATTATCATGGAAAGAGGTCAGCGAGGATCACTGGTCGTCACTGTGAAAGACACGGCCTACGAGCCCAGCAGCGATTGGGTATTCTTACTGCACGGATGGGAGCAGCCAGTCGTCTTAAGGGCTCAGAAGGGCTTGGAATCTTTCACCTTTGTCTCCACATGCATACTGGCAGTTGGAAGAACGTCAGGAAGTTGTTTCATTTCCTCGAACCAGGGACTCTATGACATGGATGACCGGATCGAAGCGGCACAGTTCTCGCCAGAGGACTGTGCCAGCTTCGAACAGTTCCATGACGGGCTGACGGAGTTGCATAGAATCCGAGCTATGAACAGTGCAACTTCTGAGGAGAAGATACTCAGAGTCCTGGATTACAAGCTCTTGTCCCTGACAGGAACTTGGGCGATTGAATCAAGTATGATGAACAAATGGACCCAGCTCGAGCAGCAGCTAGGCTGGATGTTCTTGGACCAGGCCGCCCTGGGAAACTTCATCGAGAGTTTGGATCACAGAGACGCGCACCAATACCAAGGAAGCGGTCCAATGCTTGTCGAACCCAATGAGATGGTCGGCTTTTCGAGGTATTGCGGAGCAGAGCTGCGACAGAGTGTGTCCTGGGACATCCGTCGCTTCTGTTCCACATTTCTTCGACGGCCAGAAGAAACAGCAGCAGCCCCAGATTCGTGGAGCCCCCTCTTTTCGCGATTGCAATCGTCCCTGCCTCAGATTCAAGACTGGGCGAGTCTGACTGAGCAATTGCTAGGACTTCTGGAGCTATCCAGCATGGTTCTTAGCCGCAGCTGGCCTTTCCCACCTGGTGGCGAACTGTCTGCAAGGTGGCAGAACTCTTGGGCGGACGGCACCGGAAGTACGGAAGATATCACAAGTAGCACATGCACATGGGACTGGTCGGAGTTCAAGACCACCATGGCTCTTCGAGCACGGCTGTGGGAGCAATCGTTTCCGGAGCAGCTGGATCCATCAATCAATCATACAATGGCTGTACAACTTGGCTGCCGGGCCATTGAGTTGAATATAGTCTCGGGCAAGTACATTACGATTGCATAGTGGCTAGTGTTTGGAGAAATGAGCCCGTTCTGAGGGTATAACAAACGGAGACTATTGAAACGTTCTGCGTGTACCTGGCTTCTTTGCATCGGCCATTTATGTGACGAACTCTTCAGGATCTCTGAATATCAACATCTTTCTCCGCCGTTGCTCGTTTGACATAAAGCACAGCCTGGCCGAATCTTTCTTGGTCCGCAACGCAGTCGTACTCGTCATAAGAGCTCTGAAGAAGCTCCAAGGTACGAGGGGAATCTGCGTCAGCCCTTTGAACGGAAGATGTTAATAGGACAGCATCCGCAGAGTCGTTGAACTTACCATAGATACTTTGGATCGGCTTCTTTCATTCTGTCCCAAAACATAATGGCAGGTCTTGTAAGTTCTAGCGTAACCTGCTTGACGGGCACTTCCGCACTGCATGAGATGACGAGAGTGGAAGTGTCCACTTTCAAGAATGCCTCCGGGTTGTTCAGAATCGTGATCCCGTGCTTGACGAGTACCGCCATATCTGCCTCGGTGTATTCTGGGTCCTGAGCAAAACATTGAACTTGGTTTCCGAGCAATCGTTGCAGAGACAGAATCAATGCATGCTGAGACGCTGACCTCACCTGTCCTTCCATCAAGTCCCATGAGATATTGCCACATGCAAATGCGACAATCTGTCGGATCGGCGCCGAAGCGTTTGCAGCCTTGACGATCGCATGGAGTAATTTCAATTGGTGACTGGCTTCTAAGCTCTTCATGACCGCCATAAAGTGCGCTTCGCACTCATCGACATCCACTAGCTTTTCTGGGACCTCATTAATTATCTCATGTGTCAACTTGTCTCGCAATGAAACGTAGTGGTAAATCCTCAAGCTGCAGTATGCAATACGAGGAACAGACATATCGGTGATAGTTGTCAGACTTTGGAAGGTGAAGTAGTAGATAAATGGAGATTCCCTAAGTCCGTCAGCGAGTGGCCGACCAAGCTTGTGTCAGAAAAAGCGCGGTTAAAGGGGGATCATACACGATGTATTCATGCTTCGGACCGATGGGAATCGTAGACCCAGTCTCCACGACAAATTCGACTTCACGTCCATCTAGGCCTCGAATGGACACTGTACCAGCCTCTCCGTCTAGTGCTCGCAACTGCTTCATGAGCCCTTCTATGGCCTCGCGTTCAAAGATTCGAGCACCGGATCTGTACCATGACTGAATGTTTGACTGGATTTCGGTCAAGGCTTGAGTTCTCTCGCCATCGTACTCAGGATTATCGGATAACTTGTCGTAAATCCTGAACTCATCTCCCTGGTAGATACTCTTGCCTATGATCATACTGAACCTTACAGATGCTCGTGAGTATCATGGCTCTCGGGGCACTGCAGCCCAAAGCTCGTGTTTGTCGCGCGCGAATTGTTCTTGGCAGCGGTGGCTGCTTGGCATCTACAAGTCCGTGCGTTCCAACATCTTGGCATCTACAGTATTCTGACATTGAAGGAGGCGGCACAGCTCATTGACAGACTTTCAACCAACACCACGTCGTACTTACAGCTAATGAGACTTACGAGAGCAACGCCGGCCGCGCGACCAGCGCTTCGCTTCAATCTGCATAGTCTCACAGACTCGCTTGTACCCGAGCTCAGCGCCAGAGCGCATCGACTTGGCTTGATCGGCGTCGAGCTGCCTCCTTAACAAACTTTTGAGACCAGTCATTCTCAGTCGCTGAGTGAATTCTGATGTCGGACGTTTTGTTTCAAGCGTTTGATGGCCGCAAAGCGCTTCCCTAGCTCTCCATGAACGCTCATTCGGGAATTTCAGTTGACCATCTTGCTATAAAGCTGTGGATAGTCAGGCCTCTTGTCTTTCTTTCAATCTCATCTCAATCCAACAAATATACTGGCATCTTCTCTCTCTGAACGAATATCACGCCTCTCGGTCAATTCTCAACCCTCAAACACGTGCACCTTTCGGTATCCTTCCTCTAGCATTTTTTCCGAGACCAAGCATCACTTGCACGCGATAAGTATAGCTCTATCTTTCTTTACAAGTATGGATGATGCAGAAAGTCTCCCACAGCCTTAGCCAGATCGCTGACAAAAGAATAAGATACAATATGTGCAGCTACGTTCTCACAACCTACGACTGCGGACACAGCGTCTGGGGGCAGTTGCTAACCCCCTGCGCTTTCGCACCACAATGCGGCAGGAAACTTCCTCGACATCGACGTAGTGGTGGCCCATGCCCGGGCTGTCGGTTGCCAACGCCACCGTAGCCTTTCGGAGGGCTTCACACATGGGAATAGATACGAAGTGGAGTAGGGGAGGGGTCATCTGGTGTATCTCAGGTTTTCCTTTGTCTGTTTGAGTCTGCTGTCTTTCCTTATTTTTGTTACGGATATGTCCAAATACGGTCGTTTCCGTTCCTGATTTAGTTGCAATTCATTGGGCTGTGCCTGATTATCTACTCAGTGTTGCACTTTTCACGATTCACGATTTCGAATGGGTTAAATGGAGAGCCTAGGCTGGCATGCGAGCTTCTCGTTCCTGGGTACGCAAAGTCCAAATTTCAGATCTTAGAACCTGGGTTCTAGATACTCGATGGCCAATGACCCGCGGGGCTGCTGTCAGATTTGGCGCCGCGAACACGCACGATAGGCGCCGCTGACACGATGAAAACCATTAAGCAGGAAGCCGCTAGGTAGACAAATAGTAGAAAGATAGACGGTAGACAGACAGCCGTTGTGCTCATCCCTCAAGTATCTCTCTGGAGCCTTGATGGACGTTCCGATTGATGCTTATGGTCACTGGTATCGACGGCTATTCTATTGTCATTTTGCTTGGCTAATCATCAGGTAGAAGACGAGGTCGAATTCCTTTCGTTATGTAGCTCTGTTAAGGCGTCTAGCATAGCCTTCACATGTTCGAGAAGGGTATGATGATACAATGGCTCCGACTGCCGTCCGGTCGGCTATCTAAATTTGAACCGGGCTGACTACAGACAATGGACATGACTGAAATAGTGTACATTCCACCTACTTGTCCAGTATCCTACGAGACAGGAACGAGACAAAGAGACCTCCTAATAGTAAATAAGAGTCTAGTCTAGAATTGCTATATCTTAAGGCCTAGTAGCAATTACTTGAAGAGCCTTAAGAAAGATCCATCCTATTTGGAGGAAACCACTATTGACAGCACAGTACCGCTCATGTTAGCTTTTAACGCGATGAAAGACCGGCAGTGACGTATCGAGGCCGTTATCATTTCGCTTTAGCCAGCCACGAGAATCCTAAGCGTTACGGCGGTAACGGTCTAGGACACCTATCTAAGAGTGCGTGTAGGTAATCCGAAATGAGGTGAATGACCGAGGGCGTCGCCGCCTAAGTACCAGCTCTCTTAGGAGAACTGCATCGTTCCCTTACCCCAACTATTACGTCTTATATTACTTCGCTTCTGCCGTGATTTTACACATCATTTTAAGCCAACGGTCATTATTGCAATACCTAGAGTCGTTCGATTAGCAGCTATCGAAGGATAGCCATCGGAACAGCGCAGCCGGAGTAAGGACCGCAATTGGCAAAGGGGTCACAAGTGCAGTCTTCGCATGGATGCTGCACGCCGCTGGTAGCTCGTTGTGGTCGCGTTTAGAAGCCGCTTATGGGTGCTTTTCACTACGCTCAGCTATGTAAGTCAGCCGCATAGCCACAAGCCGGAGTGGCATTGAGAATGACATAAGTCAAATATTGGGCCCTGGTGATGATCCTTGGGGTTGCGGCTGGACAAAAAGCCTTGTGCAGCATCCTTGAGGACATGGATGAGACGGCGACGCCAGTGTATCTTGCAGTTGGGAAACGTTTGTATGGGATGGGTCAGAAAGTGGTTTCGGAAAGCGACTCAATCGAGTTCACGCAAAGTTCTAGGCCCTGTACAGATATTATGCTCCTTGAAGTCAAAGTATCTACTGATTGTCCGCAACTGCATGATTTCCGTTACGAGTGATCGGACGTTAGTTAGGATACCTAAAATACAACCCTTAATCGCTACAATTCTCTACAATAATTGCAAGCAATCGAGGAGGCCCGCTCACGATTGGTAAGCGGCTGAAACCATACAATGCGCTTGCGTTGAACTGCCTTGCAGAAACCCATCTCTGGGTAGACCTCCTCGGTGATGATGTGCATTGTTTACATAGAGTGACGCTTAGGAAGTTTGGACTCGGTTGACGAAGCCAGGGTTTTCGTGAAATCGCTTTCTAGACGTGTTAATGAAAGTATGCGTCCGCCGGGTTGTTTCGGTGGTCTGGAGAGGCACAGCCTCATCGGCCGCGTCACGCACTTTAGAGATTCGAAAGGGTGTGCAACGTCTTCGTCTTATTAGTCAACAGCGTTGTCGGAGATCTCAGATCCGTCATGTAACTCCGGTGATGTTGTTCATTATCGCCATGTTAATAGACGTTCTGGATAGGAGTAGCTTGTAGAAGGACGCTAATGATCAGCATCACGCTTTGGTAAAGACTGGCATTTCGTGTGCACTCTGGCAGCACAATGCAGAGAACGAGGGCCACGTCAAAATGACACGCAGAAGCGAAATTGTTTGACGACATCCTGTGACCGCGCTGGCAGGGGCACTTATTGAGCAGTCAAGATTGAAACTTTCCTCGTTGCTGCAGGCATTACATGGCGGTAAAGGTACTTCTAAGGGAAAGAGAAGTCCGAATAACAGCATTCATTGCTTGTTCATATACTATGGATATTAGAAACAGGAGGTCTCGCTGTATTGAACTTGAAGTGTCTATCATAATGCCTAGTGCTGCTACAGCCGTTGTCACATTCCTACATCTGATGGAGAAAGGGGTCCGGAACACCAAGGAAGCTGCGTAATACAATAAAGCGCACCCCGATACATAATACAATGATAATTGTTAACTTACCGTAATACTGCAGCTCGCCACCACGCATCAACCCTGACGCGTATCACCGCGCATAAAATTCAACCCACCGTAACCCCTGATCACCAAACACAAACAAAAACACGTCCAACATTCGAAGAATGGAAACCATCATATACCCAGTCGTTACAGGTCACCAAGTCCACATAAAGGCCTGTTCATGACTTTGTCACATGCAGGTGTGGCTTGACAGACAGTTTGGTTCCCGCCCATATCATGTCCACAACACCCATCCCAACGAGAGGAGGCTAGGAATGGCGCAACATCATTCACAAAGTCAGAGAGAAAGAAAGAAAGAAAGAAAGAAAGAAAGAAAGAAAGAAAGAAAGAAAGAAAGAAAGAAAGAAAGAAAGAAAGAAAGAAAGAAAGAAAGAAAGA